TATATTTTAATGTGTTTAGGAGACATTCCCCGTAAAGGTTGGTGATATGGGGAATCTACGCTGGCTAAGGCTTGACAATTCAAACTTGGATCAGTTACCAAATACATTAGGTAGCCTTTCAAAGCTGGTAAGGATATTTATTATTGCATGTACATTAATTTATTGCTGTTATTATTAGACTTTAACTCAAAAGCAGTGTCCAATTGCCAGATAAATTTATGAACCCCAATTAAAATGTGAAAATGCACAAACTGTTCTTGCTTATATTCCAAAAGAGGTATAGAAAAAAGCTGGAAACCCAAAATATAATCCCATTATTGTGGAGAGACCTATTTATAGAATTCACAGAATTATAAACAAATTATAATAAATTATAATGCAATTTATGATTAAGGATCATCAATTTATGATCTAGGTTGACTATAAAAAGCATCTAGTGGCCTCACAAAATTGGTTTTATTTTGGATGGTCGTGTTGTTTACAACGTAGTCACAATTACTCATTTGTATAACTCATGTAAAACTTTTGCTAACTGAGTATATGTTGCAGCATGAGGTGATTGGGCTTTTTTGATTCTGGCAATAACGACATGTTAACAGATCTTTTCTGTTTATATGATCTAGATTATATGATCTTTTCTGAAGTATTTGTACTACACCACATAGTCAAAAAGGGGCTCAAGCATTTAAGACACAAACTCTGCCGATGATGTCAAGAGCATATACAGCAAAATCTTTAGATATAAGGAAAATTCTAGTGGGCAAATTTGATTTGGTCCTAAATAAAAAAAATTGCAAATCCTTTTCTTTTCATAGTACTAAATAACTTTCAAAATGTTGCTTCTTATGTTACTATTAAAGTTACATTAAATTACGTTAAACCTCTTTCATTTTTTAGGAACACCTGTCTCTGGTAAAGAACAAACTTACATCCCTTCATGGAGACATCCCTTCATTGTCCAACCTTAAGGTTGGTAGATCTTTTTTAATGAAATGTATCCCACACTAATACCCTTAAAAAAATTAACAATCTTGTTGTCTCATTCCTTGCACAAAATAAATTTGAAAGTCGTTATGGTTAAATGCTATTTTTCTATGGACATTCTAAATTGGTTTTATGACATGCACAGCCTATTTTTTGCTGCAGTAGATTTAGTTCTAAGAGATTCTTCTCTTCTCTTTTTTGTATAAGCATGTCACTTTTTCTTTCAGGTCATAAATGCAAGACACAATAGCTTGAAAAATCATGGTGTTCCGTCTGAGATGTTCAAGCTAGATGACTTGTTGACAGTGGTAATTCTACTATCTTGCAAAAGTTCTTGTAATTTTTTAACCTGAAAGTTGAAGTCAAGCTATAGCCTTTCTGTATTTTTCCTTGTGGCCATTTTCTTCACTAAGCAAGCAGGCAGAAGACTCAATGACTGTGAATTTTGAGAAAGATAATTAAATACCCTTATTTTTCTAGGATTTGAGTCACAACCACCTGGATGAAGTAAGTTTTTGCTTTACTTCTGTTTGTGTCATATGTTAATTTTAAAGCTTCAGAATACACTATTCGGTTCTAAAACCTATATCTTATGTCAGATATTTTATCTCTGTTGTACTAATGGTCTTATTACCATAAATTCAATAGATATCAATGATGTTATCATTCTGTTTTGTTTATCATTATCATGCATTCTTTGAAATGTGTGATAAGAAATTTGTTCTTTGCAGGTGCCTGCTGAAGCTGAGAATGCAACTAGTCTCCTTGTTTTGAATTTGAGTCATAATAGCATCACATCAATTCCAAACCAGGTTTTTTGTGTTCTTTGCTAATCTTCTCAATTCAAACCTAAGTTTCTTGCTAATCATAGCTTGCATTCTTCTGTTACTGGAATTTAACTACTCTATCAAGTTGTTGTTTTTTTTCTAACTTTTTTGCTTCATTATATTTTAATCTGTTTCTGAAATAGTTTTATTTAAGCATCTGAAATATCACAGTAGAATGGCCATGCTTAAGTTATGCTTGAGAAAGCCAAGGTATCAGAGCTGCTTTACTCCATTGCATCAGCAGAGGATTTTAAAAAAGGAGATGAGAAGCACCACAATGCACCTAAAGAAACACAAACAAAACAACAAAACATTATGCAACCATTAATGCAAAAATACGCAAAATAGATGCATCAGTTTATCTTTAAATCCAGCAGTTTATTACATTAAAATTATCCAACATTAAAATTTTCTTTCTAAGTTTTGCTACACAGTGGTGCTGCCACTCCAGAAAATATAGGAAACTTCATTTGGTATATTTCTGGGATCACAATTATTTTCCAAGTTTTTAAAAAAGTGTTAGGTAGTTTTTCTGTAACTGCCAAGATTAAAAAGAACATAAAAATTATTATTTCCAAGATAAGTTAAACTGTAGTCTACAATACTGATTTGAATTCCTTCAAGGCAAATCCAAGTTAATCTATTTCAAAGTGTCTACAAACCAATGAAATTATGCAATGTAGGAACATTGTTAAAGTACTTGACCCATTTTCTTTCAGCTTTTTGTTAATCTCACAGATCTGATTTATCTTGATCTGAGTGACAATGAGCTTGGTATGTTATGTTCTAGATATACGATTTTAGTGAAATCATTATGATATTATTGTAAAATTATATAATTTTTTATCAGTATCTCCATTAAGATTCGTGTGGGTAGCAGAAAGTTCAAAATTCAGATTTCAAGTGTGTAGTAAAAGCTTTTTATTGTTACAATTTTGAATGATAATGTTATTTTGTTATTTGCAAGCTTCCCTGAAATTCTAATGGAATTGATGAAATATCTTTGCTATCTCTCTAGATTTTCATATTTTTTTCATTGTAGAAACTATTCCACCACAATTGAGAAGACTAACAAATCTACAAACCCTGGTAAGCCCATTCAAATGCAACTGAATAAGAATAATTGATAAAGCAGTGAATTTGATGATGATTGATGATGGCAGAGTAAATTATTAGAAGCTCATGGTTATTTGACCAGAATATCCATCATATATCTATAAAAAAACTGAAGCTGAGGTTTTTTGGATAGATAAAGGATGCCATCCTGGCCATTGCTATGGGCAGGTTATAAAGTATGTTTTGAAGATAGGGTAAAACACTACGAGAAGAAAAAAAATGATATTTCACTTTACCCATCCTTGCCAATGTGCCTCTTTCCTTGGGTAACCAGTGTAATTATCCTTTACCAGGTACAGTTTTAGTTAAAGTTTTTTCTTTACTTTGGTTAGAAAGCTATAAACAAAATTTTGTTGCAGTATTCGTTTTGTTAATGATTTTTTGTTAAACATTTACCATTGAAAAACGCTCATCTTTTAAACGCTTCAATGGTTTAGCTATTCCACAAAAGTATGAAAGATTCATGGAACTCCCAGTACTTTTTTTCGAATTATTGCGATGTCTTTTGTTTTTATTCCAGATCCTGAACAACAACCCACTATTACACGCCCAATTAAGGTAAACTTGATATTGGTTTTCAAGTTCTATGTATAATTTTATTTTTGTCATTAATCACCAACGAATCACTGTTCATGTTTGTACTTGTAGACGTTCAAATATAATTAATTGTAGACATTGAATGTTTATATCCGTCGAATGAAAGGGAGAAGTGCATGGACCACGGAAGAGGGGTGGCTACGGGGGCTTTAGCACCCCTAATAAGTTCCAAAATGAAATTAAAACCAAACTAAGATCTCCCTGCTTTTGGGTTTTAGCATGTTTAGCCCTCAAAAACGTGTTAGCCCCTTAATCTGTAACATGCTCTGCAGTCTTTGGCGAAGTGGCTGATCGACAGATACCCAAAGAAACTACTTTGCTGTTCATAAACTAGAGTTAAACTTGATATCATCCCATTAAAATCTCAAACTATTCAATCTCAAATGAAACGATATATTGTATTTATGGTAACAATACCAATAAACTTGACTCGCTTTTGAATGCTTCTATGACGTCATTAAGGAGCCCATCTCAGTTATATGTTCCATGCCCCATAAGAACTGTTTCGTGGGCCTGATAATGCATCCAGTAATCCTAACAAAGTGTTGGAAACTGAAAACAGGCTCTAATGAGGATACAAGCTCAAATAAATAAATTTTTAGACCAATGTGTTAATAAATTGTTTGTTGTATCATTGTTTCGTGCAAGCATCGTCGTATAGTGTGTTATAGTACTAAGCTTTTGTTCAATAGTTTTTTGTTGCAAAAATTAGTTTCGTATCTCTTGGAATCTTAGTAAAAAGCTGTTCTTTGCTTACAGGCAGTTACCATCATTATTGCAACTCCATACGTTGCATCTAAGAAATACCCAGGTTTGTGTTAACTCGCAATATATGTATCCAGTTTATAATTGAACAGTTGTGTCATGATTGCATTAAGCGTGAAACTGGGAATAGTAACTTAGAGCCGTCCTGTTCCATACACCAAATAGTTTGTACAGCGCTGCCTATACGGCATCGAGCACTTAATGACAGACCGGTTAACAGTAATTTTCTCCATTCTATAATATCAGCGCCTATCAACGTTAGAGGAATGTCCAAGATTAAATACAGACGTGGGTACAGTCCTTTTGCCCCTACGATTCATATGATACATGTTTTGGAAGATCTCGATAATTTCCTTAAAAATCTGATGTTCCATCCATACTTTATCACCAAGGACCATCAACAGTAACGATCTCAGAAGATAAAAGTACCTTGATACTAAAAATTTTTTCCTCAATTGTCTCGTTACATACCTTTCCTTTCATAGCATAAGCGAAAATATTTTCTACAAACAATCTATCAGTACCTCCTAGCTTCAAAGATAGATAGCGTATCACAAAATTTAGATGAAGCAATCATGATCTCCTTATTGAGAGAGGACGAAACACGGGCTTAATAGTAAACATTCGTATATGCAAACTGTGCATCTTGGATAAGACTGCATGAGAAACCCACTTTTAATGTGAATACCCAGCATACACTGTGCCAAGCCGAGATTTGTACAAAATGTATAGTTTCCTTACCATGTAAAGTGAGCATGACTTCTTTCATTACGCGGCAACAAGTTAAGTCCTACCGAGGCATTGTCCGATTCTTTCAACACAGCGAATTCCGAAAACAGGATGGGGGTTTAGGATTATTCCAGTCAACTTAATAATTTTTTGTTTTAGTTTCTTTCTATGTTTGTTTCGTTTTTTGTAGATTCTATTACTAATATAGTAATAAAACATTTTGCATTGGTAAAAATAAAATAAAATGAAATAAAATCTTTACAAGCAGTCTCAGTAATTTGTAACCGAGAGACAAAATTATACCATAGCTATAACTGCATCAGTTAACTTATTTTCTGTTTCATATTTCTTTTTAAGTCTTGGCGTGCAGCAATAGTAAATAGAAAATTTCTACGGCATTAATACGGTATAGATTGAATTTTATTTTCCAGAGAACAATCTCAAACATGCCGCATAAATTGGACAACCTTGAAAATCTTACAGGTACTACTCGATTTTGATTCGTATAAAGTAATCTTTTCAACATTTTCCATTTTAAGACCAAGATTTGCTATTCAAATAACCATAAAGAAGAATATTTTTGAAATCGTTTTTGTTAACCTTGATATAATCAGCGTTATGCGAGCAACAGCTGTTTCTACGGATCAAAATCTTGTCCAAAATTTTTTTGAAGTAATAAAAGACCAAAAGACCAGTATTGTTTTGTAGAATCTTGTTGTACTGTATACATTTTGCTTAAACTCATATATGATTCAATTGTAAAAGTCACACAAATAGAAGTTCTATAGAAACAATCATCCCATAATCAAGGTTTTCTTGGATATATTCATGCCGTAATGTTTTTCATTCGTTATTATTTTAGATGTTGATCTCTCGCACAATGATCTGCCAAGGGGTGTGTATATTCATATTTCCACTTATGATTTCAATATTCAAGCCTCCTTATGACTTTATGTTTCCATGAAATTGAGGCTGACACTCACTGCCAATTTGACTTGATGATGCGCATGATAGAAATACCTTACGTGCATTTCATACCTCTTCTCAGATATGCCTCTTCTAAAATGCGTTATAGTTAAACTTTGACACAAAGATTTCACGCAGTCTAAAGTTAATGTTTTTACAAAACTCATTAAATTAAAACTACTCAAACCCACATATAAGCATATTTGATTAAAATATAACAATTTTTGCACTTTGATGCACTTTTCGCCAGAGAATTCATGCCGTCCGAAATTTTACCATTTTGACACCAAAATGTCTTTAAATTCCCTACAAGAATATTCAAAATTTAGAATAAATTTTGGAATCCCTTGATGGAAATAATCAATTAACGCATTTCTGCATAATCAAAGCAACACTATCTTTTTTGCTGGCTAAATTTTGTCTAGCATTTGCTCCCTTTTCATGAATGCATTTGTTGAAATTGACAGGGCTTGCAACGGTGTGAATTCTTAACTAAAGGCTACCAATTTCCTTTTTAAAATATATAAATGAAGTGTCACTGTTGAAAACCTCGTTATTTTTATCAAAAATCATCCATCGGAATCCACTGAAGCCATTTCAAGAACTCATTAAACGATATCTTCCCATTATGATCCTTGTCAATGCTATTTACCGCTTCTTCGATGCCTTCTTCTCTGACACCGATCGATTTCATTAACATAACAATTTCTTGTCCTTCAAGTGCCCCGTTATCATCAGCATCGAACTGTTTAAAATACTCCACGGCTTTAAGCAATAGTTGATATCGAGTGCCACTTGGATCATGCAGCAACCCTGATTTTTTTTCATCCTGAATCCATGCCTTGAACTCTTCATAAGAAATCGAATTATTGCCATCTTCATCCATCAGCAATGAGAATGCGTCGATTTCATTCTCGCTCATTCGAAGATCGTGTCCCAGGAGACTTCTTACCTCCCTTGATGACAAATAGCCTGTATGATTTAAATCATACTTTTTGAACAAGCTTTGCAGCACTATGTCTGGAACATCGGAGCCAAAAACACCCGCCATTTTTATGTTATTACTAGTAGACTGTCGAAGAACTTCTTTTGAAGAATTTTATGTTCGACTGATAGGACTTATGTATCCCATCAAAAGAGTCTGCAGTTTAATCGCAGCATGCTCCTTGCTTTTCTCCCTGGTTCAAGAAAATGATAAATAAAACTTGTTTAGGGAGACTGTCAAGTGAAAGCAGACAATAGTTTAATTTTGTTGACTCACATAACATACTCTCATACTTTTGTTGGTATAGATGGTTTACAGCAAGAGCAAGCCTTTTTGACTGCCAGTTTAGAACAATCCTTGTATTTTGAATGGAGATTCTCATGAGGGGTGGGGTGGGGTTGTGGTATAACAGGCAATTTTGACAATTTTTCCATCGCACGTAGTAAATGTGTATACATCTACATTAAATGATCTTTTGTTTAACATCAACATGCACAGTTTTGTTTGTGGAACTTTTTGTTTTCCAAAATGGGAGTGTTATAATTGGAGTGTTATAATTGGAAGGTGTATAGCAAGTCATGTACTCATTACTACAGGACGGGGGGTTGGGAGGTCTAAATAAAACTGGACATGGTCTCTAATACAGCTTGACCTGAAATATTTTTCATTTTCGATCGTGTGTTATTTCCTTCTCAGACATTGTGATCACGTGATAATTTGAGATTCCTCACACAGATTCTGCAATTTAATTCCTTTACCACAATTTACTAGATTATTTTAGAAATCACATCAACACTTTTTCTGGTTTTTCTGAAAATTTAACTAATCCTTGTGTCAACATTTTTCCTGATAGAATTTCAGCATAAATCTTGATTATTGCGTTAAACCAGATATAGTTAATAGAAAGCTTGAATATTATCGCAAGAAATTGTAACTGAGCAACTGTTTGCAGTTAAAGCCATAATGGGTTACTTTGAAATTAATGTGTTCAGGTAGAACCGTGAAAATTTTGTTTAATTGTTGGCCGTCTGTACACAATAATTAAGTTTTCATTCGTTAATTACTTGAATTTGTTTTTCAGATGTTTTACATATCTTTAAAAGATTGTCTTATATATTGATCGATTTACATCCCAAAATGAAAAAATGTTGTCACACCAAATCAAACAATAGGGATTTTTAAATAGATTTTTTCTTAAGCATGTTCAACTTCGTTAGAACTAATTATTTAATGTCTGTGAATTCTGAATGTATCTGCAATGCTATACAGAACCCTGACATATGCTATACAGACAGTCTTAACAGTGTCAGTCTCATTAGTTTCTAACGCGATACTGAGTTGTTAAATTATCAAGCTTTAGATGGAACTTTTTTGCCTTGCTGTAAAAGTTGTTATGACTGGCAGCTGCATTTTTACTGTATGACCAGTTTTGGCCTTAGATCAGCCTTCAAATAAGCGATATGAAACAGGTTATTTGGATTATAGGCCTATCTAATCATTTGTGTTTTTGAAAGGTTACGGCTTGCGCTAGTTCTGGAAGCATGAATTGCGTGCTCTCCTTCAAGCATCGCGCCACCTTCATTAATATGGCGGTCACAAATGATGTCTAGCATTCCGTATATCACATTATAACTTTGCACAATAGTCTTCGCATCTCTTTTTCTGCGAGACCGTCCCATGGATATATTTTCTTAAAGTAATACCTACGTACAGAACTAATTGAATTCCTTCTGTATTTGCAGATGTTTTTTACCACAATTTTAGGTTTCGATTTTTTCAACTTCTATTTTGCATTATAGTGCCGGAGCCGATATACCGAATAAACAGTTTAAAACGTCTCGACCTCAGCCACAATCAAATCACAGAGCTTTCAACCTTAATTGGTAAATACCTTGTCTGTTTAGATTAATATCTTTAGGTCATGACTTTGTTTAAGGTTTACTTTAGTTTTATCAACTTCAGATAAAAGTGAGTAATTTCTTGTAAAAGATTGGTTTAATCAAGAAAGGCTTCTCGTTTTTATCTGCAAAGAATACGATAAGCTTCTTTCAGCTTGTTGAGTCCTTTTGGTTATCCAACAGAAATCCTTTAATAAGGTCTGCCAAGTTATTGAACTTTTCGATTTCTTTCTTTCTGAGTTTAGCGTGGCAAGTTTTAAGGGCCAAGTAAGTTAAGGTGTTTTCCTTAGAAAAATCAAGTAATTTCTGACGCTTAAAGAACAAAATTTCAGTTAAGGACTATCCCTTTTGAATTTAAGACAAATATGCCACATTGGTTTATGCTATTTTGAAAAAATTCAATATCCTTCTTCGCCTATAATCAGTTTTATATCCTAATCCTTAACAGTATTTTTAAGCAGGATTGGCGTCATTTCACTTATCTTTTGTAGATTCTTGGACGAAACTGGAGACATTAAACTTATCCAGAAATCAACTCGCTGCTCTGCCGGTAGGTTTATTTCTTAGGGAGCTACGTTAATATTTGCAGGATATTGATTACAAAATATTAGAAGTTTTGAAGATCGAATTTTTTCCTGTTTCCAGGATAATCAAACGATGTCTTCAAGTTCCAAGATATTTTGAACTGAAATGTCTCAAAGTTGCAAATAACTAGTTTCACAAGACTTGTTTTTTTTGAAAGAAGCCGATCAATAATGTTCAACTCAATTATAGGGCAAATACAAATATTGTATTAAGGTAACCTTAATATTCCTCTGCTGCTCTCAGGCAAATTTTTTTTTTCAGTCCACCATTTGCAAGCTAACGAGTTTAAAGAGACTTTATGTAAATGGTAGGTTTTAAATATTTTTAACTGCTTATGACGTTCCAGTGAGAATTTGTGTGCATTTAAGACAGTAGAAAGCAATGGTATAAGCATGAGTTTTTTTATCCATTTACGCTCTTTTATTCTTTATACACTCCTTCGGACTTAATTAATTATTTTCATTATTTCATAATTGTTTATATGTACATTTTTAGACATCTTTTTATGTTGTTGTAGAACTGTCTTCTGCGTAATTATTTTAGCGGGCAGTCAGTTTGTCAGTATGTAAGAAGCAAGGTTTCAACAAGGGAAAAGGCATAGCCATTTACCTGGCCTTTGACCATGCTGGTTTTATGCCAACGAGATAACAGAACGGATCCTATTTGAACTTCCAACATATAAATGATAGTTAGCAAGAAGCCATGCAAATGAAGCATCATTACAGAACAGTTTTTCAAAATAATTCCTTTTCAAAGCCAAGAAAGGGAAAGTTTTACTAAACATGATAGCACTAAGCATGCTTTAAAAATTAAATTCTGCAAGCTCCAGTCGTAATCTTACATTTTTGATTGCTTCGTTATCAAACTGTTTGCTCAGCGGATGCTCTTTTGATCATTCCTTTGTATTTTGCTTTAAGGAAATCAGTTAACATTCGAGGGAATCCCCCTTGGCATCGGAAGATTGCTGAATCTGGTAAGTTTTTGCCACTTCTATTCAAACAATTTTTTTATGGTACAAAAGTTTAAAATGGCCTTGAAAAAAGAAAGCATTTTGTGACATACTATGAGGCATTTCCCACTTGTATTCCTTTAAGATATCCATTTTGTAATTTTTTCTTTGCATTCCCAATTTTTCTCAATTCTTTGACCACATCAGAGTTTTGTTTCACAGGCTCTGCAAGAATGCGTGCAAAATACAAATTCACATGAACAGAGATTTTAAAAGCTAAAACCTTTTTATTATGATGGCTTCTAAAATATATAGCGCAACTCGTGCATACCTTCTGTTTTTCAAATATTGCTTACAGTTAGCTGCAGACTTAAGGATAATCTTTTGATGGCATTAACAAAATCTGACCTGCTCTTTGTTTGTGTTTAATGGAGTTTTGGCATTTGATTAGAAAATGTGTTAAAATACAAACACTGCCTGTCAGAAGTCTTGAGCACTGGAATTCAATTCTTTGAATATTTTATACTGCATTTTTCCCTCCGGCAATAGATTCATTTCAGATAGGTATGACATTAAAATTCTACTACCAACAATGTTTTGGGTGACAGAGAGGTTGCGGTGTCAGTCTTTTTTATCTGCAACAGTTAATTTTTTTAAAACAACATTTAAACGACAAGGCATTTCAAGAACTCATTGCAAGAATCGAAATTATTTCATAGCCATAAATACAAATGATACTCTATGTTGTTAGACCGGTTACACGTTACGTGCATTAAGACTCCGTCCACTGGATGTCTTCTTTGTATCAAATCTATGTATAAAACTTGTGATTTTGTTTCCCTGTGCATTTTAGGAGGTGCTCATGGCAGCTTGGAATCGTTTGGAATGTATTCCCGAGGGTGTCTGCAGGTATTGTACAGCTTGTTGGCGAATTTGAGTTGCCAAAGTAGAACGTGTATGACGAAGAGTTTTGTCATTCGGTGGCTTTGTGTTCAAACATTTAAAGCATCATGGAAAACTTGAAGACTTGTCGATTTTGCAGAAGATGTAAAGGCGTAAAGTAGCTTCTGCAGAAGTGTTACTTTGTATAAAGGCTCTTTCAGTGTGATTTTAGCGCTCATATTTCCATTGGACTAGAGTCAAATAAGAACCATTTTTACTCTCAAGGACTTAGGTCAGTAATTTATAAACTTTGATATATAAGTATCATGTATTAGTATCATTTTTCCTTCAGCCTTTCAAATCTCTTTTTTAATTTTTTTCCTTATATATTTTGTTATCATACTTTAGGTGTCTCAAGCTGAAGAAACTAATTTTGCATTCAAATTGCCTCATAACTCTTCCAGAAGGAATCCACTTCCTGGCAAATTTGAAAGTGAGAAGCTTGTGATAATAATTCGAATTTTGTCGTTTTTCTGATATGTTCTACTATAATTTTTGATAATCAAACAAATGTTGACATTGCTTTATGACTTGAGCATCAACGCTTTGAATGTCCGCTTTTATGGTTATTTCATATCAGTTACTTTGAAGATAGGGGTTTCTTTGAAGATAGGATGTTCTCTATTTCCGTTCTAATGGAGGGAAGTTAGATAAACGAGAAATTAGTTTCAAGGCAGTTCAAAGGGGACAGACAGAGATACAATATAAATGCCTAAATACAGGACGGGTAGGATGCTTATATGGTACAGTCTCTCATTTAAACCCCTTATTCAATGATGAGGGTATTTGTTTTTTAAGAGATACCAGAATTGAGCTGTGGAAGGAGGTGCGAAGTTTCAGTACCATCTGTCCAGAACTGTAGGTTTATAGGTCTGTTCTGCAAGACTAATTTCTAAATTATAATATACTTCGCAGGACTTGGATGTGCGAAATAACCCACATCTGGTTATGCCTCCAAAACCTGTCTCCCAGAACGAAGCAGATGCAGAGTTCTACAGCATCGACTTTTCATATCAAACTCAACTCAGATACGCTGCTGGACACTCCCCCTCGGCCATACAAAGTGAGTGGTCTTAGCCGCATCAAGAAGCCAAATGTCTATTTTTATGCCTCACCCGTATTTTTTTATGGTTTCTTTGAAAAATCTATCAATTGAAAAGACGCGCAATGAATTCTGTATTAGTGGACACCTCCTGTCACCGTACAGCTCCTTATAGCGGACATCCTATTATACCGGATAGCTTGTTATACCTGGCACTTTCTTATACCCGACACATTCTTATACCGGATACTTTCTATAAACAGAAACTTCCTTATAACTTACACCTCCCTACAACGTAAATCTGTAAAAAACTAAACCAAAACTTCATTCTTACGTTTCTACTGTGTGTGAAATAATCTCTAGACAATGGAAGCCTGCTGAAAACGGAAATAGATCTGCTATTCATGTTATTCTGGTACTTAGATGTTATACCTTTTTAATCTTTGACGTTTTTGCTGAATCTTTTAGCAGTGATAAATAAAGCACTTTTTTTTTGCAGTTTCTAAAGATCCTATCGCCAGAAAGGTTTTTTGATTTTATCTTTGTATTTATCAAAGTATTTTATAAATCTAAAACAATTTTAGTGGAGTTCGGATGCAGAAACCTTTAAGAAAATTTATTAGTATATTAAAATAGTATATAACAAACCAATCATTTTTGTTATTTTGTTCTGAAACACCGTATTTTCAATAGAAATTTCCCAAGAATTTTCAATTAATCTTATTCTTTTTCAGCTACGCTTGCGAGGTCGCAGGTACCAAAATCTCACTGATACCGATAAAAAACTGAAGGTAAGAAAATAAGTCGAGCATACCCACTGACAACATGCTTTTTGTTAATTTAACATGAAAAGAATGTGTAGTACAACAAAACGACAGTCAGTTGACATCTTCAAACATCCTCGTTTCAAATGATCCTTGTTTCAAAACATCCTCGTTTCAAATGATCCTCGTTTCAAAACATCTTCATTTGAAACATCCTCGTTGTGCAAAAGTCACGTGGGTAAGAGTAGCCTTTAGGTATTTGATTCTTTCGTCTAATGTTCCTTTGATAGTTATCTATTATGCTAAGGTTCTATTATCGTTTTATCTATGTCCATTAGGCATTAAAAGTCTCTTTGCTTTCATTTGTAGCTTAAGATGCACTATATTCAATAAATCAGATTGTTTGAGTCTATATGTTCATGTAAATGTATTTATATTCACTATGTTCTAATATTCTAGGGAATGGTAGAAAGCGCTGAAGAAAATAAAGCACACCACAAGAATCCGAAGCAAATTGTAAGTGGCAGCTTGGGCCAGTTTACTTTTCGTTGAAAGCAGTTTTGAGAAAATGAAAACCAATGTACTGCGGAGCGAAGCAGATTCAGAAACACAACTGCTTAATTTGTTTACAAAAACGAATTGATGTCACTATCACAAATAGTAGCGATTCAGGTCTATTTCAAGTCCAATTTTTAGATGGATAAGTTCTATATTTTATATTTAGTGGCTGTTACAGCTAATCGGTAGAATGGCGTATTCTGAAACAGCCCGCGAGCAAATATATTTAGTAGTCAAAATTATTTGGAAAAGGCATTCGAAACATCCTTGCCTGATTTTGATTCGTTTCTTTTGTAGGACAACGAGCCTGAAGGACCACAGTACTTGAAGTAAGTGTCATGAATGTTTAGTTCAAATTTCGATTCATCGAGTTTTGCTGTGTATCACCTATTGTTTGAAAAATAGTAAATTGAGCACTGATTGCTAAATATAGAGATAACTGCTTAACTGTTTCTTTTCAACAGGGGGCGAAGATGGAACGAAGCTCTTGTCAAGCCTAACTTGAATTACAGCGATATATTTGCCAGTGATGTATGCCAGGAACCAGGTGGGTTTTAGCAGCCTTTACTTTATTTAAAAAAATCACTTTACTTTGAATATTTACTCGGTTTTCCATCCACCCTTTGTAATTTTGCCTATGATTAATTCTAACTATTTCTGAAAGCAAAATTGTTAGTTAACTGGCAAATTTCTTGTAAATCTCTAAATCTTGTGTATTTTTTGTAGGTCTCACATGTTTCCAAATTGAAAACTTTATGCCTGTTCAACTCGATGAAGGTAAAATTTTATATTGACCGCTTTTAGTCTTGTGTATTTAGCAGTTGCTTGACATTCCATTCTCTTTTATTGTATATTGTTTTTTGATAACCTTTCACTCTTTAATACTTTCCATATTTCCCTGTTTTTAAAGCCATGCCCCCCTTTCCTCCTTGTGTTGCTTTGAGTTTGTCTGACTGTCTCCCTAGATCGAACAAAATTTCCTTTGTTCCAAGTACTCTTTGCCATAACGTTTCTCTATGTGAACCTCTTTTTAAATACAATTTTGTTATGACCCGTTTCAAAGTTTCGTCCTAGATCTGAAATCTTCCTCTAAAACAACATTTTATATGATACGAAAGAATATAAACAAAGAACACGATTCAAAGAACACACAAACCAAAATCTCAACCTCATTATCTGTTTTTCAGCACTGTTGGGGAGGTTTTATGATGGAGACTGTTACATAGTCATCAAGGTAGCTATTTTATTAAATATATTATGTCATCAAAAAATTTACTGATGTGTTAGTATTGAAGACGATTATATGGCAATGATCAACCAATTTTCTTCATTTTCATTTTTTCTGTTGTAAGAATCCATTTCCAATTAAACATAAAATATTTTGACGACGTGATGTGAGCAATTTTGTAAAAAAACAGTGACAGGAAGTATCGATAAAATTGTGCGATTTGAGACTTCAAGATGGCTACCTGGTCAACATTCAACGGGGAGGTGGTATGAAAACTGTGATGAAATTTGAAGTATGGTGCAATAGAATTTAATACTTAAAAGGCTTTGAGTAACTCTCAAACAAGATATCGTATTAAAATTTGATTTAAATTGGCTGGTTCCTGATTTTCGACCAATCAGCAACCGCCACCCCTCGAACTTGAAGACTTAATCGAACTTTCTTTTTCTCTGTGAATCGAGACTTTCTGTTTTAATTCAGAAAGAACTGTCGTGTTTGATTGATTGTAAATCTTTAATTGGGTTATATTTTCCACTATACAGGACATTAGTGTTATATAAACATCGAATTTTCTAATCTTAGACTGCATATGATGATTCAGACCAACTGGAATGGCAAATTTTTTACTGGATCGGGCAGCACTCCACGGTATGAAATCCGGAATGCAATATGTTGTCTAATTTTGTGACGTTGATTATTATGTCTACCTATAACCTTTCTATCATCTCTGCCAGCAAACTTTTGTTGTGGATCTGTTCTAAGCCTAGCAAGAACAGAATCTAGCAAGTAAGTATGAATGAAAACAGGCTCTTGACACCCCCCATGTATATTTCGTAAATCTTTGCTTAATTTTATTTTAATGCTGGTAAACCAAGGTTTCTATTATGTAAGGCAAATACCATAATGTAAACATACTCTAATATAAAGCGCTTGTCAACAGTTATTGTATCTTTAAGGGATTTCTTTCAGCATGATAATTCATTACTTATTTACTGACATGATTCCACCCTTCGAGCAATGTGCTATTTTAAGGCCACCACATACTGTTTCCATACAGTCTTTGGCCTTGCTTTTTCATAATATGATACCAGCTTCCACTGTGATATTTTCCTACTAACATTTTGAGGACAAACTTAATCTACATTATAAGATTCAATAACTATACATACTCTAAAATTATTCTTAGCTCGACAAAAAGGCTTGTTCTGCCATTCATGCGGTCAATCTTCGAAATCTTCTTGGTGCTGAAAGCAGAACACAGGTAGAAGCATTCAGTCATGTTTCCTGAATCGAATCTGGATTATAGAAAGCCCTTACTCTGGGCATCAATGTGGCTCTCTGCCTAATCGCCTGCAGTTTCCACCCTTACATTTTTATAGCCTTTATAAAGATCTATATATATATTTCTTGGTGTAATGTTTGAAGCAGATTTTGTAAAAAGAGAAACAGTTCGTTTAGTCTAAAATAAAAAAGACCAGTAGCGGTTTTTTTGTTTCAAAACTGTAATTTTGTAACAAATATGGGCTCAGATCATTATAGCATTAGATTGTATTCCATATTTTTGTATTTTATTCGATCCAGCTATACTGACAAGAATAACTATTTCTTTGTGTTTTACAAGTATACTAAGTAAATTGTAAGTGACATATTTTCTTACACGATAAAATCTGAAAAGAGAAGATTCTTCTTTGTTCAAGGATTAACAAGACATCTTCAGTTTGTTTCATTCTTTCTAGAGAGAGGAACAGGGAGACGAGTCGCCTGAATTTCTAGAATTATTCGAATCGCCAATATCCTATATCGAAGGAGGTACTGGCAGTGGGTTTTTCACCGTAGACGAACCGGTAGGTGTTGAAAGCAATCAAATATTGAATCCTAAGAGAGCCATGGTGACAGGCAGAGGTACCAGAAAGAGCTGTAGAGCAGGAGGGGGACAGAGCGCCTATTATAGCAAGGGGGAAATGCCCCCGTGCATTCCCGTGCATTCCCGTGCTCTGGGTTCCCTTGTTATAGAATCTAGTGAAAACTTTGTGGCTATATAGAATATTTTTACACCTGGCAAAGACATATGTCAGCCCAATTGACATGACACAAAATGCTGCTTCATTGAATATTTTCTTCCCTATGTCAAGACTGTATCTTTTAAAAGGGGCCCCTTCAGTTAATTGTGCTTAGATGCCGGATGTTTTTGTGCTTTTGCATTGTGCAGCCCTGAAATTCCCACACCGCCTTTGATATTTAAACAAACTTTTGCAAGCCTTCTTGACAAATAGAATGATACCTGCCTGGCTCTCCATGCTATAAAATTTTCAATGAATTTATGCACAGTATTTTGACTTTGTAAGTGCCTGGTAGCACCAAACAGTAATTTTTCCTTGAACCAGAAATTTTCAATATTACCCTAAAGGTTTTTCACATGGTATTTTTACATTTTTCTCACCGAAATAGATTTGAGAAAAACAGAAACTTTTCTATATCGTGTAATTGCAGATTTAAAACGCCTGTGTTTATTCATTGTTGTAAAGCATACTAAGCAAGATGACAAAAATCAGTGAGCATTGTGTTTCCTTGTGTCTATGTGTTTTCAATATGAATTTCTGTTGCTCTTTTAGCCACATATCACCAAGATGTATCGTGTTATTGGCATGCATGGCTTCCAAATGGAACCGGTAAGGAATATCTGCAATTTTGACATTGTTTGTTGGTTTTTGATTTTTTTTGGCAGGTATGAGAATGACTTTTGCTCCAATATTGGTATGCCTTTATATTAAATGTTCACGTTTTCGGTTTTATTCTGGAATTAATATTTGACGAAAATCCTTCCTATTGGCCTTTGGTTGATGCTTTTGACCTGGAATACCTGATCTCTGACCCGAATATTAGCTAGCTTTTATTATTCTATGCATTTTTGCAAAGTCCTTAGATCCTTTATGAATCAGAATTACAGATCTTTTGAAAGCTTCTCTTTGTTATAAGCTCAGACCAGTTCACTGCCCACTTCTACCTGCCTTTCTGGATTGTTCTTGAACCTGTTTCTGTCTTTTGTATTTGTTGTGTGAGAAAGTGAAATATGTACATATGGTTATGGTTATGAACAATTTTTGCTCCTTAGGTTCCTCTAGATTGGAAATCTCTCGACCCAAATTTTGCATTTTTATGCGATGCAGGACAGCACGTATATGTTTGGTCAGGGAAAAAGGTATTCAATTTCAATTGGCTTTCTGGTTCATTATTCTCATTTTGATTCAATCATTTCCTACAGTTTCAAAACTCGCTTTTTCTCTGATGCCAGTTGTATTTTCATCGGTATTCGAAAACCTTAACCTGCTAGTGATTAATTCCTTCTCTTAACAGGCGCCATTGATGACAAAAACTAAAGCAAGGTAATAATACATTTCTTATTGTTTACCTGTGCCGTGACGAATTCAAACGATTTGCTAAAGCAGTTAGATAAACCTGTAACAAGAATACGAATTCTGCTCTGTCGTCCTACAGTCTTAGACCAGAGGTGAGAGGGAAGCATTATCACCTGAGCTGGCAATTAACCAGACTAACTTTTTCTGACTAAACTTTTTGTGTAGATTACGAATCCGGATGTTGCTTTGGCATTTAGGGGGGCGTTTTCTAGATATAGGGGGTCAAAGCCCAAAAACACGCGTTTTGACCTAATTTGACTGTTTTCTGCTATCACACTTTAAAAATTGGTAATTTTTGTTATTATCTGGTGATGTAGTAATCTTACGAAAACGAAAAGACAATGATAATAGTTTCAAATTACGTATGTTCTTGAAATATAAGAAGTTTTGAAAACTTGTTGTTCAACATCGTTCAAAGAAAAGGGATCCGTTGATATAGACAAAGCTCTTACTAATCCTCTTGCCCTTGCAACAACTGAAGATACAGATGCCAAACAGCCAAGTGTATGCTACTACATACTGCATTAAAATCAATCATAGTACCAAAAAACCCGGTGCCAAAAATTAATCTGGAAAAATAATCGGTGAAATTTCGGTGAGAACTTGAAAAATCTTCGGAGTAAAGAATCGAAAAACTTTCTGTAAGTTATTTTATCTTCAACATAGAATTATCTGGAACACAATCATAAAAATTGCAAAAATCGAATACTTTGATGCATACCAAGAGACAGTTTAACTATCAATGTAAGGAAAATTTTAAATCACTGGGACATAATTTCAAAAGATAAAGAGATAGCATTAAAAAGACATAAAGAGATCTAATAACCCACACACACATTGGGACACATGGATAACACCCCTCCCCCCAAGAGTTCTGAATCTGTTCTCATCAGATTCGACATTTTTGGTACTTACTCAGCAAACTTGGTGGTGGCGTTAGTTAAAAAAATAAATAATAGTCGATGGTATATTTGATTGTTTTCATTTTCATTTCGCTTTGTTCCTCTTCGCTCCTCGGCACGTTAATATTTCAACCGTTAATTTGCAAACTGAAACCACTGGGAGCTAAACTGCACATTACAATTTTTCAGCGTTGGTTGCGCGAATGATGAGAATGACTACCAGAAAATCGATTAAAACAGTCAAATAGCGTTCCACCCGCGGATATTTATTTTAGGAATAAGGCTGTATTGTAAAGTAGTAAAAATGTCTTGAATGAGTGAATTTTCCAGCAAACTGGAAGCATCAAAGTTCGAAAATTCCCCCACCTTTTGCGGCAACCATGGTGCCGTCTCAGGTACTAACGTTCGTGTCATGGTTCCTATTCTGTTTAATGATTAAATGAAGTCTTTTTTTATTACTCAGAAAAGTTTACAGCGTTGTGAATATAGAAAAATCATGGAAAAAGACATACAAAGAACTTTCTTAACATATGTCTTTTGTCTTTTTAGGGATATTTTGTTATAAAGGCGAGTTCCCCACAAAAGAATATTAATCACGCTCTAAGTAGCTGTTCTTTCTTGTCTGTTATATTCATGTCCTGTCATAATCTTAATGATTGTGCGTCTTTTTGCAATTGGGATTCCATGCTTTCTCTCCAATTGCATAGCCCCCCTATCGGAAGGCAAGCCCCTCCGTCAGAGAATTTCTAGCGCCACAATAAGTAGTCTCAACTCAACGATCGAGTAATATACTTTGCAAGAAAAAATTCTTGTGTTAAGATTGAGAGCAAAGATGTAACTCAGGTGGGAAAGTCAAACACAAACCATGGGAAAGCAGATACCAAAATCTGCTACCTACTTCACCATGCCCTACGGATGAATAATGGACAGGAGACAGTTTGCATTGTGCGCTCTGGAGATGTTGATATTCTTGTTATCCTTTTAGCCAACGAGGCTAAAAACTTGCATTTCTTAATGTAGTACGGAAGAGGAAAATACAAGAGACTACTGGGTCTAAATGCTTTTGCGCTATCTTTATTGCGAAAGCAGCGCTCCTTGGCCTGCATGCATTTTCGGGAAATTTCTACATCTCATCCTTCTTGCGAAAGGAAAGCCTGCATTTTGGAAACGCTTTTTGGAGGCGATGAAGAATTCCAAAAAATGTTATCAGAGCTTGGCAAGAAAAATTGTTACTTGTGGTAATTTGTTACTCGGCTTAGAAAGGTTTGTTTGCACACTGTATGGAGAGAAACGATTGCTGTCAGTGAATGAAGCAAGATATGCTATATTCTGGTGGACTTTTCAAAAGGAAAACAAAGTAACTGGTCGGTCACTGCTGCCCTCATGTAAAAGCAGCCTCGAAAAACACTTCAAGCGTGCAAACTTTGTAGCAAGAGTAAAGAGACAAGCTTTACAAAGCATAATCAACAAAAAAGAACCAGCCAATCACGGCTGGTTAGATGATCTGTTAATTGATTGGTTCACGGAGCTCTACTATACTATCCTGAGGACATTGCGGAGCTATTGTTTGCAAGCGAAGAAAAATAAAGCGAATCAGAAGGAGAAGGCGAATTTAAACTAAACGCTTTAAGAATACAGTAATAGTGAAATTCCCCTTCCCTGTAATTGCCTGCCCCCCCCCCCCATCAATGCCAGAAAAAGCCAAGTTTGACAGAGCATTGATCAAGAAACCAATTTTTAATAAAATTAAACATTTCCTAAAGTGCAATAATTAAATACAGTCAAAATAGGTCACATCGCGTGTTTTTTGGGCTTTGACCCCCTATATCTAGGAAACGCACCCCTAAACGCCAAAGCAACATCCGGATTCGTAATCTACGCAAAAAGTTGAGTCAGAAGAAGTTAGTCTGGTTAATTGCCAGCTCAGGTGATAATGCTCCCCCTCTCACCTCTGGTCTATCTTGTGTTTATTTACTAATAATAATTGCAATAATATTTCATACACGTAAACGTCGTTTTAATCCTCACTTAAGTTCTATTGTACTACACTTAAACAGCTTCTGATTTTTTCCCTCTTCTTGTAGGTTGTTAGCAGAGAAAATTGTGCGCATAGATCGAAAAGACAAAGCCGAGATCCATCAAATGTTTCAGGTATTAATTACATAGCTTTCCGCACTTTCACCACTCATTACATGGGAGGTGAGTTGAGAACAGACAAATCTCATGTCTAAGCCCATAGGATCAAATGGAGCCTATTTTGTCGTTTCTTCAAAGAATTTGCGAAGACTTGATTAAGAGCTTATCTTTTCATTAAGAATGCTAGGCCTTTCTTATCTAAATAAAGAAAACACACTATCAGCCATTGTGGCTTTTTAACTTGTTTACGATTGTGAAAATATTATCACACGACTGCAACGCTCAGACACTTATACGCTTGCTTTCCAGTTTAAGTGATGGTATATGCGTCTATGCGTCATATAAGCAGGGACATGAGTATTTAAAACCTAAACTTGTTCGTCTCCTTTTACGTTTGAGCATTTAAGCTTGTTTTTATCTGTTTACATTAAGATTCGATTATATACATCTGTGCTAGCAGGGCATCACTTCAATTTGCAGCCTCGTTTTGTAAAGTACTCGAAATTTCAACCCGTTGCTCATAAAGACATTTTGAACCCAGCTTCAAATTAAGCACCAAGTTTCACCCCCAACTCAGATTTCTAAAAGGGATTTGACCGTAAAAATTGGCTGGGATGTAGAGCTAGACCTCGGATACTTGGCGGTCAAATCCAAAATCTTGTAAAAGCTATATCGCATAAACACCATGAGTATAAAATCTTGTGACAATCCTTTAAAATCTACTAGCGTTTAAATGTGTAACCCTAATTTGGAGTCTAAAATTCATATGTGGAAATGTTATGAAATACCCAAGCGAGACATTAAGTTGAAGTTGATGTATTTGCATGATGCTGTCAAGTGTAAAATGCTCCCTTATAGGGAAGCTGTAAGCTATTTTGGCACCTGAAAATCAGTTACCTCTACAATTATGTTTGTCTACTGTATAACTTTTATATTGTGTCTCTTTAGTTACAACTAAAACTGAAACCGAAACTGAACCTTTTCGTGTTGTATTTTCAGGGCCGTGAAGATGATCCGCCATTTTGGGAAATAATCGGTGAACCCAATGGAGATGTTATTGTATGTAAACTTGTTTTTCTGAATTTCTTAAGATTAAGACTAAGTTAAACGTATCATTATAATTTAGAGTAAAGCTTGAAAGATTTGAGATGAACATGTTTTCTTTCAAGCCACCAAAACTTTTGCTCAGATTGTATCTTCAAAATGGTTAACGTTACCCAGGCGACTTACTACTCTTTTATAATTTTGTTTCGTTGTTACATCCGTATGAAGTTATTGAGCCAGTTGCATACAAAATATGACAGTATCTTGTTTAAAATCATTAAAACAATATTCTTGCTTTGCTATTTACGAACACTCCATCTTTTAGGAACACGAAGAATTCAATTCTTTCAAACCAATACGTCCAATATTGTATAAAGTTTATCTTGGTATGGGATATCTTGAGCTTCCGCAAGGTATGAGTCTCTTTGTTGAAGAAACATCTACATATCATGAATCTCTACTTGAATTTAAATTCCACTCTGACCGTTATGTTTACGTGAAGGAACAATTTTCTTCTCTATTATTTCACTCAAATGTAGCTGCTCTAGGTTTTTTAATTGTAATCTATTTAAATTTATATGAATAATGTTTATATATAACCTTACGGAATATTTCTGTAATCACTGCTGATATTTTTGTAGTTGAAATCCCCAAGAAGAGGCTCACACGCGCACTTTTGGATTCCAAGAATGTTTACATTCTAGACACGTGGTCTGAAATTTTCATTTGGTAAGCAATGACCAATGCCACTCTCATTTTGCCCTTCCTTCCAAAAAGTTTGGTTAGAGTATTGCTAAATCGTATGTGGTAACATTATTTAAAAGCTTTTTGAATTGTTCAGTGAAGTGAGAAATAACCTTAAATTAACTCGATTTTCTTTACGAGAAATTTCAGAATTTTCTGTTAATCATGGTTTATGGAATTCACTTCATTTCCATGTTCTTGAATTTGGTTTTAATACTTTTTATCGAAGATGCTCCAGCCCATGTCATAATGGTTGTTCCATTTGGGTGATTGGTAATTGATTTGCACTTGCTATTTAGCTATATCTTTTATCAAGCAAACTCAACCATTTGTCTATTGTCATCCAGGATTGGCCGGCGTTCTGCGAGATTGGTGCGTGCTGCTGCGCTTAAACTCGCGCAAGAATTGTGTGGCATGTTTGGACGGCCTGAAATAGCAACCGTTTCAAGAATTCTTGAGGGGTAAATGTTTCATTCAAATGTTATTTTAGAAATTTTTGCCACCAAATTTATGAATGGATTTTTGTATTTCGGAAGAAAACCGACAAATATTTTTGTAAACAGCAAATTATTTGAAATAAATATCAAATTTATGGCTCAAAATTTGGCAATGCTTTTTTAAGTGAATCGTCAATATGCCATATGTCTCAGTTGTTTTTCAATTTTGTGAAAAGCTGTAATGCACAATAGAGAATCCACATATTCCCTAGTATTTCTTTTCAAGGAGATGCTTCACATTATCAATCACAGTTAAGTGGGTAAAAAGTCAATTTAACTGTTCTCTCAAAAGCTAACAATTTAAGAAAACTCATTTAACTTTTAAACAAAACGCTTACTTGCCCTTTAAATGGTATTTTCAAACAAAGAAACCCATTCTATCAAATTTGACTGCTTGGAATGTGCTCTTCGCCCAACCTGCTGTAACCTTTCAACACCTGATAATCTTTGTTTCTTTGCTCTTATGTGGTTTTTTTATACAGGGTTGAGACTCAAGTTTTCAAGACCAAGTTTTCAGGCTGGGATGATGTGCTGGCAGTTGACTTTACAAGGACTGCAGACCGAGTTGCTGAGTTAAGACAGGTACGCTTTGTTTTGAAATCTGAGATTTCGTATGCAATTTTACTTTCTTGCAATTCCTGTGATTTCATTTTTGCAATCTATTAAGCCAAGAAGAAAGATTTTCTATAGTCAATCATCTAGAAAGAGATTTTAATCAAAGAGAGATTCATATACATCACATTCGTGAATTCGGGTTCGGTTTGGTATGCCTGGACTGACTGAACGCGCTGATTGCACTTGCAAAAGTACACTGGATTAGTTCTATGATTGGCATACTGTTTTGAATGTAACCAGCAATGCTAAACGGTTTGGTGCCAATTCAAATACGCTAAACAAGTTTAAGAACCATGAATGTTTTTACGATATTACAGATTTTGCAAGGGACTATCTTAAAGTTTCAGTCTGAAAGGAAAGTTTGTTCAAAGTCAGGATACTTCAAACCTTCTAGTCGGCATAGAATCCAACGCCATTGTTTCTTTGACTTGGCAATGATTTGTTATCTGAGTGACCAGTGATTTGCTTTATTGAGACGACACAAACTGACTTCGAGTCTTTTTGTAGGATGAGACGAAAGAGGACGGGAAAAGTCTCATTGCCATGACACCGCCTCCAAAGACCCAGAAAGTGGACCTTGCTGCATTATTTACCGCGCGACAGCCTTCCATGTCGGATACAGAATGCGTAAGAAATTTATGTTTTGGCACTTATTTTATTCAAAACTGAGTTAAGACTGAAATAGGTTCAGCTGCATGTCTGCTTTTACGAACTGGAGGAACATGCTGAGAAAGCCAATTCATATAGAAGCTTAATGTTAATGCTGCCTAAAAATTATTTTGTTTGAAAGTCTTTTTGTTGCTTTATCTTACGTGTGACTAATAACCTGGCGTTTTCAGCATTCATTTTATGTTCCAGCAGATGCTGGACAGCAACGTTTCTTCCCTCCTCGTTGACGTATTGTTTAGTGTTGCACTTATTTGTCTCATGTTAGGATACACTGATCGAAGAGTGGAACGAAGATCTCGATGGAATGGAATGCTTTGTTCTTGAAGGAAGAAAGTTTGTCAGGCTTCCTGAAGATGAGATAGGTGAGTTTACTAGTTTGTTACAAGTTTAGAATTTTTGTTTAATAGAAGGAATGCTGAAAATGGCAAAAAAGCAAACATTTTCAAACATACTAAATGTTTTCATCTGACAATATTCGAAGTATAAAATGTCAGAACAAAGATCAAAAACTCTATGCTTGGAAATATAGATGCCCAGTTGTGGATCAAAAAAGGCCAATTACAAATGCTTTTAAGACGAAGTATTGGGCTAGCAGCACAACGGCCTATTTGCTCTAGTGTGCTGAAAGGTGGTCTAAAGCTAATTTTAAGTAATCAGCTCATTTCAGATAATTCTATGTTGTAGAACCTTTGCTTGTCAAATCTTTTCTGTATCTTTTCCTTTCCAGCTTTTGTAAATCAAAGATGACGAGCCTTTTGGTTCCCTTAAGGCCTTTTTCACTCTGTTAAATTCTGATGTGCAGAACCTTTTTTGGACAACAACGTCTTAATTATTCGTATCTTTTGCAGGTCACTTTTATACTCATGATTGCTATGTGTTTTTATGTCGCTACTGGGTGCCTGTTGAGCTTAAGGAAGGTGAGGAGGAGGAGGAAGAGGCCGAGGTGGAGGAGCAAGAAGACGAATTTCAATGTGTTGTTTATTTCTGGGAGGTGCGAACTAGAAATCATAGACAATTGTTTCATCGTTATGCTTTATTTTTTTCTGTTGCTTTGATAACTGCTAATCATGTTCACGGCACCGTTATCAAGTTACTAAGTGAGATAATTGACGAAAACTGTCAAAAGTTAAACCTGAGCTTTTTTATTTCTGTTCAGATAATCTTTGGTATATTGCACTGTTTATTTTCAATAATATTGTCCCTTGAAGATGTGACTAAGTTTTGTCTTTTCCGGTAGGGTCGAGATGCTGGCAGAATGGGATGGCTCACTTTTACTTTTAGGTAAATTTTTTCACACATAGAAATTTCACATTTAGCAAGATCAAGATATAGTTATGTCAAGATACGCGTAAGGCTAATTTATGTAAAGAAAACGTAGAAATTAAACTTTATTTTCTTTTGGCTTATGATGAAATATGATAATATAGCCCGAGACTTGTTTCAGCTTTGTCATCTACCAATACAGCCCCCACTTCATCCCCCTAGTTAGCCTTGACATAAAAGTGCTTTCAAATTTCAAACTCAAATGTGACGAGAAAGTCACTCTATTTAACAACATTCGTATGTAGCATCTCTTTGACATGTAAACGACAGCAAAAACTGAATGATGCATCAATAAATGGTTGCTTCCTTTGCTAACTGCACTTTCTTTTTTATTATATGTTCCATACTCTAAGAACTGCTGCTTTACATAGGCATTCTTCACTAAAATGATGTTTGAAGCAATCTTATATAAAGTTAGTTTACTGGGAAAGTTAGTTTATTCTTAATCATTTCTTTTCTCGTTCAACTAAAGCTTGCAGAAAAAATTTGAGGCTCTTTTTGGAGACAAATTGGAAGTCGTGAGAACAAAACAGGTGAGAAGATCACTCAATATAATTAGAAACATTCTATCTCATCTTTCTGATTTTCTATCCAAGATCAGGGTCATCAAAAACTACTCTTGTTCATTACAATATCTGGATGAATCTAACAGTGTTCTTGAATTCTATGGTGGTCACCGTTAGTTGATGGAATGAACTTGTATAGAAATCATTAGCAATTGCTACGAAACCTTTTTAAACCTTACATCAATAGAATTTCCTCTTACAGACAAGATTTCCGCATGAAATCAAGATTTTTTCTAAAAGACAAGATTACCTCTTAAAGTCAAGTTAGATATAAAGTGTGTTAAAAAAAGACATCTTAGCCTTTTAGCTGGTTTTGACTATTAGTAAATGTCTATCAATTTTACATTACAGCAACAAGAAGCATTGAAATTCTTGTCACATTTTAAGGGAAAATATATCATTCACAAGGTAGGTTATGCTTTTCCACAACTTATGTGGCTATCCAACGAAAGATTTGGTATTAAAGTAAATCTTTAGCACCTCTGCAGTAACAATTTTTTCAGGCCTTTTATGAGAACTATCGGTGTAATTTGTTTAGAAAAATGTGTTGCCATCAGTTGAGGCTGTATGTTATGAGACGGCAGTCTCATTTTTAATATTTCGAGGTATTTCTGAGCTTACTGACTAGAAACAGATTTTTTCAATACATGGATACTCGGCCGTTCTCGTAAGAAAAGTGCTTTCTGTATTGCAAATGGGTATTCCTAGCGTTTGTTTATAGCAATTTTAAAAGGCTCAACAACGTCTCTGAAAAAATATGTCCTCGTCCTATAATATGGCTTTCATAATCTGCAGGTAAAATATGCTTTATTGTACCTGACATACAACTTTGAATTCGCCCGTTTATATATGTATGTGGAATTGAACGGTATTGTTGACAGGCTCCTTGAATAGTACTCAGTTTTGTTGAGTGTTGTTTGCACCAAATATAATGAACCGTAGTTTATGGAAATATAAGACGGTAACTACGCATTGTTTTGTCATATGTTCCAGGATTCAAGTTCCACACTGTAGCACGGACTACCTTGACAACACATTTTCAATTCTTAAATCGATGCAATCTCTCGGAATCGTTTTAAATCCTTCCGAATACCATCAGTGGGATTTGAACGAAATCTGTTTCGGCATCTTATTTGCAAACCTTGCCGTAATCTGTTAAGCATCTCTTCTCAGTTTGGCCGCAATCGTCGATGATATTTAAGCCACTGCAAAAACCTGAAAATTAGCCATCTAATCTTTGCTTCGTTTCGATAAAAGCCAGTTTTCTTCAGATTATGAAAATTCGAATCAACTTGTTTGAAGGTCAAAAGCAGCATATTTTAGTCGGCTGAATTGTCTCTGTTTTAAAGACCCACTATCACGCAACAAGAAGCCTCTTTATTTTATGGGGTCTTCTCTTGTTTATCAACATCACGCCTGCTCAATTCAATATATTTCTGAGTCAGAAAGAAAAAATTGCTCATTTTTTCCTGCTTTGAATTGCACAGGATAATTTTTTTTGTATATTTGTTTTGATGATGATGCATACAAAATTTTATCCTTGTGCGGAAATCGATTTCATAGAAATTTGTGCCCTATTATTTGCATCATTCTGTAAGCTTTAATAGTTGTGAGTTGTGTGCTCTCAGCGTGTTGAGATAGAGTTTGGTAAAGTTTTAATGGCAAATTACATGTTCTTGGTTTCATTTTCGTTTCACATTTTGTCAACTAAAGGCAAGAGATAGTTGTCTGCGAAATAGTTATTAATCATTTGAGTTACTGTTGGTGAATTTATAATCTTGAAACGTCAAGAATAATTTAAAAGAACAAGATGGAAAATATATACCTAGTTGTGTATAGAAATAGGCCAATCAGAAAAGGCAGGCACAATTTATTCTGACTTTTTATATTCCGTTTTATATAGCATGTTGAGAAATGCTTGCTTTTTCAAAGCCATTTTCAAATTTTATACCGCCAAAAATATTTTCATATTATTTAATGAAAAACTGTTAGGAAATCTTTCCCTCATTTAATTATCGATTTCGATAAATGATCGTTGCTCTGAGCTTGCTTTGTGTGAGAAAAAATTAAATATATCCTGCTATTTGATTTCTTTTCAGGGGAAAAGAAAACACGAAAGCACAGGGGCAGAACTTTATCATATTAGATCAACTATGGGGAAACTAACACGACGTTGTATCCAGGTGAATTTCAAGTAATTACTGATTTCGCATCAGATGACATAATCTCAGTTTAAAGCACTGTATAGACAGAAGACGTTGAATTCTAATTGTTAAGGGTTTTAATTGCAAGTACATATCAAAGTAGGGCTTTTGTTTTGTACTTATGATACAATTTATATCTTTCTGTTTACAGATCGAGTGCGATGGTATCCATCTGAATTCAGAGTTCTGGTAATTTCTATTTTTCATTTTTTATTCTTGAGTATTGAAATATTTCGATTGTTGGATTTATTGTATGCTTGAACCTATTTACCATCAAAAGAGCAGGTCTTTTAAAATTCGAAAAACATTGCTGCTGCAAAAAGCTGTATCACAAGGGCATTTATTATTTCGATGAAAAAAATTTGAGAGTTTTGAGTGATCCAAAACAAATTGCACTATCAAACTCAAATCTTTGTATAAACCAAACACGTAAGCAATTTTTGTTTTTCCCTAACATATCATATACAAAATGATAGCTGTTATTTTATCTTTCAAATATTTTTGTGTACTCAGTAATTTTTTGTTTCTTTTTAGCTTCATCCTCAGAGTTCCATTCGACAATGGTAATGGAGGAATTGTATACACCTGGATCGGAAAGTAAGGCTTGCATGTTGTTGTTGCTGTTGTTCATGCTGTTGTTAATGCTGTTGATGTTTTTGTTGTTATTCTTCTTGTTGCTTTTGTAGTTGTTGCGGTTGTTGTCTATGTTTCTTATTTGCGGTTTGATACAAATTTATTATCGTGATTTAAGATTTGTATCCAGTTTGATATGTTGAGTTGCTTTGTAAACACTGTTACTGAATGTAAGTTAGTAGAGCTGTCGATATTCAGCAAGCCCGCTTCAATAAATTTGGTCTTAAATATCACAGTATGTGTAGTTGTTTTCAATATGAAAGTCACTCTTTTATAAAGATAGAAAGCATACTGACAATATTTTAATTGAAAATACCTTTCTTGTACAGCAAAACTGTGAGAGAAGACCTAGAGTATGCAGAAGAGCTAGGCCAAGAATTATGGGAGGTAGGCAGTTTATTGAACTGGCTTTTCAAAGATCTATGATAAGCTGGTTTCGACTTTCAAAACATTTTATCGTTTTTGCTCAAAAAACTCTTTTGGAAAAAATTGCAACAAGTCTAAAACTATACCATTCCTATAATGAAAATGGTTTACATTTGCCGAGGTTGTCACTTCAGTTTCGCAAATGAAGCTTCAGCTACTTAGCTATGAAAACCCCTAAAGGGCTTTTATCACACTAAGATGAAAAATTGCTTCAATTCATAGAAAAGTGTAAGTGCACCTTTGGATTGACGCGTCTAATTAACAACCTCTTCTAAGGGTATTTAGTAATTATTTACTTTCCAATTAATTTTCAATCAAAATGGAAAATTTTGTTGGGTTGATTTGTATCAAAAGGGTAAACGAGGTAGTATTGGCATAGCGTAGCATAAGAGTCAGATTCTCCTAAAGCTGGTCTCCAATCTCTCTGCGCTAGTGATACTGAAGATAAACCTAGTGCCTTAAATGTTTAGATGATACAAGGCAATTTTGGTAACTTGAAATAGCTTGGAAGGGCAAATGAACTTTCTTGCCGATCACTAAGAGATTTCTCAAAAAGGAAAACGAACTATTTCGTTCCACACGAAATTGGCTTGCTTGTCGTCAAATATCATTTACCTTCTAACTGACCGGGTAAATCTCTTAACACTAAAATATTTCTTTCTCTCAAACAGGAAGGGTACTCTGTTCAACTTGTACAGGAAGGTGAAGAGCCGGAGAACTTCTTTTGGCACGGCATTGGCGGGAGAAAGGATTACGAAAAGGTGCTTTTGGCTCTTTAGATATAGCATTGAGTTAGCTCTACAATTTCATTGTAGGAATATATATGTAAAAGAAGAAGAAACTTTGTGGCAAGAATGCTTTGTGGCATTAATTTCATTTGGGTTTACAGCTGCAAAGCGCAGACGAAGAAATTTAATTTTAATAACTAGTTCTGTGGTTGTAAAATACACTATTTTGGAATGATATGAAATAGATATTAAGTATTAAAATCGATAATTAACAATTAAAATGTTACTGCGGTCCATTTACGGCCTATTTCCTGGTTGAATATAAGATTTGCTTTTCTGGAAATGGGTAGATGAATCAGACAGGTTGCGTAAAAGTAGCGGTTGAAAAGTGTTGTCCTTTGCTTAGGCGTATTTCGAGCTTAAAATGTGATTCAATATGTTTCCTTGCTTTTAATTGTTGATATTAGGGAGTCATTGTATCTTTGAAATTTGTGTCTCGTTGTATTAAATGAATGAAATTCGTGTCCATTTACTTCATGATTAATGTCCTACATTTTAGACAGCCGAATTTTCGCGTTTAGCCCGGCTTTTCAGATGCTCAAACGAAAAAGGATTCTTCACCGTCTCTGAGAAGTGTTCAGACTTCTGTCAAGTAAGTTTTTGGTTTTTTTTGCATTTGAAGCTCAAAGTTTTTTCAGCTTTAAACATTGTACTATCAAAAAGGGCATCAAGTTACATTCTTTCATTTCAAGTTTGTAAAGCAACTATGATGTTTTTTGGCTCTGTGCATCTTCGTCTCAGCCATATTTCGCTGTTTCCTGTTCCTGCTTTTTCTGAATCTATTTAGACTCAGTTATTTTTCGCTACCGATCTGTTTTGAACCATTGCGATTATTTTTTATTTATAAGGAAGTGTACATTGATTTAGGCGTTCAGTTTTTTAACCATTGCATATCCTGTTGAATTTGCTGTGGTTGTTGTGGCTCTTTACGCATGAAAATACTACATCCATTTGTTTATATATAATTCTTTTCACTGAAGAATATATTAATTAGTTTTTTTATATAAGAAACGATCCTATCAAGAAATGCCAATTATGCTGCAGCGAATTTGTATTTTCTTTTTTTTCAAGTTCAAGTTTATATTTTTAGGATGATCTTGCTGATGATGACGTCATGATGCTTGATACTGGCAAGGAGGTATGAATTAGTTGATACCAAATATGGTAGTTTTTGCCGCTTTTTGAACCCGTCATTTCCATGTCTCCCACGTAGTTAGTTCTTTCATATATGCATGTATGTAGAGTTAAATTTGACCCTTCGTATGTATGTATATAAAAAGTGTTTGGTATACTGAGACAATTTAGCGATGAAAACTATTTACTTTTTGTAAGTAACAAAATTCTATGCACTGTGGTACTGCCAGACTTCAATTTTCTGCGCCGTATTTCGTCACACTTCCTCAAATCTCCATATTGAAGACCCGTTAAGTACCCGAATAAGTAAAACATATTTTTCAAGGTGCTGGATAGTTGTATTTGTAGAAACTACATTTTCTCGAATACTTTTGTTTTTCTAATTCCATGTCTTTCTTATAAAATTGCTTTTTCATAACTCACATACAGAAATGATAACTTCGTTCTTAAATGTTTGGATCCTTTTATGATATTTTCATTATATAATTGATGTTATGCTCTAGTCTAAAAAATGCCCAATAAAGTTGTAAGTTAGTCATGCCTCCATCACAAACAGCTAAGCAGCGATCGTTTTAACCCTTATCATCAAATTTTCACAAATTGCAGCACTTTATAAAAGTGCAGCAATTTCTTGATTAGGTGGAAAAGGTGATGAATTTAAATTCGAAAAATTCTGTTCATGAAACTTCTTTTATTTTCTTAAAGTATGATTAACAATTTTTATTTTAGTTGTTTATTTGGATGGGTCCTAATGCAAGTGATATCGAGAAAAAGCTGGCTTTAAAAAGTGCCCAGGTATGCAGAATATCATTCTTTCTTCAAATACAAAATACCATTGTTACTTTCGCGTTTTTCTTTCTTCAATTCGAATAAACATTCTCCTGGCTGGAGGAAAACTCAGAATCTTTTAATCAGTAGCAAAAAGCCAAGAGACTTGAATTGCCGGGCAACAAATACAGTGTAAAAAGTAGAAATTGGCTTCTTTTCGGGATTAACAAACCCTTGAGCTACCTAGCACTACACCCCTGGGCTTCAGTTTCCTTTAAACTGTCTCATTTACACAATCTCCGTCCATTGTAGGTCTATATCCAGCACATCAAGGAACAGAAACTTGGGGAACCGCGTCAACTTCATCTTACAGGCAAACTAAAAGAGCCATATCCCTTCACAAGTTGTTTCCACGGCTGGATAGAGTGGAAACAGTAATAACAGACCACACTGTAACATTCTCGTAAGAAACAGTTTCTTAATGCAAGTAACATTTCGTCAAATCCTAGTATAAAAATGCCTATTTATTTCTTATTACAAAAAGATTAACCAAGAGAGAAAATTTGAAAATTGGCGCCAGTTTAAAAAGATTTACTTTCACCTTGCGGCTCTTGTTGAATCATATACCTGTATAATTTTTGATTATTGTAAAATGTTAGTATTTTGTAATCAATTATCGTAACAGTTCCTTTTTATTAAGAAATATTTTATACTTAGTTGTCTAAAAGACTAATGTGAAAAAGGTTATATTGATTAATCTTCTTTAAATATCTTTTATTGAAAGAAATATGGTCATCTCATTAAGAAGATTTAAACATTTTATTAAAGTTGATTACCAGAAGAAATATTTTTTTTGAATGGGTTCCTTAGAATAGTCTTGAGTTCTTTATGCTTGCTCTATTAGCAAGTACAGTTTCGCCAAGAATCACAATTTGCATAGCATGATGTGGATTTAAAAGCCAATGAAATCTTGGCATCAACCAGAGAGAAGTAAGATACTTGCAGAGACAGATTACTCCTTAGCGAAAGCAGCAATTTGTAGGGTAACGAAGCCTGCTACAGACCTCAGAGCAAGATGATAATGAAGTCGCCCTCCTTTTAAAGGTGTGTGAATATATAGCATGCTCAAAAGCAAGGAACCAATCAAACGCGCCTCTCTTCCTCTCACGTTTCTTTCGATCCGCCGCTGGATATAAATTTTCTGCTTACCTTGGTCGTTATTCAACGTTGTTACCTTGAGAAGAGTCGGGCGAAAAGTACTTTAGTATGCTTTGTTTCCACTTTTCCGTGCTCTCCTCCTGCTCTTTGACTTTGAAGTTGTATTTGCAGAAAGGAAACAAGCTCGAAGAAAGGAAGGAGGTGCTTGATTTTCTTATTTATATTCTCGTCTGTTATCTTTCCCATTCCGCTGTTAGAACAGATGAAGGAAACGCTGCTTTTGTCTTCGCCTTTGCTTCTTGTTCTCTCTATGATAATTTTATATTTCTTTAGTCCAGGTTTCAAGACCTCTATTAAAAAACATAGAACAGCGTTTTCAGTAACGTAACGTTTTATAAATGTTCATCTTAAGAAAAGTATGCAAAATGCCACTCTTCAGACTTCTATCCTAAAAACCTGCTAATGGTGGTTAAACTGACAGCATTCATGTCATGTCATATTATATGGACGAAATCCGCAAGGCCTTCAACATCCTTGTAGGTCACTTGCAAACATTCTTTGACTGAACAAACCAGGAAAGATCATTCTAGTTTTTTCCATCGTCAGCTACGTCACTATAAAATCCTGTGAGAAGTTGGCACATTCGCGGCTGGTCCAGTGCCACATTAACCGTAGGGCATACTGGGCACTGTACCTAGGGCCCCTAGCGTTAGAGGGGCCCCAAAATTTTTGGAATGGTCAGATTTTATCGTAAAGTTATCTATAACATATGATCGAAATCAAATTTTCAACGAAAGTATTTTAGTTTAGGCCCATGTGCAACCATTATCACAATATCGGGTATCAAATCTACATAAGGCCCCCATGATACTCTGTGCCCACAGGGCTCTAAAGTACAAACTTGCGTTTGCTGGTTACGATGTGTTTTGATCAAGATAGCTTTTTACTGGTGATATTTTCTCATGGGACCTTTTATTAAAATCTTTTGGCAGATTAACCAGATAAACCAAAAACTATAATATGGTTGCCGAAGCTCGATATTCTCATATTTTGGATAATTTGTGGTTCGGATGGTTTTAATTGATTTTTCTACAACTACAAATCATAACATTAATATTCGTTTTGATGTACGTCAAGTGTTCAGAAGCCTTAATTGGAAGTTGCGGTCGATGTTACATCTCAACATTAGAAAAAGGCACAAAAATGGTCAATTTTCAAAACTGGGATCATTGGGGGCGGGCTCCCAGTGCCCCCGGCTACTCCCTTTCGGTCCACAATGCGTTTAGCTTTTTGGTTTAACGTAACCTCTCTTCGAGTCGACTGCTCTTTTTGTCGGCCAGTTCGCGCGAATAATGAAGCCGTCACTAACCTTTAGCCGCCCCAGTAATTCGTGGTCAGTTTCATTCTGATATCAAGGATTAACTTAATTTAAAAAAATGCTTGGGAATTCTCATATGTGAATGTGACAAATTTTTTATTGCTTCAGATTCCACACTAGGCCTCGGGGCCGCTTTTTACAGTGGGGCGTGGGGATGTAAAACTTCCCTTGGAAAAAAATGTTGCAACACCATGTTTTTGCCACGTTTTGGGTGTTTTGTCGGCATATTTTCAGACTCGTCAGCAAACTAAGGATGACTCGCCCACTTTAGCGGCAAAATGAGACCTAAGCACCCCCCTTGAGCTAGCCTGTTCCTTCTCCCATTACCCCTTGGCCGCCCATAGCTTACCAAAAGCCGCCCGTACACACAAAAAGTTTGTCCTTCATGGAGGAGTACCGCTTCGCAGACCAGACTCTGCTTCTTTTTGTGCAACGTTTCTTCTAAGTTTCCTGCAGAAGGTTGGTATATTTGACATTAGATTTTTGCTGTTTTTATTTTTGTCTTGCGATATGGACGTTATTTTTTAGCGTCTAATCGTTTTTATGCTGAGCCTTTTTCTACCATCGCTATTTGACACACCTCTTGGTCTGTCCTCAAACCCTTGGGTCTAGCCCGGACCGCTTGCCCTACACGGCCTAGCCAGACACAACAGCCATTGTGTATGCTTTAACCATAAAACAAACCGAGATGCTATAAGTCTAATGTGCTTTTTGAAATAATAACAAACTGGCCGCCATGAGCGAAACCTCACCTTTTAATAAAGAAAGTTAACAGCCACACGTTTTTCTTTGCCAAATAAGGTTTTTGGTAGTCAAATTATTGTGTGATGTGCAACATATTTTTATTATGTTTGTTAACCATTGTTAAGTAAAATTCGAAGCTCAAACAGCGAAAATGGATAGGATATATTTGTTACCGAGAAGTTGCATTTTTTTCGATTCAATGAGATTTCTACTTAATTTTAGTTTTGTTAATTGATAAAATTTTATAATTATCTCCATGAAAATTTTGTTTGTGTTTGTATTGTTCATTATTTTGAATTTTTTATGAGCTAAAAGCTTCCGTGAACAAGGTAGAATCATAATTAGTAGAGGGAACCGGGTTTCATGACTAAGCATTGTTATTTCTGCTTTTGGTATAACAGAGGTGTTGAAATTATTCTGTAAATGAGCACTTGAATCAATTATGGTCAAAGGAAACAGGTTCATCTAATAAGCAAAATAGATATGAAGCAACAGGTCAGAATAATGACTCAATGGAAGCCTGAAAGTTATTTAGGCAAGTACCATTGAAATAACTGGTGTTTTTGTTAGGCCTGTCACATAGAGCTTCACAAAGATCCAACATTATTATGCTTATTTTATTGGTGATTCAAAGGAATTTGTGTTGAAATAAAGTTTTATAATGAGTTTAAACTATAGCAATGAAAGAGCCTTATAAATGCAATTAATGATACCAAACACAAGAATATTGTAAGTAACAGCAAAAATTATATGTTTTAAGTTACCTCTGGTGGATATTATCTTTGTAATGATAATTTAACTTTAAGAGTAGACAAGCCAAGCTGCAAGTAATTGTGCCTGTTTGCAAATATATACCATATGCATATAAGAGTAGTTGAGGCAGGTTGCTTTTTTATGGTGGCAGTTTGAGACTTAACTTCACTTGTCAATTGTGGAAAGATCTTGAAGAGCAAAATACATTACAAGTAGCCAAGAAAGTAAAATGTTACCTGTTTGATTAGACTGTAACATAACTCAGTTGGTTTTATTTGCTTTTTAAGTGGAGTGCTCAAGCCAGACAAAAACATCCTGTTCAGTATTTTGGTCAACTGCCCATTGTGCATCTTTTCAATTAACCTCTATTTCTCTCAGTTGACATTCTTTTTATCCTGTTTGATAAAAAATCGAACTTGTCATATGTAGGCTAGCAAATTTTATTGATATATAATATGGTACCTATTTCATTTTTTACTTTCCTTTTTTGTCATAATTCTGTTGTCTTTTTCATAATGCATACTAATAATTCAAGTTTTTTTTAGTAATGACTTAAATTTTCTTCATAGTACACAACAGAGATAGTCTGCTATGAGGTCCTGTTATCTTAGTTTTTACTTTTCAAGCTTATTAGTGAACCAGAAGACTTGAGTATTTTACATTACTTGACAGATTGATAAAGATTAAATTGTAAAAGTGCTAGGAAGCTGCAAAATGGAGCAAGTTTCAAGTACTTCAGAAAAGGCTGATTCAATTGATGATGAAATTAAGCCATTTGAAAACAGCGCCAACCCAATGATCAGACAGCTAAGCTTGACCGGGGAGTGTAATGATCCAATCACTGTGACATTTGAGGACATCAGTGCTGCTGCATACAGGATTAAATCTGGCATTCGGAAGACTGCCTGTGAGGTATGTGTTTTGTTTGGTAGACATAACTTGTATCTTTGTTATCATTATAGATTCAGATGTAGCAGTGCCAGCTAAGATATTTTTAAAACAGGGAGGGGGCTAAGATGGGAACATATGGTAATATTTTAGTGAATGCTCATTCTCAGATAGACTTTGTATTTTATTTAAAGTGTATAGATATATAAAAAATTAAGGTTAATGGAGAAAGCGGCCACCGTCACTTTGGTCTCTCACTTGGATAAGGGAGTTAGCAATGCTCTTAAAATCTATAGATCTATAGCAATGCTCTCAAAATCATTGAGAATTGTTTTCAAAATCCTTTGTTGTTCATTTTTCTACATTTTTAGCTGCTATTTGACAAAAATAATTTAGAACCTTTTGCAATACTGCTGACTGAAAGTCCATGGACAAATGGTCTTCAGCCAGACAGTTTTTTCTTGGACTTCAAAGAGTAGAAGAGCATTGAATCCTTAAAGCTTGTCAGCATTTTTTTAAGAATTAATTTTGTATTGATCTTCGGGTTTTAGAAATCCATCAGGCTATCAGAAGCTCTTGGTATGGAAGTCTTTCTTAAAAGGGATTATATGCAAGTAACAGGAAGGTAGCAAATCATTCATGTTTTCACATTTACATTGTTGACATCAAATTGAGCACATACAACTGAGTGCATATTGTCAGGGTGTCATTGTGTGAATAACTAAGGTGTGGGGCAAAAATATAAAGTAAATATATTTTAAGCATAGGAGGATGTGAAGCAGAAAAGTTTAGTGCTTGTTTTATTTTAGAAACATTACATTTTCTGACGAGTCCAACAAATTTTAGAACCTTTTGCCCCTGCCATCAGGGACAAATTTTTGATGGACACTAGCATAAAGCAAGGCTGTAATGTAGCCTTCTACCTTCTCATATAAATTAGTTTGATTAGCTTTGCAAATTGTTGCTATTTTTAATTAAAGCCTCCAGCTAGTCATGATGAAATTAATCACAAATCATTTAACACATTATTATTCTAGTTTCAAAGAACGAGGAGCAAGAAATACATTGACAATGCTCTCAAAGGTATTAAATACTAAAAATCACTTATGTTTTTATTCTGCCTTTAATCGCAAAAAAACTATTACTGGCATGTACACCTACAAAAATATAAACAAGAAACCCACAAAATTGGAGATGAAATGAAAATGAAATGTAAAAGGCACCAAGGGACAGCATTTGATCCACTTTGTTAAATTATCTATGTTTTGTCATTTTATTTAAAACTGACACTAATAAACATTGACATCGATACCTTGAAAAACGTTGTTATTGTTTTCCTGAAGCTATTTTATTGATTGTTAAGTACTGGAGGCATCCATTTGAATACACCCAGGCAAATTCTTTTACCACCAGAAACAAAAGTCACGTGGTGTGGTAGCTGCATCTGCTGGTAACCATGCCTTGGCTTTGGCATACCACGGAAAAGAGCTGAATGTGCCAGTTACAGTGGTGATGCCTCTCAATGCACCAATCATGAAAATTAATGCATGTAAGAAGTATGGGGCTAATGTTCATGTGATTGGTTCAGATATCATAGAGGTATGTTGATTTAGAAAGTTTTTGATCATTTTTTTGCATTATTTGAAGCTGGTCTATTCAACAGTTTGTTCAGGAGCTGTCCAATTCCACATTTGAAGAATCCTAAATGGGTCTGTATTTACTGAGAAGGAATGAACTGCAAGAGGGACTGCAAAGCAGTTGGCTTAGATCTCCCAGTGATTCACAAAATGTACCTAAATCTATACCATGAATCCATCTGTTCTTTATCTCCAAAACTTTAGCCCCCCACACTGGAATATGTTCCACATTTCCTGAGCAGAAACAGTTACTAAACAGTATTTTATGGAAACATAATTTTTTCAGATGGTTTAATAAAAAGAAAAGCTCTTCCTAGATATCTGACACATTTGTAAAGTCTTTGTTAATTAGCATGAGCCCTATAAAATGAATGTTACCTTGTTTCTCACAACAAAGATTTGCTAGCAAATGGTCATTTTCTTAGTTACCTTTTGCCAAAGGATCCTATTTCTTATCTTAAGCTTGTCATTTCCCCATCACATGTGACAACACCAGTTCCTAATGATTGTCTTTTTAATCTTTTTTTATTCAAAACATGCATAAATCATCATGTATCATTTATCTCGCATAAATTTCGTGTCTTTTTTCTTGTTTTGTGAAGCTGTAATTTAATATCACTTTTTACACAGGCGAAAGATGTTGCAATGAAAATGGCGAAAGCGAATAGATTAGCCTACATAAATGGGTAAGAAAAATGCCAGTAAGATGGGTTTAATGATTTACAAGGATGTCATATCTCTCTTGGACAAACTTTGATCCCTGCATATCTGCATCTTGCAACTTATCTAGTTTAACGAACAGGTCGATTTCAACTTACAATTCGTCAGGTGCACCCAAAATCCATGCGTTACTTTGTAGAGGAAACGTTTCATACTCGATTGCTAAAGAATGAACTTTTCTACAGTAGCAAACCATGGTCATATAGAGCTTTGTAAACGGCCAAGACTGAATTCTTTCTTTGAAGTTTTGTTAAGAGATGTATGGCTGTAAAATACGAACTTGCTGAAAGGACGAAATGAATTCACTAAAATCTTGGCGTAAAATCTTGGATACAGTCTCTTTTAAGAGACTTTTTCACATTTAAATAGCAGGGTCTTGACTTTTTTGGGTCGACAACATATCTAAGACCGTTAAGGTAAACTACATGTCAATATCATACTACTCAATATTAAAAAACTGGAAAAGAATAGAGAGGCAACATTCATATCTATTGATTCTCGCTTTGATTCGGTTTTCACGGTTTTTTTGTTTGTTTATTCTTTGCAGCTATGACCATCCTCACATCTTAGCTGGTCAAGGCACCATGGGATTGGAAATTGCCGAGCAAGTTGATAACATTGATGCCATAGTTATACCAGTGGGTGGCGCAGGGCTCTTATCTGGGTGCTCTGTTGCTTTAAAGACTCTCTGTCCAAATATTATGATCATTGTAAGTATTTAACTGCCAACAAGAAGCCATACAATCCCTGCCAAAAGTCTTGAAGCATTTTGCAGACAAAGTCACTCTTTTGAAAAGTCAGCAGGTAAAGAGAACTGACATAGTACCCATCTCCCAAATAACAATGTTTGTTGTAGTGTGTTATAATGAGCTCATGGGACTAGAAATTCAAGGAAACAATGTTATTTGAAAAGGAATCAGTTTGCAAACATAGTGGAGTATAGGAAAACTGTCATGTTAGGGAAAGTAATTTCGCTCTGGATTCTTCTCTAACCAGAATCAATTCAAAGGCTTTTTCTGGTTACAGAAACCAAGTATTGTAAACTCTAGACTGTTGAAAGAAAATCCAACTTGTGAAATACATAAGTTTTGATTCATATTTGTGTTTATGCTATAACACATTTATGCTACTAACCCCCGAGATCCTTGGCCGAAGCGATTTATCGAAATGCCTGTCAACGCATTGGTTGTCAGGAGAAAGAACTGGGCACCACCTTGCTCCCAGGGCTCAATCGTTTCAACGGACTGGCTTTTCACAAGAACATTTTAAAGATCCGTCCACGTAATTGGTGTTAAGGAAGTATAATAACAATAGGGCTTTGGAGAATGATTTTCCTGTGGTCATAGCCTAGCGTTCTATTATCTAGTCAAAGACGTTAAAGGTCTTATGCTTATAAACAATTTGCAGGCCTAGTCTTTTCCAACATGTAATTAGGGTTTCTGGACTTTGAAAAAAAATGCTTCACGTTTGGTGCATGAAAAAGAACTGCCGTTTGCTCACAATCTACTTTTTGTTTTAGGCCGCAGAAAGTGAAGAATGCGCCAGTTTTAAAGCCGCAATGGATGCTGGACATCCTGTGCGCATAGAAGCTAACCAATCATTGACGTTGGCTGATGGTAAGATTGCATTTAATTTACTGTGATGATTTGATCAAGCCCCCAACTTGGATAAGCCTTCCTTTTAAGCATGTATGAATAGTCGTTTTATCAAGGCCTTACCAAGTTAACATAGATTTTTGAACAAGCTCTCACCCTCTCTTTAGCAGTGTGTTAGGTGTGCTCGAAATCTGATTATCGTCTTTAACTAGTTTTGAGACATGCTGCAAATGTTGTATTTCTGTTTTAAACCCTTTCTGCTTCTTGACCTCTAGTATGACAGTTAGCCAGGCACACAGTAACAGGATTTAAAGTTTGCCCTAATCTGCTACAAGCACACCAATTATTTATTCTTGTGTTTTAGGTCTCTGTGTTGCTAAAGTTGGTCAAAATGCTTTTGCTTCTTGTCGGGATCTCGTAGACAAAGTTGTCTCCGTCAGGTAAAAGATTTTTGTACATTTTTCTTGCATAAATTTCTTGTTGTGAAACTACGAATCTGTGTATTTTCAGCTCTTGACGTCAGCAACTGGATGACCATTCATAGCTAGTGTGAAAACACCAGCTGAAATCTCTTACCTACAATACTTTCAGTTAAGTGCTAGTTTTTTCTTATGGGAAGTCTCGTGTGTTTAATTGGCAAAGACGCCACTTTTCTCAGACATTCATTTTGCATGTGAATCAACTGTTTTGCTGACCCATGTCAAGTCGCAGTTAATTTTATCGGGTAGCAAGCACCAAGCAGTAATTTATTAATACTCCTTCGAGAGTCAAGAAAATTGCTAGAACTTCGTCAGGACTTTTTCCTCAATCTTTACACATTACACATTTTGTTATAAAATGTAGAATAAGTTTAAAGGCCGTACCCTTAGGCCTCTATTTCAATATTCTCCTTTTTCATCGAAAATGCACCCTTTACACTCTCCCTCAAAGCATTAGGATGTGAGTACAGAACAGAAAATAAAATGAGGAATGTGGTTGAGCGATACGTCCAGGGCAGGACACGAACCTGTAATCAGCATCACTAGGCGTCGTTGCTATAAATACCATAATTTTAAATTAATTTCACTACTCACTTTCAATTTGTTCAACTTCAATTTTTTTCCTTACAGCTTATATCTAAAATCGTATATATATTGGTTGTGAACTTAATTCTGTACTTATTTATTTGGAATGATATTGAATTCAGCCAAATGCCTTCGAAGACTGGCAACCCTTTCCAGATTGTTCAAACCCAACCATATTAGATTAAGTGGATAGTTTTCTACCACCCTGCTTATCGTGAAGTCGCACTGAAGAGGTTGTTGAAAGTATCTTTTGTAAGAGCTCTGAGCTCCTTACCTATTTCAGAGTTATTTTGTTTTTAACCTTTGGTACTATGCTGTCCTTTTGTCTTTCGTTGTTCAAGAGTTTTAGCTATAAATTGTTTCACATAAGTGAAATAATTACTAAGCTTTAATGATCGATTCTTTGAAGATTGTAAATGAAATACCTTGTAAAAACATGCTTCGTTTTGCCCATTAAAATACCACGAAAACATCTCTGAAACAACAGCCCCTATTAAATCGCGCTTTTTGGTGTTTCAGTGAAAACTACATCGCTATTGCCGTGCTGCGTTTGGTTGAGGAAGAGAAGTGTGTTGTGGAAGGGGCCGGAGCAACTGGGATAGCAGCTGTCTTGGCGGGGCTTCTGCCAGAATTAGAAGGAAAAAGGTGAGCAAGCCCCCATGTTTTGTTATTCTATTTCCTTAAATCAGCCTTGGGTTTAAGGGAATGTAGTCTCTCAAAATCAGAAGACATGTGCTTTGACAGTCAATAAACCCCCCTCCCATCGTGCCACTACAATATTTACTTATCTTTTCCTATCACAACAATCTCAACCATGTTATTGGTTATAGTCGAATGTAGTAGAGTGTCGCAGAATGAATCGTGTTTTGTTGTCAAAGGGAAGCTTACATTTAACAGGCCTACGAGAACATTTTGAAATTGAATAAAGCTGTATCCAAGCTTTTTTAGGTATGAAGCTCATATAAATACAAATGCGTTATTTTATCATTTCAAATCACCGAACGCGGAGTGGTAATGCTGAGGGAACGCAAGACATATTGCAGATTGGTGGAAAATTTTCAATTGGTAGTAGTTTTTGGAATTATTTTGGGGAGGGGTGCGGTGGCTGAATCCCCAGGAACCATGTCCACGTCTGCGGCTCCTAGCAGAGTATCTTAACAATTTGATTGAAGATTAAGCAGATTTATAGATGCTCATCTTCATACAGATCTTCTTAATTCAAGATGATATGAAGATTTTCTTTGATAGGGTGGTGTTCCCACTATGCGGTGGTAATATCGACTCGACTGTGCTTGGCCGTGTAATAGAACGGGGTCTGGCTGCAGATGGGCGTCTAATTAGATTCAAAGTAACTGTCATGGATAGGCCTGGTGGCATCGCAGAGTTGTCTAGGTTGCTCTGTTCATTAGGTGTTAGGTGAGTGCTATAGCATAATATGATATCATCTTAACTGACCACTTTGAAAAACTTTACTCAAAACCACAGCCACGTGTCATTATGGTAAACTTTGGAGTGGGTTTATGAGGGGAACCAAACTTTGGAGTGGGTTTATGAGGGGAACCAAACTTTGGAGTGGGTTTAGGGGGGAACCAAACTTTGGAGTGGGTTTAGGAGGGGAACCAAACTTTGGAGTGGGTTTAGGAGGGGAACCAAACTTTGGAGTGGGTTTAGGAGGGGAACCAAACTTTGGAGTGGGTTTAGGAGGGGAACCAAACTGCTAGCCTCCCTTAAAACTTTTAACAAAAATGTTTGGTTTTTATAGTACCTTTCGCATTTTTCCTTCCTTTTTTGTTTTTTAATGTTTTATAAGTTTTTAAGTTTTATAAGTATACATTCTTATTAAGTAATTATATTGTTGCAGGTCAGCCTGTAAAACAATTTTATCTTTACTGATATATAAATATTATGTAAACTTTATCAATACTTAAAATAAAATGAAATAAATACAGTATTGTAAACAATGACTCGATATGAGCAAGGAATCAATTCTGGAGTCAAAGCTTTAGCAATATGAACAAGGGTCGATATAATAACACGTTTTCTTATGTGTTAGAAAAATTGGGGAGGGGTAATGTATAGCCTATTGTGTTTCCAAAACTAAGTCAGATATTCTGTCAGTCTTAGTTTCCTAAAGGAACCGCCAACTACCCCTCCCCGCCTAGTATACTTCTGCTGTAGCCGATGCTTTAGATGTTGAAAAAGGTTTCATCATTGGAGGAAATGCTTCGATATAAGGCCTATGCTGTTGATATGGGAACTGGATTTTAGAGTTCTGAAATGCATACAATGGTAGCCAAGCCCCTGCTGTTATTTGACAATAAAAGCACTTCAAATTTAATTTGCCAACATTGCATAACTGATTTTCCAGTCTTCAGTTTCTGGTCAGATATAATCTTGAAGCTGATATTTTAATGGAGCTTAACCAAAAGTTGTAAATGATTAGCACATCCTTATCGCCGTTACATTTGGTTTTGTTTCCTTTCTTAACCATTTTAATCCCCTTGTTAACGATAAACAGAGGGTTACTAAATTGATATTTTGGTTGGTTGATTGAAATAGCCGGAGTTTGAAATTGTGACCGCTTTCTTGGGGAATTTTTCTGTCGGAATAGAACCCTTAAAATATTATTATGATAAAAATGTGTTTGTAACAAAAATTTGTTAAATGATAAAAGATATTTTAAGATAAAAAGAACATAATATCCCCCCCCCCCTTGTGTGTCTTATATTTATTTACATTGCTCTATCAGATGTTTGTGTTAGAAATGTAGAAAACCCTTTATGTTTTAGTTCTCTGTAACTGATAACTTCAAATCGCAAGATGCAAATAAGATTCCTTATTCTTTCCCTATATTTCAAGTCATATATAATGCGTACTGTAGTATTCACCTTGGTTAATTCATTCCATGATGCTTTCTTTAAGTGCATGAACGATAGTGGGCCAGGTTATTTAAAGGAGCTATTGATCAATAAAAAAGCTCCCAGGTCGCTTCGATCAGCAGAGCTATCGCTACTTGAAATCCCAAAAGTTAGGACAGAGACTTTTGGCAAGACAACATTTGGATATGCTGCACCTTATACATGGAATTCTTTGCCTCTGCACATCAGACAATCTAAGAACATAACTGTTTTTAAGAAGGCTGCAAAAACTTGTTTTTTGAACAAGCATTTAACTTCTAAGTATCTTTTTATTGTAAATACTGCAATTTTTAGACACTTAATTGTATTTCTTTCTAATCTATTGTAATTTCTTATCTTTACTCTTATTTCTTGTATGCACCGCAGAGTTTTGTATAATTTTGGGACACTTTGTAAAATCTATTTATCCTTATCATTATTTACTTGAAAATGTTTTGGCTTTTCTAGTATCAAAGATATTTTCCACGAGCGCGCATGGATTCATACAAGCGTTTACACTGTTCATGTAAGTGTCACTTTTAAACTTGATCTACAATTTTAAGCTAGATAGCAGCTCTTAACACATGACAGCTAGAAGGCGTTGATAACAGCATCGGTGAATAATTCGTCTAAATGGATTGAAGAGTCAACATTTTGGGGCTTTAAATGTGCCGTTTCTGAAGGGGGATTTTTTTGTCAACTTGAAATTACTCAATATTGCATAAGGTTGTCTTTGCCCTATTGGTATCAAATATATGCTAAAAGGGCAACTTTTCATGGATTTAACTAAATGATTTTTTCAAAAAAGTAGTTTTACTACTGATTGCAAAATCAAGGTTTTCAAATTTATCAACCAGCACTGAAAGTTTTTGATTCACCAAACAGTGCCAGTACCGAGTTTCTTGGAGAGAGGTTCTTATAGGAAAGAGTTCATACGCCCAATCGTTGAATGTTGTGAGGAGACAAATGTTGAAATATTCCCATACTACCAGGCTTGTGTGTAAGCGTGCCACCGCAACAGCTTTATTGAAGACAAAGACATTTTTTCATCGATATATGAGATGATATTTTGTAATTTATCAGATTGGTACTCAACTTTGAAGATATCCAATTATAATATTTTATTAAATGTATTCTTTCGAATTCTATGCATTCCCTAAACTGATGCGTTTTCATTTAGATCAAATGTGTGGTGGAAGTTCGAGATTTTGAGCACAGCATCCAATTAAAAGAAGCTCTCGTTAGCCATTATGGTACAGTTATATGGGGCACGGAGGCCGTCTATGCTTAAACCGGTAGCTATAAATATATAGTCAATTGATAACATTTACGAAAAACGTAGAATTATTTTGGGGTTTCCAGTGAAGAATAAAGAGTGGAGCATTTGACATGGAACACTGCCTTGCAAGTTTCTGTAGAAGAATCCACAGCGAGTAACAGGTTTTACGAGCGTGTCTGCCTTATTCGATTCTGTAAGTTTCCCAGTTAATTGTATAAACGCATTCAATCTTATTTAATTTTGTTGAATAGAGATAGAAAACCCAACTGTAGAGTTATTAAAGTGTGCACATGAAATTTTTCTTATGATATTTAAAGGTTGACCTACCTGGTTGTCTTGTTAACGTTGTTAGTGGATCAATATGTGTATTCCTGTTTACGTTTTTCAATCTGATGATTAGGTTTGCATGGAGGCAAAATGTAGTTAAAACGGGGTCAAAATGTTCTCGCCCACAAGTCTGCAATCCTGGACAGACGATGTTGAGATTTTCTACACCCCCTCTCCCTGTTCAATTTTGATATCTCTGCCACTCAAATACATACGCGCGAACTTTGAATCGGGGTGGGGGAGGGGGGCTAGAAGGGAGTTGGGTGTACATTTATGCTGCCAGGCACGTGTCTAGAGGTTTGTCTTAACAACTCTTTCCAAGATTGTCATTGTAGCCTAAATTTATTTTTGGCATCTACGTCTTTCTGTCATGCTTATAGCGTCCTGTTTCATTTGATACGCCTTTGTGGCGGTATCAGATCGGGAAGGCAAGTCGTTTCGTGGTTTGGAGTGTCTTACCCCAACAATTTGTTGAAAATGATAGTCCACGACGGAGTTATCATGAAGGAGAATCGGTCCTGACTCCAGCCAACATACAGTTTTCTCGCGTTGCAAGCATCGATTTAAAGAGTTTGGTCTATTCGCTTCGGGAAGTGATCTCATTTGAATTCACATCATCCAAGAAAATTTTTTTTTGCTTTCCAGTTTGAGATTTGCTGCTGCTTATTCTAATGCCTGTTCAAGCTTTGTGCCGTAAGAAAAAGAACAGAATGAAAATTGCAGATGTTTTTCTATCACCGTAGCTTTGAATACCAAGAAAGTCCGCCACGGCATTTCCAACGCCAAGGAAATGGACTTGTTCAGTTACAGTGAAAAATGTACAAAAACTCATATGAAATGCTAAATAATGACCTAGTATCCACAAATCGTATATCCAAAAAGTAATTAATTTTGTGTGACTAGAAAACTTCCCTGCGCAACCCTTAAACAGTCATTTCGGCTCATTTGCCACCCTGCAACATAGCGCAAATCCACCACTGCATGCAGAATGCGGTAATTGATAAACCCGCGTTCTAGCGCAAAGTCCTCGGGACTACTCCTGTTCTCGCGGGCAGTGCTGGACTACTCCACAGATATTTGACATTTCTTGTTAGTTCTTACAGATGTTCTTAAACCTATACAGTGCTTGAAATAATCCTTTATTTTCCTGGACCAGGCTTTCGTTGCATTCTAGGAAAGCCTTCAAAGAGGTCAATACAATTTTCAGAGATTAAACCCGAACCTATAACCAACCAGTAATCATATCAGTAGGTCTCCATTATTTGTGTTTGCCATCTTTTGGTGCAAGATTCTTCTCTGCCTAAATCATGTTCTATTCAAAAAAACAGAATGTTTGTTAAAGTTTACATTTGTTAGATTTTTCAAGTTAAACATTGTTTAGGCAGAGTCTGTTGAGAAAACAGCGTATTTGTTAGATCGTTAGAAAAAACTCTTTCTTTTTAAGCCATAAAAAGTCTAGACTGAACAATGCCCGTGTCAAGTACCTCTTTGAATTTCCTGTTTTCACACTCATTACCATATCTTTTGAAACAGGTGCTGAAAATCGGTTGTACAAATGACAGCAGACATTTTGTGTATCGTGTTTCTTCTTTTAAAATTTTTAAGCGCATTCTCAGGCGTGGCTCAGAACCTATCGCAAAAATGGAAAAATATTTAGTGCAGCTGCTGTTCCATTTGTTTCAAAGTCTCGTAAGCTTCGTCTTTTGCATTTTTCATCTTCCAAAGACGTCGGCTTTATCATTTGAAGATAAGAACGATATTTCGGGATTAATATTCAAGCAACTCTGTTATGGGTCACTAGGCCTATTATGTGTTCATTTTTTGATTCAGAAAACTTGCAGGATATTTGCAGGTTTTAATCGCAAATTCTGGTGGCCTTATTTGCCCTCTCCCCCCTCCTCCCTTATTTTCAAAAGTGCATAGAAATGGTTATGATTTTGGTAGACAGATTCATGCAATTCTGGTATCATTTAAACAAAGTTTGGTACGAATTCAAACGAAAGGATTATTGATTCGAATGTATTCCGAGTGTTACCCCTTTCTGAGCTTTTTTAGGGCGTGGCTGTGCATAATTTTTCTTTGTGCTCCGCCCTAGTGCTTCTCTCTTTCCAGGTCTGCGTTCGCCTGCATGTGGTACAGGCAAAACCCGATGATTCTACTGCTCCTTAGTAAGGGGTTTCCTTTTTCGAGGAAATGTTATTTCATTTCCCTCACAAAGACAACTTTTGATGATTTGAAAGAATCTTACTCTCTTACTTTAAGAAGCTTGAAACTATCGATCAAATGAACGAATACTAACTGTACTTGGGACAGAGAAAACGCATATTGCAGGGGTTTTGAAATTTTTTAAACAATGATTAGAGTTTGGCCAAATACTGCCTAAAATTATATATTACCTATAGGTTTTTAACCAAAATAATTCATGGTTTGTTGATTTTTTGCATATACACTTTGTTCTTATACGAGCAACACGAGCCTTAAAATTGATGAAAAATTAAAAGCAAATTGGGAAAACAACCCAGCCTTGAAGTTTGAAAAATTTATGAGCAGCTGTATCTAACCTGTACCTCAATTTTCTGGTGCTAAAAGGGGGCCTATAATGGGTTTGCGGTTTCACGGCCTCGACCCTATTTCTACGTGCAGCCTACGAATTTGGCAATGGGTTTTCTGCGGATTGCGGCTTCAGCATTAGATGCGTCATGCGTCTTTCGGTGTAAATTGGCAACGGTTTACGGCTTTTAGTATGTAGAAGCGTTTTCAAAAAATATGCAACCAATAGATGTTGAATAAGGTTTGGTCAAACGCAACGTGAAACAAAGTGAGAACCATAAGAACTTTTCAAAAGCTACTCCTAGCAATCCTTCCCTTTTCTTTCAAGTGAGTATTTCGCTTTTTGTGCCAGGGCACGTTTTCCAATCGCGGCCGCGTCTTTACGCATCATTTCATTGCGGATTACGGATTTTAGCTGATTTTTGCACGGTTTGCGGCTTTTAGACCCCCTTATATTGCCCCTCTATAAAGAGTGTACTGTTGAGAGAAATTTAAAAACAAGGGTGTGTATGGGAGCTTTGCATTCCCCAGGCTTTCAAGTGTACGAGGTTTGGAAATTTTGAAATTGTTCCTGCGCTTCGCAGGAAGGGAAGTGAACTGACACCGCTATTTCTGCTTGTCTCCTTTAATAGTGTAAATATCTTCTCGTTTTGAAGGTTGTCGCGTCTTGAGGATAGCCATGCAAGTCCTTTCCTGGAAAGCGGAAATACTTTTTAATTAAACGGTTAGATTGTAAGAAAATAATGAAATAAGCTGAGCCGTTTTCAATTAATACTTATTTAATATTTTAGTTAATTAAAGTTTAAGAGTGTATAGATCCAGATGTATTTAAAATTCTGAAATGATACGAAAATTTAAGATCCATAGTTTCGGATCGTTGGAATTAGAGTGGCATCACATTGAGTAACTTGCTCTGAATTTACATGTTTTTTATTTATAAGAAACTAGTACTAAGATGGCCAAAAATTTGAGAGAAATATTTGTACCAGACGCAAGAAAAGTTAAGAAACTGTAAAATTTGAACTTTTATTTTAACTCTTGATTTTTCTTTGGAAAAAATAGCATACTTTGGATTTTGATTTTCATGGGGTTTTTCGTGACGATCTGCGTTTATATTCTTCCAAAAATTTAGTACTTCGTGCTGATCCAAGTTTTTTATGAAAGTACCTGTAGCTGTTGCATCTATAAAAAGGTAGTTCTAAGTGATAAGCTTTACAGCTGAGTAACGTTAGGTCATATAGTTACGTTGAAGTGAATTGGTGATATTCTCAACAGCAGGGCCGCTGAGAGGGGGGCAAATTACCCCAGGGGCTTTGAGTCTAGGGGTCTTATAAAGTAATGAATTCTGTTTTCAACGGAATTAATCAACAGTAACAGAATTACGCGTATAAAATAGAGCGTTTTAAACTATTGCAAGAAAATTGATGAATTTAAGCTTACATCAAAGATATGGTCGCAAAAATGTTCTGCTTACTTCGCTAGCAGGGGCCTCATCTTTAGCTTTTGCCCCAGGGCCTCCAAAAACTCTTGGCTGCCCTGCCCAACAGGACCAGATGCTCATGCCGACAGGCTACAGGTCTCGGGGGCCGGGGGTGACACACCTATCACCCCACTTCACTGCTATCACTGCTGTCAGGATCTCATTTCACATTTTTACAAGTGCAATCACTTATTTTAAACTTTGGCCTAAAACGTAAGCTGGATGTCTCGAGGTTGTTCACAGTTAATAATGCAGGTAAAGGTTCCTATCAGCAAAGTTTGCAGCCCTGTGGTTTCAGCAGGCCAAATATGAACATTTTGCCGAGTTGACTCTTCTAAGCAGAGTAGTTTTTGGGGATTATTTGTTATAAATTCATTAAGAAGTGTTATTAAATGATTGATGAGTGTTTGCATTTTGGTGGGTTCAACACACCCGTCTATATTAACAAAAAAACTTCATCCCATAGCCCGGAAAACATGGTGGTCATATGAAACAATAGAAATCAGAGTACCACGCCCAAACGCCGCCCTAATTTCATTGTTTTCCAAGGAATGGTTTTAGAACGTGAGGAAACTGTCCGGAGGATTTTATAGGCTCTGTTTAATCTTTTTTGCTAATTTTTTATCTTAGATTTAGCAAACGTTGTAGGCCTAGATTTTTATTATTAAAATAGAGAACTATAAAGCAAGTCCTAGATATTCAACTTTACTGTCAAATAGATAACTATTTGAATTTAACGCAGGTTTTTCAAATACATTTTGTTTGCAGCAGGTCATTGCGAAAGTCCAACCTATGACATCTTGGTCGAATGAAATGATCTTTGATTTCCAGTTAAAAGGACATCAAAGTTCCCTTCAATAATTCCAAAGGTTGTTCGACTCTCAGCCCTCCCGTCCTTCCTTGTTTGGTGTCGCCATCACCGTTTCTTCCTCTGTCAACCTTTGATTTCTCCCTGGTTTGCCTCTTTAGAACAGCGATGTTTGCATTGTAAAACATGAGAATTACGCCCGATATGTGCTGATAGGCAAGCCTTTTCAGGAAATTTAGATTTGAATAATTGTTGGATTGCTTGTTGGGAAACAGTTGCTTGTTAGCAGGGGTCATCCCCTTCCTTTGCGGCTCATGATAATACCAAATATGGGCATTACGGCTTCTAAAAGGTGTGTCTTGCTACTTTAAAGCTCGTACATTTCCCAGTCCAAGGTACTTTACTCTTAGTTGCTTTGACGCGAACAACTCTTACCAACCGAACGTAAGGCCCTCACAAAGACAGCCATAATGGGTGATGAAGAAATTGCAGCACTTGTTGTAGATAATGGATCTGGTATGTGCAAGGCTGGCTTTGCAGGAGACGATGCTCCAAGGGCCGTGTTCCCATCAATTGTTGGTAGGCCTAGACATCAAGGTGTAATGGTTGGTATGGGACAGAAGGATTCATACGTTGGTGATGAGGCTCAAAGCAAAAGAGGTATCTTGACACTAAAATACCCAATTGAACACGGAATTGTCACAAACTGGGATGATATGGAAAAGGTAAAAGTTTTTCTGATTCAAACAAAGTTGTTTCCTTAACCATTATCTCTTTGGTTGCTAAGTATGTTGTCCCACAGAGCCATGTTCTCTTTTCATTTCCGTCTTTTGTTGTATGCAACTGTGGTTCAATTAGACTTAATAATGTGAATATAGTCAGAGGAGAGTCAAATTGCTTGAAAAGAACAAGGTTTAAAGTGTATTTATTTGCAAGATTTTGCAATACTTATTTTAGGGTAAAGTTCAATATATGGTTATTTTGGTGTCTTTAGGATATTCTAGTTTCGAATATGTGGTATTGGTTTGTTATTAACTATTCAAATTTATCTGTGCGACGACAAATTTCATCAAAGTTCCTATCTTCATTATTCGTATTCGTCCCCTACCCGGAAGTTCCTGCAACTTTGGACTTGGCCGTTACATTGCGTCTTTTGGAGATCGGAAAATGCTGACAGAACAAGGGGAACTCCGCAAAAGCACGTAAATCCGGGCTCGGCTTGAACTTTGTATTAAACCTGTTAACGGGTCTAAAAACCTGTTACTTTCACCACAGGAATTCGTAGGATTCCCTTAGCAGAGAGCTGAATTTCAAGGGAGTGTCAAGTTTGTATTGGTCAGCAGGACACGGAAGTCTGTTCAATCTTTTGTTCAGTGCGCATAGTTTCCGGAAGTCAGCAATCTCTATCAAAATTAACAGGGCTATCTTTGTTTGGCCATTTCTACTAAGAGGTGCATTCCTAATAACTAGGAATAATGGGCTCTTAAGATTGTTTTGATACTTAAATAAACATATACCATTGTTGTCTTCAGCGATATCTTACACGAATTTATTCATGTTTAGATCTGGCATCACACTTTTTACAATGAACTCCGAGTCGCACCAGAGGAACACCCAGTTCTTCTCACTGAGGCTCCCCTCAACCCCAAAGCTAACAGGGAAAAGATGACCCAGGTGAGTGTCGTGTTTTTTTCATGAAATACTTCGGATTATTTACTTCTACGTAAAGGCAGATTGCGGATGCTTCTAGGACTCCCACTTCCGTCTATGTTAGAACCTGTTGATTTTGTTATTCAACAATACTACTGTTGTTATGATATACTGTGGTTGACCAGAGTCCTTAACAAAACGACCTTTAAAGAAAACTAACGAAAAACTCAAGTGTTGGCCTAAAAGTAGGCTTTCTCGTAAAAAAGATAAACATGTAAAAAACCCCTAACAAAGTTTCAATGCCTAAAACTGGATGTTTCCTTAGGCATTTCAGTTCTGAGCCAGGTTTTGAGTTGCATATAAAAAATATGTGTAACTATTTCATTTTAATTTAGTTGATATTTTCGCTCAAATATGGTGTAGTCTCCCTCATAGATAGGACGTATCCTGAATCTCATTGGCTTATTTCTGCATCAATGAAACTTTGGTTTTAACAGAACTCCAGTTACAAAAGGTTTAAAGGTGGTGTCATTCCCAGCTTAAGTGGGTGGGGCATTGTTTTCAACGTAGTAGGACAGTCTGGCAACCCGTCAATGCCTAGTAGCTACCTTTTCTGGGTGTTTTCTTCAGGTAGATAACTTGGAAACTCTTGAAATGCATCAAAGATAGAAACTAAATTTGTGAACTGCTTTTATTAGCTACAAAGTGAAGAAAAATATCCCGTTTTCCAGACAAACCAATTTTTAAGGCTTCATTTTCTTAGCTTTCCAAGAGACGGATTAGCCTGAAAATACCAGGCTTTGGCAAAGATTTATCAAGTAATCGATGCCTAATCCAACGTACCTCCAATTAGTTTATTCAGATCAGACCTTAAAATGTTTCCGTGGTGAATTAATGCCCATGGTAAGTCAGGTATTAGAATTGTTTCTAAGTTTTTGGTTTTCTAAAAACAATACTGGGCCGTCCTGTGTGGAAATTTCAACCTAATATGGAGACGAAGTTGAATTATAACATTGGGCAAATATTTCACAACGTATAAAGGTTATGGGGAATCCTCCTTGGTTATATGGTTAGATAACACTCTGTGGCTCTTAAAGTACCTTGTGGAATTTAATTTCCCATAAATATGTATAGATAGCAGGTGTTATCTAAATTGAAAGCATAAATTATATTTATATTTATGCCATAAATTATATACTTATGCTATCCGTTTTTGCTAAATATAAATAGATAGAAATTGAATCTGTTTTTTACTCAAAGCTTCCATAGAATTGCAATTATTTTGCTAGAAATAATAACGACGTGGAATAGAGTGAATCACTTATTAGAAAATCTATCTTTTTTCTAAGATTGTTGCAAAAACAGTAAGTTTAAGAAATATATATTCAGATAGAAATGATGGATAATATACACCATAAATGGGCGAGACCTGCCTAAAAAATTGCCGGACCCTTCTAGCTCTAAGCCCTCCATCCCCACGTGCTTAGTACAGTTGACGATACTGCATGATTTATGAAATTTTCTTATTATTTATTTACTTAATTCACTCCTTTGTTCGAAATCACCTCTAAAACTTTGTTTACCACCCACATTTTTAGTTAAAATGGTCAGTGCCCTGTTAAACAACGAGAAGGAGTAGTTTTATCTTCCCTTTTCCCCGTTGGTGATTTGCTTTCCTAATTTATTTGTTTTTTTTTCTAGATTATGTTCGAAACCTTCAACAGCCCTGCAATGTACGTCGCCATTCAGGCTGTCCTCTCATTGTACGCCTCCGGTCGTACCACTGGTATTGTCCTCGACTCTGGTGATGGCGTCAGCCACACTGTCCCAATCTACGAAGGTTACGCCCTTCCTCACGCCATCATCCGTCTCGACTTGGCTGGACGTGATCTTACCGACTACTTGATGAAGATCTTGACCGAGCGTGGCTATTCCTTCACCACCACCGCAGAACGTGAAATCGTTCGTGACATCAAGGAGAAGCTCTGCTACGTCGCCCTCGACTTCGAACAGGAAATGCTCACTGCATCCACCAGCTCAAGCTTGGAGAAGAGCTACGAACTTCCTGATGGTCAGGTGATCACCATTGGCAACGAACGATTCAGGTGCCCAGAGACCCTCTTCCAACCAGCCTTCATTGGTATGGAATCAAGCGGTATCCACGAGACTACATACAACTCCATCATGAAATGCGATGTCGACATCCGTAAGGACTTGTACGCCAACACCGTCTTGTCCGGAGGTACGACTATGTTCCCAGGTATTGCCGACAGAATGCAGAAGGAAATCGCTGCCCTCGCACCATCAACCATGAAGATCAAGATCATCGCCCCACCAGAGAGGAAGTACTCTGTATGGATCGGAGGTTCCATCTTGGCCTCGCTCTCCACCTTCCAACAGATGTGGATCTCCAAGCAGGAATACGATGAATCTGGCCCATCAATCGTCCACAGGAAATGCTTCTAAATCTAGGAACTGAAATATTGATTTTATAACAAATTTCCTCTAGTCGCTATGTTCATAGTGTATTGTCGTAACAATTTTTGTGAAGAAATTTAAGTAATTTCTCGTTTTTCTTCAATTCCCTGTCTGGCCTTAAATACATTATAATAGGAAGATTGAAACATGAAACAGTAAGACAGGGAACTTTTCCTAACAAACTGGTGGAGAGGGTAACCGGAGGTTTTTCACTTGTTTCCACTTCCTTGGACTAATACCTTGAAATTTTGAAGGGTGTCCAAAAAAATTCGCCCTAGATGTCTCGTGATCGATGACGTAAATTTTAACGGTCAGAAAAAAATGAAAATCGTCAAATTTGAAAACAAACAACATCAATCGAAAGAGTATAAAAAACTGAACAAAAAATGCTTAGAAACATATATCCTAAAATCAACCATTTAAAAACCATCACGTGTCAGAGTATTGATGACGTCACCATATGCGCAAGTCACAAGTACGGGAAATTAGTAATTTTCGCCATTTTTGGCCTCTTTTATTGATACTATTGTGTAATATCCATGTTGAGAAAATATGAGGCCTAAGTGGTTATGATGTTACAGTGGATATATAAAGGGTTAAGGCATAGAGTAGCCCCTAATGGTTAAGCTAATCAATTGCTTGACTTTCGTCTAGTGTGGCACGTTTATATTTTCCAAAGTTTTAAAGATTGAAATCTCTATCATTTACAGGTGTAGATGAGCTACGCCAAAATTTTTCATATTATTTGGAAAAGTCTTGCTTATGTATAGAGGTGTCTTAGTTCTGGTGGGTAGTTTCCACAAAATGAGAATTATGCAGAAGATTCTAGACAAGAGGAACGCCTGTTTGAGATTTCGTCAATGATTGTTCGATGCAAGGGTCATATCTGAAAGTTCTGTAGAACTAATGACAGGCATAACTATTGGCCTACGAGAAAGTTTCAAATTAAACAGGGACATAATGTCAAGTAACAAGATTTTCAACATGAAGGGCTGAAGAAAGGCCAGAAAAGATTGCTTTGAAAGTTTTCTTTTTACTGCAACTTTGGAAACATAATTAAATATGGTCTCATCTCAGTGGTGGGACATATTTTAATGGCACCTGAACCAAAGGGGCCCTCCAAATTGCTTCATGTCAATATTGTAAAGTATTCACGCAACTTCACCCCATTTCAATCACTTTTAACTGTCTTCAGCTGATCACTATCGCTTAACTGTCTTCTATATCTCAGTAACTCTAGTAAACAAGAGAGTATATATTTTCACATCTTCCTAATTGTGTTTCACGTGAATGTTGAAAAGAACTTTCTTGCATTCCATCATTTCTAGCAGAGGCGCATTCCGTCATTTTGGACACAGAATATTGACTATTTCATTTGATCGTGCTACTTTCTTTTGTTTTGCATGACAATTGTCACCAAATCAATAACTAAAGCATTATTGGTACGGTAACTGAACCTGTAAGGCCCCACTTGTCTTTTTCTTTCCTTAGTCAAAACTGCAATGACTAAATTTCCATAAACAGTTGAAAAAGTCAACCAGGGCAAACTTCCTCTCTTGCTTCATCTTCCCGAAGTGCACGCACATGTTGAAAATTATGTTACTTGACATTATGTCCCTGTTTAATTTGAAGTTTTCTTAATTGGCGTGAGAATATCGGGTTTGACAAACATTATCATATTTGCAATGCGAATAGGGCCTTGGATTTCCTTAAATATGAAAAAAAATCATCTTATTTGAGCATTCGTGCCTTGGGACCCTATCTCTCCCTCAATTTTGTTGTAGGACTCGATATTATTATAATTTATGTGTTTATTCCTAACCTGGTTTCAATAATATATGAATAAATCTCATGTTCATTTTTTTGAGTCAGTTAATAATTTCAATGTGAGTTGCAAGCTATTTCTTGCTAACGCATTCACACTCATAAAGCCCTATTATACTTTCTTACTTTAAGAGATAGCTATTTTTAAATACCAATTGGCCGTAGATATACATCGGATAAACAAAAATTGGAAACTTCAAAAATAAAACTTTTAGAAAAAATACCTTTGGACAAAAACTTTCGAATGAATTTTCGAGAATTTCTGATTTCTTGATAAATTTTATTTTGATAAATCACGGGAGAATCAGATCTATAGGTTAACAAATCAAGCCTTTCAATATTTTCGTAAAAAGTGAGACATGGCGTTTACAAAAACAGTTTTTAGGCCACGAGCCTCAAAATTTTCCAGTTCTAGAAAAAGTTGCGAGGAAATTGAGGCTTATGTACTGTAAAAGTTTAGAATATAAAAAAACGAAGTTGAAAATAAATCTTTAAGATGGGGTAAATATTTTGCTAATGTTATTGAAAAAACAATGCTTGCATAATACGTGGTCAACTTTTCTTCTGCAATCAAATATTGTCTCATGTCTAAGTTTACACCACGGTATTGAGTCTAATTCAAGATGGAGTGTAGCTTTTCTGCTCATACTGCACTGTAGGTGTGTCGTCTTGATTTTCTTCTCTATCCAACCTTACCTTCCATGACATTTAGGAATAAGACTAATTACAAAAATGATTTGTATTTATTGTTTGAGTTTAAGGAGGTCAACTTGCAGATCTTCCTACACATTTACAAAATAAACACAAAGCGTGCTTGACTGCCAATGCAAACTATTTCCCTCTGTTTACCATCTAAAGCCTTTCAACTATTTATGACTGTTTGCTCTTATCACACCTTCAGCGATTTTCTCGTCGTTTTACTCATTGATTATTTTAAGCTTTCTTTTGATTCATGTCCGCGTATTTATTCCGCCTGCGAACGTAATTGGCCCAAGGAAGATTTCTGTGTCCGCTTAATCAGTGAGAGTGAATCCATCAAGGTATCAGACATTCGAGAAAGACGTTTTTTTGCAAATCCATACTCGCGGCAAATGAAAGAAAGCAAAGTATTTACTATTTACAGTTTTCTTGATAGTCAGGAAATGGGCTGAATAATAGTAAAGATGTGAGCGTACTCATTTTGTTGGCGAGATTATAATAAAGTTACGCAAAACATATTAAAAGTCTATAACAAAAGAAAGCTAATTGTCAAAAGTTTCATTCAACTACATGTCAATAAAAAATGGTAAATATAATTGATAAGATCCTGTTGGCTGTTGATCGCATTTAGGGTGAAGCCCTGAACAGCAATTTTATTCACAAAAGCGTGTACAGCTCCACCTTTATAACACCGCATCGAGCATTTTGTGACAGACCGTTAAACAGTTAATTTATACCATTTCTCGTAATAGATTAGTGCTTGCGAACCATTTATCGTAACAGATCAAATCCTGCGAACCATTTCTCGTAACAGGTCAGATCTTGCGAACCATTTCTCGTAACAGATCAGATCTTGCGAACCATTTCTCGTAACAGACCCATTCTTGCGAACTTTGTAGGTATTCTACTAGATATAGGCAAGTGAATGCGTCAACCTAATTCAAAGGGGATCTTTTGCATCCAATACAAACTTTCTACTTCCTTGGCATTGATTTAGGAAATGACTAGAGTGAGAAAGTCAATTAAATTTCCGTGGTCATTTCGAAGCCCAATATGAAATGCACATCACCCACACCCCATGATGCCCTCTCTGGTGGGTCTATCTATCCTTTAAAGACACTTAAAATATTTAACGGCTTTTTCTTTTACCCTTACTTGTGCCTGAACCAAATTCTATTTCACGAATGCTACACTCACGAATGCAAAAATTTTCTAAGCGTTTTTTTCTATTCGGACAAAACGATTGAGAATGGCAATAGGCAATAGCAAGATAGAATAAGGAACTAAGATATTCCAACTAATATAAACTTGTCTGATTTGCACACTTTGTCTAGGCAATTTTTTTCGTTTCCCTGTTTTTTTGATTTGTCAACAAAGCACCTGATTCTATCTTGGCAATAGGAGCTCGTGTCTTCTTAATAAAGAATTCATAAGGGCGTTTATTTGTTTGATTTTGGTCAATGAATAAGATTAGAAATGTTTAGATGTTAAACTGTTGGCTTTTGTTAGTTTGCAAAGATTCCTAACATGCTTATTGAGGTGAAGTACGATCCATATTAGGCTCAGATGTCTTCATCATTAGAGCTCTTTTCCCTGTTTATGCTTGATCTTACAAATAAAGCTCTAGGAACCAAATTACACAGAACGTGATAGATTGTTTAGCTACAACTCTCTTAGAAATGCCTGCTTTTCTTCATGTTTAGTAAGTTTCACAAGATTGAAACAATGTTTGAAAATTGAAAGCAACGGCAGTAGGATAGTTTCTTTTGACCACCTTATATCTGTATGAATTCGCCTTATTAGGATTGTTTTTCAGCAATCGTTTTTCCTTCTTCCCCAGGACCATGACATCTAATCCTATAAATATTTATGATGCGGCTTTGTTGAAGCAAAGGCAGATGCTGACTGTAATTAACATCAGTGTGTCCTCATATATTTTCTCAATCTAGAATAATCAACATTCTGCTGCCGCATGGAACGCGATTTTCAGTACTAAAATGAAGTTTGTAATGTTTCTATTGAGTTGCTTGTGCTCTGGTACAACATTCGCCATGAATCAGCGATCGAAATTTGACAATTCGATTTGGATGGATTCAAATCAGCAATACAGATTTGATTGGAGCATCGATCGGGCTCAAAAAGTAATTCGCATAGCTGTTACAGTTAAAACGACAGGATGGATTGGTTTAGGTGTTTCAAATGGGCATCATATGGGTACAACTCGAGCTGATGTTGCATTCGGTTGGATCAATTTGAACGGTGAAGTTGCTTTGAAAGTAAGTGAATGGTTTTCGTTTTCTCTTAAGCTGAATCCATAAAATTGCTTCTTGTTCACTTTCACAACGAAGAACATCGTATTTACAGACCAGTGCTGTCAAAATAATTGAATGTAAAAATTTACTTGAAAAACGTTCAATTTTAGAATTTTGTAGACCTTTTTCAACATTTGCAGCAGCTTCCACTTTCATTCATTTTCCAGAAATTTTCAAAGTCTGATTTTTAAAAGCTCTAATTTTTCAATACTTGTGGTAGTTCAATAATAGGAAGATAATAAAATCAAGAAAATAATTTTAGTTTATTCTGCCAACCTTTAAGCGAAATAAGTATTTTGTTCAATCGGCGGGATAGAAATTGATCTCATTATTTGACTCGGTTTTGCCGAATAATGATTGTTGAAACACCACTAGACCTAGGGGAGGCAGGATAATCAGGGGTGCAGTAGAAATATTTGGCAAGATTTCTAACAGAATAGAATTCGAATAAGAAAGTTCTGGTCTGAAAATCCAGCTTATTTGTGATAATTTCGTTTGTTGCTTTTTTTGTCACGTCTAATCTTGTTCGTTTAATATGGTGTTGCGTATTGCAGGATTGTTACGTGGACTGGCAGGGCAAGTTCTTGGAAGATGAAAAACAGGACCTTCAGTTGATCGACGCTTGGCAAGATGATGCGTGGAGTGTTATGATTTTTCAACTAAAGATTGTCACGTGTGACGACAACGATCTAGATTTCAAGGTATTTAGCCAAGAATATTGCTTATGCCCTTTTAAAATTAACATTAGCCAATCAAAAAGCACGTGAGTGGTATCATGCTCTCTGATTGGCCAATTCTTAAATGACACTTGGCTTTAGCTAATTTTGTACCTGTTGATTGTTATAATTATAATTATAGCAATGCTAATAACTTTTGGTATTCTAGAGAATTTTTCTCTTCTTATCGCAAATTTTCGATACTTATAAGTGTGTGGTGTGAACTTCAAAGGCAAACGTGTGAGCAAGTGACAATGCGAGGTGCGAATTTCATCCTTGCTAAGTCTCACGCTGTCATTATCTCAGGGCCCCACGACGCAGAATTCCCACGGAAAACGAGACGCAACGAAACCTCTCTTCTTCTGCAAGAAAACCTACAGTTCACATCAAAAAGCCCTTGTGACATGCTGCTGTTTTTGCCTATTTCCAGCAAAGAACCAATGCCACAACCATACACTCTTCTTCTAATATTCCTCCCGTTTAATGATGCTGTGCCATTGTTTTTTTTCGTTAAGAGGATTGACCAATCATGATCTACCCTGAGTATCATAGTGAATGGCAAGTCCCAATGGACTTACTTCTCATCTTCTCTTAATTTCCTTCCGCATCTGCTTTGTTTCCCTTAGATACCATTGGCTTGCGAGCAACAGCCAACTGCAGGTTGGTTGGTGGTTATTGTGTTTGCCTAATATTGCCCGAATATCAGGGATCTTTCAACTGTCTGTCATTTCTGACGAATTTTAAACTCAACTGGGGCTCCAACACTCCTTTCTCCTTCCTGCTTCACCTGCTTTAAGTATGAGAGGTTCTTGTTCACAGGATGAGGGTGATCATAAACTATTTAAATGTACCTGGGATTTGAGAAAAAAGGTGGCGGATCAAGAACGCCTTTTAGAGATTTGCCTGATTAGCCTCTTAAGTCGTTTGAAAGGCCATCTATGGACAGTTGAGAAAAGCTGTTTTTCATCTCTTTATCACTGCTAAAGAATGGTTTTGCTGCACTGCGAAACCTGTTGTAGCAGTGTTGAAATCTTCGCTTCTACTGTAATCTCTTCCTGGAAAATACGCTTTTTAGATTCCAGGAAATTCTTTTAGGTCATTTGACTGTTTGACTTGAAAGGCTAGCAGTTCCAGTTGAAAGAGCACCATTGCTCTACTTTTGTTGATATAAGCCTCATTTCTTCTTTCAAAACAGTTTTAAAAGTTTTCCGTCAAAAAAACCGTTTTCAATAAACCTTTCACATAACAGGAAGTGAAAAAAGGAAGACTATAATAGTAAGTCACAGATTTTTAGCAAGATTTTTAGCATCCTTTTTTCTTCATCCATCATTTTGCATCTATAAATTTCAGATTTTCGAAAAAAGTTTCAAGTCAGTGCCGAGTTGGAGAAACAAACCACCTCTGAGATATTTCAATGATACAGAAGCAGAAAGCATTCTTGGTTAAAATGGGAGTAGTGTGAGCGTAAAAGTCGGTCTCTGAGAGTTTTGTTCTAGTTTTGTTCTCTAACGATTCTTCTCACAGGCAATAAAAAGGTCCTTGCGAGAGCAGTTTCCTAAACAGATAGCAAGGACCACACAGATAGAAACAGTTTTTAATGTTAGAATTTGGTTAATTTGCTTAAAAGATTTGTAATTATGATCCCTTCACACAAAATGCTCACCCAAAATGCTCACACAAAATGCTTATCTAAACTGCTCATCCAAACGGAATGTTGGGTCATTTTCACGCGAAACGCTTACCAATTATCCATCACACCAGCAAATAAATTTTTAGCGAGTAGAAGGTACATTGGTCCAGACCATGTATCTATCTCCCAGTCTACCCGTTTCTATGATAAGTAAATTATTTTAGCTGGCAATTCATTTTCGCGACCTGCTGAAACATTTTGTTGACCAGGGAAATCGTTTATCATTTCCTCCACTTCCTATTGATTCATTGAAAAATTTTGGCCCAAAAGTTCCTAAGTACCAACAAACAATTTGTACAGATCAGGGAATAGTCATGGTGTTGACAGCTGACTCCTACTTTAGCCTCATTTGGTGCCCTGACCTTTATTCAGAGTGGCTAAACTATTTTCGGCTCCTTGTCGGAGAATTGTTTGAATGAAATACAGACAGAAACTTGAATGCATTTCTAGTTACCAAAAACAACTTTTCGGAAACATTTATATTTGGTTGATGCCACTGTTTTTAGTAGTATTTTTTGTCGAATAGTTTATCTCAACATCCCTGATCTCATCATCTGAATGGCCTGTCTACTTGTGTTTGGCCATCACACTCTGCTCGTGACATACGTCCTACTCTCCGTCTGCACCTATGTTTTCATGGAGAGTGGGCGAGATTTACGAGAAAGGCAGTTGGAAATCGCGTTAGGTGGGATAAAAAACATCTATGTAGACTTGTTTGAGTGGGCTGGGTAAAAGACGACAGTCTTGTGTCGCGACGAGCTTAGAAATGAGACGAGGGTCGCCCAGAAAAACAAACTTCAATCTAACTGAAGCGCAATGGCAAGCATACGGGCTGACTCATGAGAAAACAATATTGCCTGTATAATATTTCTTTTCAGTTACATTGACTAGGACCTAATGTTTTATCTACCAAAACAGACTTTTTGTCACAAACGGAATCTGGAAACGCAATCTGGAAATTTAAATGAAAACTTGTTAATAATTGTATCTTTTCTTAGGATGACACGATGACTTTTCTATACTCATGGGGTTTGGAGACTCCCGTTTGGAAAACATGCTCCGATCTTTCGAAAGTCAAATGGAATTTTAAGAATATCAACATATTAAGAAGCAACAGGAGGAATTCTGAAGTTCCACCAGAGGTGAAATTGCTTGACATTGAAACGAAGAAGGTTAGTGGAAAATTTTGCTAAATCTGTCTTGATTTTGCAAATGTGATTTTGTGCAAATAATTTATTCTTTAGAAAGAAACAGCGTAGTTTGCCGGAGAAATATTTCCTTTTATGCAGGTGTTTCCTCGCAAAGATGCACTTTTGGGGCGGTGACAGTTCTGGTACATCGTCACAGAATGTACATCTGGATCTTCAACAATGGGGAATGGGGCTTTCACCCCCTCTTTTTTGCAATATCCCTTGCTATAAGTCTGCTCTGAATTTTGCAATTTGCATCGGAGCTCAGTATTTTAGGCCTACAGTGGAACTATTTTCTTGAGATGCACCATTTGGTTATGGTATGGTTTGATGAGTGACAAATATCGTTTTTAAAGGAATCGCTTTGATTTTAACTAAATAAGTTCTTCGTTCCACTAATTTTGTTGAGATAGATCTGATGTATTGCCTATGCAAATGCTAATCAACCGTGCACTAGTAGGACCTGCGTAGTCAACTGTACCTGCATCTTTCACTCTGTTTTGTCGCGCTTGAAATTGCTAGTTGGATTGGCCTTTTAATATCATGATAACCTTTTATTATCTTTCACCACGCCCAGACAAACACAATTTAAAGTATAACATTTCTTTTTGCTTTGTACTTTGAAAACTCTGCTGTCTACAATGCCACAAGCTAAATTTGCAGTGAATTTTATGATAAAAACCAGACAGAATTTGCGTGGGCGCTTGGATGTGGATCCCAAAAAAATATACTGATTCAAAGGAAATCTCAAAAATGATTAATGAAATCTCAAAAACAGATACATTTATAAAACCAGGGCCTTTGTGTAAGCTCTTTACTTCGCCAACCTCACAAACAACGTCATCAAGATAAGAAAAATTTACATTCGCTTATTGGAGAAGGGAGGAGAATTAGACTGCCTGCTGTTTTATAATAAGCGAGTTATTATTGGCATACTAATTATAATTTTCATAAGAGTAAAGAAAGTCAAATTCTGGAAATGCAGCCGAGAGTCCAGAAAATTGTCCATCTTTCCTCCAACAAATCCATCAGACTGTGGGAACCTTTCTCAGACAACAATGCAAACAAGGCTAGGTTTGGGTGTGGCCTGTGAGTTTGTTTTTTCATTAGCCTGCTTCACAGTCGTTGCCACGAACGTCGTTGTCACGGTCGTTGCCACGGTTGTTGCCACGGTCGTTGTTGGAAACGCCATCTTTTCTTGGCTCTGTTCCTTGGGCCTAAGTTTCATTTTAGCAAGACTACAACAACGGAGTTGAAACTTTTTGTTATAGTTATTAAAATGTGTAGGAACAAGTTTTAACAACAAACTATCTTGGAAAATTTGTGGAGAAAAAGTAAATCATGATTTTAAGTCAAGTCTTATAGATTCGGAAATTAAAACTGGAGAACATTCCCAGAATGTTCGATATTGCTGCAGAAGAATGAAACACTTTGAATTGCATAAATAATTGAAAGAGTCGTATCTTTCTATATGGAATAATTGTTAAAAACTTTTTTCCCAAGATATCAGTCCCAACAAGAAAAACAACATATTGGTGTCAACCATTTAGAATCAGTGATTACGCCCGGCTACCTTATCTACAACACATCTTCAAGGTAACATAGAAAAATATCTATTTTTTGCATAATTCTGTTTTTTGGTAAGTTCTCATTTTGTTTTAAGTTTTCCAGCTTATCAGCATAGCAATATTTTGAAGCCTTAAATAAGGTGATTGTTCTAAAGGGATGCTCATTAAAAGTCACTTATCGCTGCAAGTGAATTTGAAAATTGGTATAGAAAAACTAACATTTTGTGCTTCAAAACGTTTTAGGCCAACCTTGTTTGGCAAGTCCATTAGGTCTACTTATTTCGGAGACAATGCAGAAAGTGGCATTGCTTGACCTTCGATATTAGGTGGGGTGGAGGGCCATCGATAGTAACATTTACTGACGAAGACCTCGATGAAGAAAGGTTTAGGCGCTATTTCACCTTCCGATAGATGATTTTAACAGAAAAGTAAGGATTTTGTGACCAAATGAAGATTTACTGACCAACTCATAAGGTATTAGAGTGAAGTGTAGCAATCCCTACATCCCCCCCTCCGCTAGCTACGTCCCTGAATGCAGGGTACCTATGTTGTTGAAAATAATTTAACACAGCGTTTCACCGAAAATTTTATTCTAACATACCTACAATAGATGACCTCTGCAAAGGCCCCTTATTTTCTTGTAAAGTGAACCAGCGAATATTTTCAGGAATTATATCAATCATTGTTTGAAGATCTTGTAAAAAGTTTGTTTTCGAGTTTCTTGTTTTTTGGTTCCTGTTTTTGCTTTCGTTACTTGTCCCTGGGCGCACTGATTTCTGACATTAAACTCATTGTCTTTGTCAAAGTGGAAAATCGAGAAAACTTTTCCAAATTTGACAAAGATAATCCGATTTCCGCTTGGAAATTCGAGCGCACTGCAGTTCGTGTGTGTAATGGTTGTTTGCTGTTTGGTTAATGCGAAGTAATTTAAAACAAAGAACGAAGTGGCATTTATTGCTAATCTTTTCCTTTTTTCAGAGTTCGTCCTGATCTGGGGAGGGACGACGGAACCTTTTAGGGACTAGTGAATTTGGTTCAGTGGCAATTCGGGTGGGCGCACTGGAAAATCAGCATTTGTTTACTAACAAGCTTAATCCTTTTTGTCTATGAACTATAGAGATTAAGTTTGTCAGAAGTTTTTCCTGAAATCTTGTTCACTGCGCCCAGGACCTGTGCTTTTTAGATGTTAGTTGAGATTCTGCCGAATAAGGTCAAATAACAAAAAAGCATTGAATGAATCTCCTTACCATTTTTGGCGATACCTATATTCCTGTCAATCTTCTATATTTGATTTTGAACCTGCTTCCATAAAGGTGCAAAGTAAATTTTACATCCTCTTCACGTCCAATAAAAAGTACATAAATAACGTTTTCTTCATTTCTGTCTTTTAATAGAACTGTGAAAGACATGTTCTTCTTTCGCCTAATTAAGAAGCCTCACTAAAACACTTCATTGGCCGTTCAATATTATTTTATTTATTAACCTATTTTACATTTATTCGTTGTAATTGCAAAACTGACAATTGTTTAAGTACACAGGTTTCACTGTTTTTGCTTTTTGTTTGCCTAGATCAAGCCTATGATAACCGAAGGCCATACACCATTATTGCATCACATGTCTCTATTTGCTTGCAAAGACAGCTTCAATCCACGTCATCTTTCTTACTCCGGCCTCTGTTTTGGTCCAGATGTGCCTTCGTCGGTACGAGACTGTCATGGAATGAGCGGACTATACTCCTGGGGAAGAGGCGCGGAGGTCAGATACTATTTTCAAAATAATGAAAACCAGAACATCGTTTTAGATAATATACACTCACGTGAAAAAATTATTAGGACGATTGCCTTAAAGCAAATGTGGTTAATCCTTTGCTCAAAAGAACAACAAAGAAAATCGGTGGAACATAGCGAGATTGCTGGTTGAGATTTTCGATTGCAATTTTACCCATTTGTAAAAATAAACATAAATTTGATAAATTGTAAAAAAGTAAAATTTTTGGACAGGTACAATTTGCTTTATTTCAAATTTTGTCGGATGACCTCCAAGATCTAGGCAGCCGCCATTTGCATTGGAACTCACTGAAAGAATTTTCCAACGAATTACTTCGGATACAGGAGGAAAATTTTAGAAGCACAATTTTAAAAGATCTTATTTTTGGTCTTAGAAGATTCCATGTCTTGGATTTTTTAATGGAAACCAGTTGTTTTCAATTACATCAAGGCTTTGACTTTAACGGGATCATTGAAAGACCATGATGTTATTGTTTTTGGAAATTTATGTCACAATTGCAACATAAATAGGTTTATTGTCTTGCTTAAAAATAAACTGTCTTTGCAAAGAATCATTACTTGCCTAGGGGTCTTCCACAAATAATTGGACAAAATATTCAGCATTGATTGACTTCGCACACAGCGCCAGCTTGCCGATGCCATTAGGTCCAACCAATAGTCGGCCCGCCCTGGCCTACCATTCTTTGAATTTTAGTCGGCCTTGTTAGCTTATTGTTCTTATAAATAACATGCGTTGTAGACTTGCTGCAACCAAACGTTCTTTCTATCATAAAAAGGTAGAAAATAATTTGAATTTGCTAGGATTTGCATTTTGCTTACGCCATTTCTAGAATCCCGCCAAAACAGCAAGTTTTGTTCAATCAATGTTAGAGCGCTAGTTTTGGAGACGCCATTTTGTTTTTCATTGTCCTAATACTTTTGTCACATAAGTGTATGTAAGATAATTAGAATAATTTTCTTACATCAATAAATCCGAAGATGACTTCACATGGCTTTAAATAAAATTTTATGCTTCAAACTAACACGATGTCTCATCAAGTTAAAAAACGCACTCCGCAAAAAGCTTGATTTTAGTCATATTCAATGACACATGTTATTGAATGACACATGTCTTATATCGTGCATTTTTCCACATGGCGCAGCGTCCGCCCTGTCGGCTTATTTTTCCATTTTCTTACTTTGTTCTTTATTAATAGTCGTTATTTGTTAATACAGGACTTAGTTTTTCCAGAAAATGTTGGATGGCCAATTGGAGGAAAAGACGGTATAAAATACATTGTTTTGGAGGTGCATATTAACAACCCAAGCAGAGAAAAAGGTTTGTACATTTGCGATTCTAATGTTCCGCTTTATGACAGTCAGTCTTTCGAGACATAACTGCTTTTAAGATCCTAATGAATTCTGATTTCTTTAATGTAAGACATTTAGTGAGAGAAATTATGCCGTCACACAAAAAGCCTTAATATGTCTCCAAATGGTTGTTTTTTCAAAGGCCACTTTAGAATTGTTTTTAAGGTTTTGGCCTATGTCTTTGATTATGGAGAACAAATACTGCAAAAACTGGAGTAAATAATGAAAGGAGTAAATCGTGAAAGGCCTTTTAAATTACGAAGATCATTCATCGTATAACCTCGGCTGAATAAAAAACGACAAAGAGGCAATACAAACATGCTGCTATTTAGACTATTCGTAATTACTCATTTTTTCTACCAATAGTCACCTGCCAAGACACAAACATTCTTCTAAACCAACAAACAGTACCATTCATTTTCAAGGGTATATGGCACGGGGTCATATGTTTGGTTATTCAAAAACTTTTTATTTCAGTTTTGACTATTATGGCAATTTTCTTATAGGCTATGCAGTCAAAGGTGGGTTCAGGCTATTTTACGGACAACCAAGGCAATACACAGCTTCTATGCTTACTTTGGGCGTAAGCGATTCAAGTATATCCATACCACCACAGAAAAAGAAATGGACCTTGAAAGGAGTTTGTACCAAAAGCTGCACCAAGGTAACAAATAGAAAATGAGTACCCTTTTATACTATTGTCTTTATGATAGTATGGGATGGGGGGGGGGGGTGCAAGGGTTTTCAGAAGTAGTATGAACCAAGCTTATTAAAGGTTTTGGCGGATTTAAGGATTCCACATACAAACTATTCTGTCTGTTGAAAAACGCCTCTAGACTGAATCTAAAGCCGACTTGTTAAATTTTCTTACTCTGTTGATTTGGTTTTATTTTATTTTGTTTTCAGTGATAACTGATTAAGGCAAAAAGCTACGGTAGAATGATGTCACCTCTTCCATCAGATAAGCTCCCTTTCCCCCTTCTCTCAATAGTTTCTAACCGCAAATATATGAAGGCCTATTTAAATTGCTAAACATTTATAAAGATAGGAATTTAAGGGAAGGAGTGAAATTTTTGTATCCGAAATGCTTCTTTCGACACTTCAAAAATAGAGCGGCTAATATCCTTACTGATTCTATTAAAGGACCTTCAAATTGTTTCTTTTTTTTCCTAGAAGTTACAGGAGAATAATGATCCAAATGCTTTTGGAAGTATCAAGCTTTTCGGCGTATTGCTGCATGCTCACAAGAATGCAGTTGAAATTCGAGTAGCACTGGTGCGAAATGGTGAAGAAGTCAAAGAAATATCACGCTTCAACAATTTCAAATATTTCCAACAGGTACAAGGCATAGATTTTTTGAAAACTGTGACGAGCCTTTTTTGGAGACAAGCGAGCAAGTCTGTTAGTGTTTAAGGCAGCCCCTCGGTTTGGAGTCCGTGCATGCACAATAATTCTCAAGTTCTATACGCATACTGCGACTCCCGGACAGGGACTGCCTTGCTCTTTAAAAACATTTCTATTGTTTGTCTCCCTAACAAGATACTAAATCGTATACTAACGTGCCCTAACCCCTCTATAATAAAATAACACGCTTTTAACGTGATCAGCTTTTTATTTCATATGACTGTGCATGTCTCCACAAGACAGTTACGCAACCGTCGGCTCTTAGATCTGTCCAATGGTTTTTAACAGTTAAGATATTCAAAGAACCCGTAATCTATTACTTCTGGCCTACTCGATGGAATTGATCACAGAATTTTATGAATTACAATTTTTGGCGTGCTCCTAACCTTCGTTTTATCTTTTTTAGAGGATTGCCCCAATGGATCCTGAAGTTGAGATACAACCTGTAAGTAATCGTAACAACAGAACATACAATTTTTGGAAAGTATATTGTTTTGAAGACCAATAAAAGTCTTTTAAAAGAATCTTTTAAAAGATGTTTATATTCTATGTTGTTTAAGATGACAGCAAAACTGTAAGATGTAATCTGTAGATTATTTTAGTTCAACACTCTAATGTGAGGGGGGCTCTTTAAGAAAGGAAAGTTAAGTTAAGAAGTTAAGACTCAAAAAAAAACAAGTTGATACTTTATGACATAGATGTTTATTGATTGCATAAGTTTATAATGGATATAACAGCGAATTTAAAAGAAATATATTAAGCGAATGTACTTGTCTAGCGATTTGATGTGATTAAGCGATCACAGAGGTACAACTTTTCAAAAACATATTGAGCAAAATCGAATAGTTTATGAAGAATGGTAATTAAAGAACTCTTGAAAAGGAAGCTATGAATATGAAACTTAAAGGAAAGCTTTCTGTTGCACATTCCGAGAGCTTTCTCTAAAGACTGTTGCTTATAATATTTTGACTTCATTTCATGTTGTTACTTATTGTAATTCTTTTGGTCCACAAGATTGACATTCGCCATAATGCCTATTTTTATTCCAGGGAGATGAAATAAATCTCTACTGCACTTACAACACTTTGCACAAGAGAGAAACAACTCACGTAAGTAATAATACTATTCACCATCATCATTAAAATCATCTTCATAATCAATCAAAAATCATCATTACATCATAATCAATCATAATTATAATCAGCAATCATCATTACCTAATCATTATCATAAATCATAATAATCATTCATTATCATCAACCATGAATCATAAAAGTCATTATAAATATCAAGCATTACATCATCATCAATCATAAATCATCAGTAATAAATCATAATAATCATTCATAATTATCAACCATAAATCATAATAGTCATTATAAATATCAAGCATTACATCATCATCAATCATAAATCATCAGTAATAAATCATAATAATCATTCATAATTATCAACCATAAATCATAATAGTCATTATAAATATCAAGCATTACATCATCATCAATCATAAATCATCAGTAATAAATCATAATAATCATTCATAATTATCAATCATAAATCATAATAGTCATTATAAATATCAAGCATTACATCATCATCAATCATAAATCATCAGTAATAAATCATAATAATCATTCATAATTATCAACCATGAATCATAAAAGTCATTATAAATATCAAGCATTGAATCATCATCAATCATAATCATTAATCGTGATCAGCATCGTCATCATTTGACAATATTGCCTTTTGAAAATATTTGACAATATTAACCCTTTAATACTATCATTTGTAGGGTGGAATGGGTAGTGACGATGAAATGTGCTTTGCCTTCTTCCTGTATTATCCAAAACGCAACCTCTCTTTTTGTGGCACTGATGCTATTCCTCTGCCTTCAATAGGAAGCAGATCATTGTTTAAGAGGTATCAAAGTATTTAATTTTATTTAATTTTATTATACATTTGCTTGATATGGTAGCATTACTTTAAGCCTTTTGAGTATAGATAAACGTTCAAGCTACAAAATATTTTTGTGAATGTGAGCATAATTATAAACTTAAAATTACTTGCAAAAAGTTTCTCATGCGAATTACGACAAGTGTGAGCCAGGTTTTAATTCTTCTTTGCAGAAGTTTTTGGAAAAGAATGCTCCTGGAAAGATATGAGAACAATTCAAGATCTCCGTACGATCTTTTTGCCAGCGTCAGCCAGCAGTGTTTTGGAATAAACAGTATCAATTATGTGAATATTGTCTTTTTTTAACGGTTACTTATGCAAATTCTCATTACATTGATCCTTGTCTTGTTCATAATGTTGATATAATTACAATATCTTTGTTTTATCCAAGCTTGATGTGTGAGAAACCAGACCAGACTGTAAGATAACCTACCATGATTTGCAGGAATCCTAGACCAAAATTTCAAATTATTCATAACTCAATTGCTGGGCATCCGATCAAATCATTGATAATCCATAAATAATGCCAAATCTGATGTTATCTTGATGTTTTGTTTTTCCCCTAGAATCTGCCACGTGCATGGGTGCCTGTCCTGGTGAAAAAAAGACTGTCTAAAGCAATTTGCCCAAACAGACAACTGATAGCACATTAGCCGACGATCAAACTTCTGGCCCTAACTTCTGAAGTTCTTGAAGAATGAAATCTTTAAAGGGTATACAAAACATGATCAATTTCTCAAGTGCCTTTTTCCATCATTTTTAAAGAATTTAATTGATTTTTTCTGCGTGTGTTTCGTGTGTCCGTAGCCTTGCTTTGCCTTACGTTCTAAGCCACTGTGTCATTAAAAATTCCCGGCTAGGCATTTAACTATTGGCAAAGTTTATCCCCGACAAAAGAAGGTACTTCTGGAGCAAAAATGCTTAAAATAAAGAGAAGTCAAGTATGCTGCACTAAATTCGAACAGATGCAAAAAAAATTGATGCGGTCGCAAAGAACCTAGGCAATCTATTACTTAAATTTCTCTGCCACATGTTATATATTTGGCACGGTAACTATCTTATGATGTAATCGTCCGCAATCGAAGATGGACACATGATAATATTTGGGTTGAATTTACATGATACTATTTAGGTACTACAATAAATACAAAAAAATTAGAAAAATTGCTCTATCAACTAACCTAATTGATAGCAAAGTCGAACGCTGTCTTCTAAAGAAAATACAAAGACCTTATAAATAACCTTATAAAAAAATAAAATAATTGAACTTTAAAAAAGATGATTTCATGCTGATTTCTATAAAAAAAAGAAGCTTAAAATTACCAAACACCTACGCGAATTTAGCTTGAAAAAGCTCTTATTTACTAGGCCTATAGTAGAAAGCACCCAACGTTTCCTGAAAAGTACAAATACTTAGCTTGAAAGCAGTAAAAATAAATTAAGCCTATATGGCTGTAATTATCTCGACAAGATGACCTACAGAGAAATTAATAAATAGTCTATTATAAAGCATGGAAATACATAAGAAATGTAGCATGGCCGTCTTCTTATCCAAAAAAGAAACCAAAATTGCCTCTAAATAAAAATATTTAGTTTAAACAAGCGGAAGCAAACTAAGCCTATAGGCTTTGCAATATTCTCGAAAGAATGAACAACAAAAAACTCATAAATGGTGGATTTTAAAGCCTGCACATACCTTAGAAATGTAACAGGCCGTCTTCAAAAGCCAAGAAGGCATCCAACGTTTCCTGAAAAGTACAAATACTTAGCTTGAAAGCAGTAAAAATAAATTAAGCCTTTAGGGCTGTAATTTTCTCGACAAGATGACCTACAAAGAAATTAATAAATAGTCTATTATGAAGCATCAAATAAATACATTAGAAATATAGCATGGCCGTCTTCTTATCCAAAAAAGCAACCAAAATTGCCTCTAAGTAAAAATATCCCATTTCAAAAAGCTGAAGCAAACTAAGCCTATAGGCTTCCAATAGTCTCTTGAAAGAATGAACATCAAAAAACTCATAAATGGTGGATTTTAAAGCCTGCACATACCTTAGACATGGAACAGGCCGTCTTTAAAAGCCAAGAAAGCATCCAACGTTTCCTGAAAAGGACAAATACTTAGCTTGAAAGCAGTAAAAATAAATTAAGCCTATATGGCTGTAATTTTCTGGACAAGATGACCTACAAAGAAGTTAATAAATAGTCTCTTATAAAGCATGCAAATACATAAGAAATGTAGCATGGCCGTCTTCTTATCCAAAAAAGAAACCAAAATTGCCTCTAAGTAAAAATATCCCATTTCAAAAAGCTGAAGCAAACTAAGCCTATAGGCTTCCAATAGTCTCTTGAAAGAATGAACATCAAAAAACTCATAAATGGTGGATTTTAAAGCCTGCACATACCTTAGACATGGAACAGGCCGTCTTTAAAAGCCAAGAAAGCATCCAACGTTTCCTGAAAAGGACAAATACTTAGCTTGAAAGCAGTAAAAATAAATTAAGCCTATATGGCTGTAATTTTCTGGACAAGATGACCTACAAAGAAGTTAATAAATAGTCTCTTATAAAGCATGCAAATACATAAGAAATGTAGCATGGCCGTCTTCTTATCCAAAAAAGAAACCAAAATTGCCTCTAAGTAAAAATATCCCGTTTCAAAAAGCTGAAGCAAACTAAGCCTACAGGCTTTGCAATATTCTCGAAAGAATGAGCAACAAAAAACTCATAAATGGTGGATTATAAAGCCTGCACATACCTTAGAAATGTAACAGGCCGTCTTCAAAAGCCAAGAAAGCACCCAACGTTTCCTGAAAAGGACAAATACTTAGCTTGAAAACAGTAAAAATAAATCAAGCCTATATGGCTGTAATTTTGTTGAGAAGATGACCTACAGAGAAATTAATAAATAGTCTTTTATAAAGCATGCAAATACATAAGAAATGTAGCACGGCCGTCTTCTTATCCAAAAAGCAACCAAAATTGCCTCTAAGTAAAAATATCCCGTTTCAAAAAGCTGAAGCAAACTAAGCCTATAGGCTTACAATTTTCTCGAAAGAATGAACAACAAAAAACTCATAAATGGTGGATTATAAAGTCTGCACATACCTTAGACATGCAACAGGCCGTCTTCAAAAGCCAAGAAAGCATCCAACGTTTCCTGAAAAGTACAAATACTTAGCTTGAAAGCAGTAAAAATAAATTAAGCCTATAGGGCTGTAATTATCTCGACAAAATGACCTACAAAGAAATTAATAAATAGTCTTTTATAAAGCATGCAAATACATAAGAAATGTAGCACGGCCGTCTTCTTATCCAAAAAGCAACTAAAATTGCCTCTAAGTAAAAAAAATCAGTTTCAAAAAACTGAAGCAAACTAAGCCTATAGGCTTGCAATATTCTCAAAAGAATGAACCACAAAAAACTCATAAATGGTGAATTATAAATCCTGTACATACCTTAGAAATGTAACAGCCATCTTCCTTAAGCAACCAAAGTTTCCATATAAGTACAAATATTCAATCAAAGTTACTAAGGCTATAGGCTTGCCTTTATTGCAGAAAAGATCAACAGAGATGCCAAAAACCTTGCTTTATGAATCATGCATCTACTATGGAAATATCGTAGGCTTTTTTCGAATGGAAAATTAAGCAACCAAAGTTTCTTGATAAATACAGTTACTAAGCTTGAGAAAAGCTAAAATTTACTAAGATTAAATATGATATGATCTATAGGAGGCATATATGAAGGTTTTTAACGTAGGTAAACTAGACGCTTTTGTTCCAGTAAATAATTGAATATTAACTTGGAAAATATAAAGTTCTTGGTTGACACACGTGATCTAAAGCTTCTTTATTCCAATCAAATATACCCAAAATCTTCTAATGTTTACTTTCAATGATTTCCATTTTGACATGCTCCTTTTTCACCTCAGGGAGAAAAAATATTTGAGCAGGCTTTATATTGTTGAATACACAGCAAATAGTATCATAAAATTCTTTACTGCTTTGAAACAGTCAAGTTTATAACTTTAAAGGAAATTTTTCAATTTAATGATGTCTCTCTTTTCCAATCAGTCGATGCAACGAGGACTGTTCTATGGATCAGGATTAGGTTTTATGACTTCACTCCAGTAAGCTAGATTTCTCGCTATTTGCTGTAATTGCTTTGGGTTTACTTTGAGCCCCTTCATGTTCCTTTTGGTAACATCCTTGGCTCTGAGTCTGGGCCTTCAAGTGCTTTGTTTACCCTTGCAGAGTTGAGAATTCAACAGCTATCTAGGGAGCCTGTCATCTTTTATCCTGTGCACGTGACCCAGCCATAAAAGGTTCTTCTGAATCAGAATGTCCGCCATTGATGGTAGGCCTGCACGTCGCTGGTTCTCTATATTTGCGATTTTGTCTTGCCATGTGACATTTTATTATGCAATAGCAAAGATATTTCAAATCTCGAATAGGCTAAGGGCATCTTAGATTTATTTAAAACTAAACTACTTCGGTGGTTCATGGCTGAAAGGATTTATCTGAATTTCGTTGCTTTGTTTTTTTTTCAGCCAAGCAACGCTGATTTTGAAAGCACTTAAATAGCACGCACAAGTTCGTCAGGTACAACTTTAAAGGAAAATAATATAAATCAATAACTACATATCAAAAAGGTATTTGTCATAAAAGAGAAATGTTTAGCTATCAGTTTGTAAGTCAATGTTCAGATTTTGCATCGATTTTGTAACGAATTCCTTTACTTCAGGACGAGATGAAGTTGCAATGGCGAAAAGCTTCTGAAGAAGAGAAAGGTCCCCATCTAAAAAGAAATCGGTTAAAATTACTTTAGATTAATCGAGTTTAGTGGAAAATAAAATTATAATAAAATTAATGGAAAGACTGCATGTATGTTTTGAAACAGCCAGTTCATACTTTCATCTTATTTGAAAACAAGACAAATAATACACATGAAATTCTTACCATCAACGAGAAGAACAAGCTCGGGAATGCCTTTTGCAGCAGACATAACAACATCTTGACTCCCCGCTTGCAAAGCTTTCAAGTAGGCGTCAACCAGCAAGTTAGTATCCCTGCAAACGTATTTAGAAACATAAGGAGAAAATACTGGGTTCCAACAAATATATTATAAAAGAAAATAACCTCGAACCCAATGATAGTCAAGCTAATTAGTGTCCTACTTTAAAAGGGCTCGGTTTTGCGGATAGTGCACGTGGTAGTGACAGCAAAGATGTTCGTGTTGCTATTGAATATGAACGATCTCTAGATGGAAAACAATCTCCCTGCCTTGCCTATCAAAATTACGTAACCAAAGGTTTAGGTCTTGCTTTTATAACTTTATCTAATAATACCTCTTCTGCTCCCCCTTTACTTACTTATAATAACATTAGTAATAGTTAACATTAGTAAAATTAGTAATAACATAAATTTGAAACGGGGGAGTAGTTAAATTTACCCTTTAAATTTACGTAAAGCTTTCTTAAGGTTTAATAAGACCATTTGTAACGATTTCACACAAACCCTGAGAAAATCTGTTTCTCACCTTGGTTGATGCCTGTAATGACGAAGCAATAGCTTGTGGGCTTGGTCTCGGATTTCAGAGTAGTTTGATGTTAAAAATGAAATCAACTTGTCCTGGAAAGAACATCAATATAAAAGATCAACGCTAAGAGACTCTAAGTACTATGGAAAATAGCAAGAAAGCCTCGTCTAAAACAACAGTTAATGAATAACCTGGATATTTTCACAAAATCCCGCTAGTTTCCTGGCTGTAACATGGAGATCCAAATGACGAAATAGAGAGAAGACAAAAAGGGGCATGAAAGTGGGAGCTCCTTATGGTGAATGACAATAATGAAGTATTCCTTAGACATGCTGCAAAGAAAGAGGGATCTGCGTGCTGAAGAATTGCGTCTGTTTTTCTTAGAAAATCTTCCGTACATTATCTTCATTCACAAGAAGCTAAAGTTTTTATTAAATTTGTTTGATAGAGCGAAACTGCTTTTGTCATTTTACGCTTTTGTCCAATCAAACCTACAAGTGATATGTGACAAAAAAAAGACTGAAGAAAATATCGCAACTCCAGGGGAGATTGAAAGAAAAGATATGTAAAGCCTATATCATTTCAAAAAAGAACAGTTTAACACGAATGTAGAAAAGTTTCTGGCATTTTCACTATGATTCTGTGCACTCATAGCCAAAAAACGTACTCTAAAAATGAGAAAGAAAACAAAATCTTCAGCTAAAACAAGAACTAAATTAGATAAAAAATGAAAATCTTCGGATTTTATACAATCCATAGCTATACAACCAATCATATACACCCTATGTACTTCTTTAACTCAATTCTGTTTAATTAACATCTCGTTCAGTTATGGCTGCTGGGATTTCCTCCCGAAGATCAGTTCAATCTCGGTTCAATGAAACTCACTAAGAAATGAGGCAAAATGTCAACGCGCCTTCTTGACGTCTCATCCAAGTCTTTCAAGACTTTCAGGACAGCTGAAAACAAGAGAGAAATATCACTAAGCTTCAAGAGAAAGGTAAAAATATCTGCATCTATTCACAGTTATCTCCAAAGTATAGCAAGAAAAACATTTCCACAATCACTGGAAACATTAGAACGCTACAATATTCATGTTCAAAAGTTGAAAACCCCAGGAACTAACTACCTCTACAAGTCATCAACGCTCCCGCTAAATTTGCTCACCCTCCCCGACAAACATATCAATTTCTTCAGAAGAAAAGTTCATGCCTCCAGTCCTAGTTAGAATGCTACCGATAATAATGAAATACAGGTATTAAGCAACATTGTAATAAGAGAGCGAAGAGAGTGGAAACAGGTTTGAAAAACTGTTAAGATTTTGTGTAGGTGTTTTGGGTTGCAGTTGAATCCAAAATTCAACATCAAACGCTTAAAACACCTATCTATATATCTCACTATACCAACTAACTGTTACAAAAAGAAAAGAAATTCATAGAGAAAAAGATTCTTAACAGATATTAACCGACCACTTACAACAAAAAGCATTTCTTCTTGATTCTTCGAGGTACGTTACCAAAAACTGACGGACTATTATGTCGAATAATGACATCTTATGTTTGAAAATATGGCGGGGAAGGAGATGTGTACTTTTCATGTACTTAAGCACGGGCTGATAATGATAAGGATAGTGTTAAAGAATGGTCAATTAATGAATGATTGGTCATTTCATCGAACAAATTATAAAAAAGAAGAGCTGATTTCAAAGTACATGTCACAAAGAATACTGTGACATGGGACAACCTAACCACTGATGAAAAACTTGTAAAAAAGACACAATGGTACATAATATTTGAACTAACACAACGAAGTGTCTCAATGAACTAGTTTTGAGGTAGCCGCCACAAAACCACTAGGCCATAATAAATATTCTTGTATAAAGTTTGTGTCGAAAAATCTGCTTGCCTTTTTTAAGAAGTCAAGCTCATATTCTGCTATTTCCTATATCAAAAGGGGAAGGTCATTGTCTGTGTCCTGGGCGTGTCTTTTTTGAGCTATTTTCTTTACAGTCTACAACAAATGTCAGAAAATTGCTGCAGTTAATGGGAAAAAGTAGCATTTGGGAGAAGTGCAACCTTTCAAACTAGCGGGCACTTAATGAGGAGCGTGATGTACTTCCGATAGAATAAAATTTTCCTCACAGGTTTTTTAAGTTGCTGACAAAAAAGGTTGCTTTTTGTGTCACACAATACTAACCTTCTGTGGCTTGTGGATCTGCAAGCTTTTGCCTGAACGGAAGAAGTTGCCTTTCAGTCCACGGTGCCGACAAATTTGGGATGACGGGGGTTGACAAAATCCTATGCTTTGAATCGATGTTATCGTCAGCAAATGATAAAAATGTGCACAGGAACTTCAAACCAACGAATCCTGAGTGATCAAGGAGAAGATCCCTACGAAAAATAATATAAATCGTAAATGTGTGTTCACAAAACACGATAGGAAATCAAATTATACTCTCATATCAAATCGTGGTCATATAATAAATATTTTTGAATGATTTCACCTTAAAAACGATTGATGCTGCAATGAATTTAGCCTGTGCCACAAACCTAACTCCCACTTATCCATGTGGAGTTGGGTCTGCGTCAGAGGCTACAGTCATTCCATCTGCCATCTTTAGATTAGCAGAACTATCTAACTGCGGTTGCATAAATTGTAACGGGGTTAATTTTGTCTAGCTGGTCGATCTGAGATCTTTACCAATGAATATTGTTGGTTAGAAGCATGTTTTTTGACGCACTGACAGTAGGCACAGTTAAGGATAAGGTCGTTTTCATACAACTCGTTAGTGAAATTATGAAAATTCATCAAAAATGTTTAGACGATATCAAGTTAATAAATTTGCCTTGATACTATGCAGTCTAGTATCAAGATACTAACAAATCTACAAGACCATTCAGTTTTTTTTTATAACATAACAATCGAAAGTGTTACATCAAACGGCCTTGTTCTACACTAAGGTGTCTACATTTCTATTTATACGGTTACTTTTTGAGTCCATGTTTAAGGCAATACTAACAAACTCTTTACATTCGAGAAGAAAGTTTTCTTCAAAAACAAAGCCTTTTGTACCCTACAATAATACATTAAGCAAAGTTTAGAGAGGTTTAGCTTAGAGAGGAAACTAAAAAAATAAATTGCGTTCTATTCGAAATGAGAACGCAATTTACTTACTTGAAAAAAGCTGATTCCGGAGACAAAATCGAAAATGCCGAGCTGCTGTCATATGCAACAAAATTATTCAAGAATTCGACAAATTTTGTAACGATTGCATTCAATTCGGTTCCTTGCACAGCGTATGACTAAAATTGAAAAAAATCACTATTTTTAGACCTCAAAGTCTTTAAATATATATATATTTAGAGATATCTCCTGAAGAGTGAGTTTTCACGAAACAGGCTTGCAGAGATTAAACATGTAGTTTGATTTTCTTCAACTTTTCTAGACTATATCACGCTCTACGTGCAAAAGTATTGAGCACTGTGCTACGGAAATATCAACAGACAAATTTCTACATTTAGAAATATATATGGATATAAATTTTACATAAAAAGCCACTGGGAAAAAAATTACAAAGGTAATAGAATATTCACTGTGAAACAAGAAAAAGGGTAGCAAACCCCTTGCGTGGGCCGTGTGTGGGCCGTGCGTGGGCTTTGGATGTAGTATGCGTGGCCTTTTTGCACAATTACGAAAAACTTTCTTATGTACAGGCCGATTTCCATTTAAGTCGCTTGGCGGCACGACTTGGGCAAAAGCTCTACGACAAATCAGTGAAGGCAACGAATCGCTCAGTAGTTCAAATGAGTCGAACTACACAGCGAATAGCAGCGAATTCGCACCAGAAGAGGGAGCTAAACTTTGCAGATGCTCATAACTGCGTTAGTCTCGCGATCAGAGACAATCAAAATGAAACCCGGCTTAATTTGGCATTTTACACGCTAGCTGATAACGAAATTGCAAGCTCTCATTTTCAAATTAAATTTAACAAGAGAGCTGAATAACCTGAATTCAAAAAACCAGCGTTTTCTCTACATAACGAGGATAGGCCAACAAGGTTTCAATAATAAACGGTAATACAGCAAACTGACCTGAATGAGATCAATAAAAGTGTTAATAGAGAGCTTAAGCCCCTCTTGCGCTACCTAAAAAGGAAACGAAAGAAATATCAGACAAATCTTTCTATTTCTCTTACAACAATTGATTATTCTATCATTGACTATTCTATCGTTCACTATACCCCCATTCCTTATTTCTTACGAACATTTCTAATCAATTATCCAATAGTTTTTCTGTGCTTCTTTTAAATTTTATAAAATTAAGGAATTGTCAGATTTACAAATGAAGAAATTACGCACGGGATTCTTAACGAATAAGTAAGGTCGAAGTATGTCCAGCAAAGAGAGAATTTGTGTGAACAGCATTGGTTGATTTGAGCGAGCGAATTCTGTTGCACCCATACGATGACGACCTTGCACGACAGATAACAAAGTTGGAAGGTGTCTAAAAGAGCAAAACAAAGGGTTATGATTCTAGTGTTTGACACTGCCAATTAAGTATAGAAGCGTTTAAGATATGTTTAGAATAAATTTCAGAACTATTAGGCATTACAAATTGATATCTAAGAGCAATGTTTCGATGCATGGTAGATGGGAGCGAGGATGGTTAAGTAAAATTAAAGCAATGTTAACAAGAAGAAGAGTAAACGAGGTGGAGGCAAAAGAAAAAACAAGAACGGGAGGAAAAAACACGGAGGTAGTAGGAGTAAGGGTATTAAAAGTGAAAGAAAGAAGAAGAAATGCAAAATAAAAACAACAAGAAATGACAAAAATATCAAGAAAGGAAAAACGAGAAGATGAGGTAGATGAAGAACAAAAGAAATATAGAAAATGAAAAGAGAAGGGAGAAGGACAAGGAAAATTTGATTTTAGGAGAGGGAAGACGTCATGTGATCAGAAAGAGAATAACTCAATATTTTGCGATAAAGCCACTAACTGTTTGTTCTCATCAACTTCTTGAGTCCTTTGATCTAAGATTGTCTTTCACTTGCACCTAAATGGCAGCATATTACCCCTCCCCCACATACAACCCCCCTTACCCTTAAACACCACTTCCCCAACAAATACTAAGAGAACCTTCGAAGTCTGACAGCTTTACCTGATAACTAACAAGGGATGCTTGATTGCCATTCGCCGGCAGACCATGACCAGGTTATGGAACTCATCATCCCACAACGCTAGTGGCTGGGTATTTGCCACTGATACCATCAGGTTGTGCAAGAAATCATCAGCCTAAGAAGGATAGATAAGCAGTAATCAGTTAACATGAAATTGGTTCTATTTAGTAATTGGTCCTGCTTTACATTTGATAAAAAACTCGCCAAGACTACTGAAAATCGATCCTGTCTCAAATTTACTGTTTCTTTTGCTTACTTGACAAAAAGCGATGGAAAAGTTATTCGAAACAAAAGTTTGCCTCGAGAGTTTCAAGTTGTACTAAGATGAATATGAGTGGGGAAACTAATGAAAATTACTGTTTACCGGTCTCTCATTTAGTGCTTGATGCCGTATATGCAGAGCTGTACAAGCTATTTGGTGTAAAAAACAGGCCGGTTCTTAGCTGCCACTCCAAGTTTTATGCTTAATGCGACCATCAAGCAACTACGCTATAGACTTCAAAATACTAGTAGAATAAATAGTAAGGGAAAGCTTTTGTAGCCATATAAAAAGAAAAACAAAGGCTGATCTAAAAATAACGCGAGAACAGGGTTGAAATGCGGGGGCTTGTCCTGATAGTTACTTGGTGTGCATCTGAGATCTTGCCAATACAGGGAGCCTCTACAGAGCGGGACAAAATTATGAATGCTCAAAAACTATTTGAGTCCCTTTTATGCAAGAAGGTACGCTACTGATGGTCAGTCTGTTATGATAAGACAAAAGAACATAATGGACAAAGCTTTATCTCAGAGGAAGTGTTGCGTAGCGTTCTCAAAGCTACATTTGAAAAAATTCTGAGGGGGTGGCATATGTCATGCCAGAATAATGGTGAAGTCCATGATTCATATGAAATTCTGCAAGATGTAAGTAAAATGATGGGATCCTTAAAAGGAGTTTCTTCTGGGGAAAGGAAGATAAAACTGCTGACAAAAGAAAGGGAAAACGGGAAAAGAATATGTGACAATCTACCGAAGATCTCTCTCCTTGCAGAATCTTATCAGCTGACTCCTTGACCAACATTTCGTGCATTGACATAGATAGCAAATTGGGCCGTTGTAAGTAAATTTGGTGAAGAAAACAGCCAACCACTGCTTTTGAGAATCTGTAAAGATAAAACCAGGGTGATTTGAAATTGAATCTTAAACAAGATGTTAAGGAATTCATTTAAACGTTGATGCTGATACTTTTTATGTCTTAAATAGATAAATGTCCACTTGGAAAGAGATGAGTGTCCAGAAAATCTCCTAGTTTCGCGCAAGGAAGATTTCAACAGTGTTTTCAAGCTGTATCAAAATCTAAATAATTAAAATACAGCTTGGTAAACGAACAGAACGTAAAGAAATAACGTAAATCTTCGATATGAGGTTTCTTCATAGGGATCTACTGCATCATGCACTCTTTGAGTTACTTCAGTTTCAACAAATCTGGAACTCCTGAAAATTCATCGACTTTTTGTCTGTTCAATATTTTGAAAGCATAATGATTTACCTTTTCTTTCTCTTTATAGAATTGGCAACCCTCTCCATCTTCTTGTTATTAAATTCTTTTATATGATTCAAAATAAGAGGCAATCGTTGTTCCGCCACCTTGATAACCGCAGCATTAACTGGAACTGATGCCCTACAAACAGGAAAAAGAACTAATCTAATCTGCCAATAAATAACTAATCTGCCAATATCAACTCTGCTAAGCTGCACAATTGTGGAACAGAAAAATCAAGCATAACTTCGTCATTTATCTAACAAACACAAAGTATTTCGAATTTTCTATATTCATTTTTTGAAACAATAAATTATATGTTTTCCTCAATATTTCAACAAAACCTTGTTACTTTTAATCTTTTGATCAGTGCAGCCAAAAAGATCAATTACAAAACATACTAACACTCCATTATTAAATTTGCAAGAAGAAAGGAAAGCTGTAATAGCACCCCCCCCCCAAACCCCCTCTAACAGGGCTGATAGTCTTGCGATGAACTGAAATATATACGATTGACTTTGAAAAGCCTAATATGCAGAACTAAAAAATTAGTCAGTTTAACTTCACTTGTTTATCTTCATTTATCAAAACATTTCATTTTTCTTTGTCGATATGGGTTGTTTCTGGTTACCGATTCAATAATTTTGTCACAGAAAATCGAGACAGTTTCCAAGTCGAGCCCTGATCTGATTAATGTGGTAGGTAGAGCTGCTGATCACGTGGGACCAACGGCAATGCAAGATGTGCACATACAAAATATTGGCGATTAAGATTGTAAGGGGAGTTTGTTCGAATGTAAACGAAGTTTACATAAAACTGAATGTTATCTAGTGAAAGACAGCGTTTTTTCATGAACAGAAATTTCAGACAGAATCTCTAGACAATTTACTAGAGTACAAGAATGTACTGAAAGGTAAAATTATAAGATTATCGATTAAAAATCAATTTCTGTCTGTAAAACATACTTTGCTTTTTCACTTTCAGTTCTGCGACTTGGGCCCGCTTCGATATGTTCTAAAAAGGTACAATTTCTTCCATTCATAACGTCATACAAAAAATCTACTTTTTGAATTGAAATACTGAAATATTATATTTCGTTACAGACAAGTGAACCTTATTCAAGACAGATCGTAATATCGTTATCTGTTGTCTGTTTTAAAGAGGAAAATGTTGGGTCTATTCGGTATCAAAGACAGATGTGAAAGACATTGAACACTGTACAGTCTCTGATCGGTGTTAAGATATCTACTGCACATCGAGCTTGCAAACCTTTCTCGCAATCGAAATTTAAAATTGATGCTGAATCACTCGCATAACATCCGGTACTATTCAGACTTAAAGACACTAGTGGAAGCAAGCTCTTTGTAAACATACATTAATTAGGATAATATAGTGAGTGAATAAATTAAGAACCAAAAAGAAATGAAAACACGACGATTCGCGCATGCTCTCGTTATCAAGTGATACTCGTTTGACTTGATAACGAGTACATGCTCAAAACGACGTGTTTTTTTCGTCAAATTATCTGCAATTGAATGAGATATACAATGACTCGAGTATCTACAAATTACCTTTGGACGGCTGGAAAAGCATTTCCATTTCTGCCAATATCAACTCTGCTAAACTGCACAATTGTGGAACAGAAAAATCAAGCATAACTTCGTCATTTATCTGTAAAAAAGAAGGAAGGCACGACTTCAAATATAATTTACTCAAAACAGAGGACTTTTAATATTTTTATCGTTGGTTTCGAAAACTTCGCTAAGAGAATGAATATATTACTGTGCACAATAACAGACAAATGGCTACTCATTAAGGAAGGGAGGGGCAAAGCTTCGTTTGCTAGACGATCAAATTGCCTTCCCATGTTGTAAAGACGACGGCCTAAGCCTACTGCATTCCTTCTTCCAGCGCCCAGTGGCTCTGTAAACTTCTAGAAGACATCTCTAGGTTTTTCCTAACAGTAAATGTAGTTTTCTGTAATTATCATTTCATTCTTCGTTATGCTGATAAGGGCAAACTTCCTACAGCGAAATAATTGAAGGTAAGCATAAGCTGAATACAACAATAAAGAATGCATTTTAATTTGAGTCTTTGATGTGAGGATCAGATTCCATAAAAATCGAAAGAATAAAAAAATTTGGAAATGTTATCAAGCGAAATACTTTATAGGTAACATTTAGGCTGATAATAAGAAAACTAAAACGAAAGCCAATTGTAAAAGCAATGGGTTTAATGTCTGTTAGAACACAACATATAAAGGTCATATTATGGTTAAGGTTCTCATTGCATCCTATCGCAATTTTTATCACATCTTTGATAAACACTCATGGTTAGATACGTTTATTGTGGTCCTGTAAATAGCAACAGCAACAGGGTACTGTCTGCAAAACGCTAATATACATACACGACGCCCTTTGTCTTCATCCAGGCTGTTCAGCTTGCTGTCCCTACCCTGCCACAGCTTCGGATTGCGAACAACAGAGCTTATCAAATCTAATGCAGCGGTGGGGTTCAGCCTGCAATCGAAGCAAAATGAGACTTTTATTCCGTAACAGGATAATTCTACATCAACATTTTAAGCACGGAAGCCACAGCAAATTTTCCTTGCAAGCCTTTATCAAATATTCGTAGCGATATGGAATTAATGAGCCACAACTTAAAAATAATTTTTTTTCAATACTAAGCAATATGCTAATGATTTATGATGACATTTTTCGACACCCCACTAGAAAATCTTGCTTTGAAGATATTCAAAGGTTTACTGAAAGAAAATTTTAAAGATAATGTATAAACTCAAAGTAAATAGTTAAGCAAAATTTGTCAACTTGTGTATTCAAGCAGTGGTTACTCATAAATTAAGTGATAAATTAACTGAGGGTAGCCGAATGCGGGAAAAATTCTGGCAATATAAGTTGGAAAGTTCTACTCTTACAGGGGTGAAAAACTAGGCATGATGATACATTTCATTTTCGTTTTATATTCTTTGTACACAAAAATCCCTTCAGCTTACAACTAAATACCAAATAAGAAAATAAATACCCTAGTTACATTAATACAATTTAAATACAGTTAAAGCTAAATTATGCACAGTAATCTATCTTATAGCAGCTGCTCTTCCAGGGTTTTGCTTATACATAGGTTGATAGCAGATACATAGGTTTTACTTAATTTTATTTCCATTTAATTGGCATTCCATTGTTTCATTTTTTTCAACATTATTTTTCAAAGCAATTTTGAATTCTGCGACGCCAAAAAATGCTTGGATACTTTATTGTTATAATTTTTTACATCCATATGAGTTTTTAAGCTTTTAAGATAAAGACGAAAGTCGAAAGCTTACGAGATAGTGTCTTTAAAGGAGAAAAAAATATTCTTTTAACCCTTAGAGCTTTCGCTGTTGGCAGTATTCAAATCTATGAACCATAATTCAACTTTGAGCTATAATTTTTCAGTAGTCTCCGATATAGATATCGAATGAAATATATGATAGATTAAACATATGATAGATTAATCCAGGCCTTTGTATCATCTTACAACTCCAAGTAGACTTAAATATACTATTTTGAAAACGAAAAAAACCGAACCTGCTTGAAATGACGTCAACAGAAAGTAGCCAATCAACGCAGTCGAGCAGTGTTGTGTCTTTTGATTGGTGGCTCAGCAATGCCCTGAGATAGGAAGCAGATGCCTTGCTTTTGTCAGTTCCTTTTTCAGACGACACATTTTTCTTATCCATGAATAGCAAATCTCTTTGTAATAGCGGGTCTACGTGAACAATTTCAGGATCAAGGACTTCAATCCAGTCCAGGATTAATCCACGAGAAAAGTCGGTGCTCAACGATGATCCATATTTGTATATTTCAACTAAAACATCAAAACGAATATTTGATTTGATAGACGCCGCCATTGATAAAAGTTCATTAAAAGCATTTCTGCCAGTTAACCAAAAGTTTGGATATTCACTAGAACATATGGAATGCATGTCTGAAATTACACAAAGCTATGTTTAAATATTTTAAACGTCGCTCTTTTCGGCAACCTGTTTAGCAACTGTTGGGAAACTCTGTACTACAAATTCCCAACGTTCTATAGCCCTTTCTTATAAAAGTCTTAAATACCACTGAGCCAACTATTTTATGGTGAGCGATGAGCAATTAAACAGGACAAACATCTGAAGTTTGTCATCGTTATGAGGGACGGAAAAACCAACTTACCCAGAAACTTGACACAAGACTTGATATTATCGAATGCGTCACTGAAACCATTGCTTTTAGATTCAATGAAACAACTGCACACAGCGTCAACAAACTTCTTCAGAACTGCCATATTCTTTTCTTGCATAAAGTTACAGGCTATAAGAGACATGGTAAACATTAATTTTTTATAACTTGAAGAAGTGTAAAAGAAAACAAAAACAACGGTTTCAAGAGTGTTTTTAGAAAAGGAAAGCCCAGGGCACAAGTTGGTCAGAAAATGAAAATTACAGACCAATTATTACAGAGAAACTTTCATTTATATGGGATTGTGCAAGAAAAAACAAATTTTTGAAGGCTTGGTTAAACTTTTGTGATTAATCTCGTTGCATTGAATGTGGATATCGTATCTTAAGCATAGGTTACCTTGTACAATCAAATCCATATCAAGGTCCTGGACAGTCAACTTTCCATTACGTACACCATGTGACATCAAATGGGCAACTCGAAGAGACAGTGACTGTAGTTCTACCTTCGTGTTCTCCTTTTTGAGAAAATCGATTAACGCCGCATTCAGTTCTTTTCCTGCAATAAAATAAATTTCCACTGAATCCTCCTTTTATTTCCGGTGCTCAATTAGGGAAAGGGGAGGGTTTTCAAATTCAATTTCTCGAAATTTTCATTAGCTATTTCATTTAAGTGCAAAGTTTTGTTAATATGATCCATACATATAAACATGTATCTACATACAGTTTTCAAATCACTCAACCTTGTAACATAGTGTTCTTAATGGTTTTTTTTTTTGTTATTAAAATTTAAAAGAATAATCAATATTCAGCTTAACAAAAATTAAATCGGGAGGGTTTCAACGGTAATTTGGTTGCTCGACATACCAGGAGCATGTTCTGTATTATCTTTGATGCCAAGATCTTTAATGACCAAAGACAGGTATGTGTCTACTTTGTTACCTGGCAAAGGAAATGCGAAGAGGTATGAGTTTGTAACGGCATAAGAGGTATGTGACGGCATATTTTCTCAATGGCTGTATTAAGATCATAAATGGGAAACTATGGTAAAATATAAAACAGAAAATTACAGAAAAGTCTGAAGATTACAGAAAATACATAAATCCTACATTTTCTTACCCTGAAATGCATTTGCTAAAAACAGAATAAAGAACAACTGCAAAGGTTAGAATTAGTAAGAGACTATCCTACTAGTCATCCCCCCGCACACCAACTATGTCGACAGCCTCCCCTTGTTCGCACAAAAGCAGATGAGCCGTTGAAAGAATGCATTGAAGGAGGGGCCAAAAATTCAATAGGATATAAATGTATCTTTGAATATCATGTCACAATTGAACTTAGAACCGCATCAATATCATTACAAATATCCCCAATATATACTAACCTAAATTTCGTGCACATCTCAGCTGTTTGATGACATCAACAAACTTCGACTGCCAAAATTCATCGAGATTATTCTATAGAAGAGAAAAAACTGTTAATGAATTCGATGAATGGGGCAGCCATCCAGACATGTCTTCTTTCGATGAATATTTTCCTTCTGAGGCCAACTCGCCACGAGTCACTAGAGCGCTTTACTGAAGTTGTGAAGGGTGCGGATTGGAATCCAGGCTCGACCTTTGATGTGCACGCTCGCCTTTTGGCGGCTCAGCAGCAAATGGGCAACCATTTTTAATGATGGTATGGCTAAAGGCAGTGAGGAAAGGGACTGGTAACCATAATCAATGACATTGCTAGCTGAGGAAAAGTGCCTTTTCTAACAGGGACTTACCCTTTATAAAACTCGCGAACGGAATTTGCTCTCTGAAAGTATCACTTACGACTTAGTAATATATGCTGTTTCCTTTTGGTGCGAGAATCTGAAAAGACTGCTTACGAGGAGCCTTTTTACAGCCCGCGAGCTAAATTAATCACATTAAGAAAAGAAACTGAATGCCAAATAATAAATAAATAAACTTTCGTAACATGCAGTGAAATTCCGTATTGCTAAAAAGCATGCACAATGCATAAAGACACTGCTAGTAGGATTTGAATCGCATTTTATCAGTTCAGATCAGATCAAACAATTACCTAAGTAAATTACAATTCGACCCTACTGATATGCAATAAAAAGTTGAACTCTAAAATACACATTCAAAGTCGATTTTTAAGAGCTGTAAAGTTGGACAAGGAAAAGAAACAAAGGAAGAGAGTCTGACAAACATAGACGAATTCGCAAAAAGATGTGTAAGTTACTTGGGTTCTTTTGAAAAATGAAACACACGAAGCAAAATTTATGCTTAGGATTTTTCACTCTTCAATTAAAACAAATATCAATAAATTTTTCGAATAAAAAAAATGTCAAATATCACATTAAAAGTCCTTAAACTTTCTTCCTTCTGCTTCGTTTGGTATTGTTGCATCCAGTAATTTTTTCCGAATCATTTTTAATATAAGCCTAAAATGTTTTTGTTTTGCTATTATTACCATTCCTTTCTAACCTTAATCTTGTCTAAAATAACTTGGATTTATTACACTACAATTAGTTTTATTATTATTTTATTCAAAGTATTATTTTGTAACTGCCTCAAAGTCTAAATTTGGAGTTTTTTTAATTACAATCATTATCATATGACGATCGTCGTTGTTTTTCTCGTTAACTCTGGCACGCTTGAAAAGAAGGTTTCAAGAGTCTGCTCGCTACTGGTCTATCACGTTCAATCAGACTGGTATTCACAGAATAACTTAAATCTCAATCTTTAACAAAAAAAGCTGGCTGCAAAGATAGAGATCTCCTAAAGAAGATAGATCCAAAAAACAAACAAACGGCTTACTTTTGACTTTAATATCAAACTCAGAATTGCACAAGTCTTCTGACTGTCTTCATACAAAGCATTGACGAACTTGTCTTTCATATCAGACTGAAGCATCTAGGATGTAGAGGGCCAATAAATTCAGAGTCTCAATATATTTCAAATGTAACAACTATATCTACTTCAGCATTGGATTCAATTTCTATTAAGCTCTGATTATTCTCTACTCATTATTTACCAAGTTTTTTAATTAATGGTTGATGGAAGTTGATTCTAACAATTTCATGTCAAAACGCAACACAACTTGTAATGATACCAATTGGTAAATTTTCCAGTTAACCTACATAACCAAAGCACATCACAACAAAACAGAAACAAGCTCTTTACGTGATATTCAATTAAATTGACCCCGTTCCCGAAACCTAAAAAAGACTGATATTGACAAAGAAATAAACGGCACCTAGGCAGAAAAAGTCAAACGATCATACCTCGCTTAGAGCTTCAATCAATGATGTTGTTGTGGTTTTGTCTCTCACGCCAGAAACAGAGCATACTGCAATTACCTGAAAGATACCATTGTAGTAAGTCAGGAATGAAGTAACTTTACAATATCTGGTATTCCACTGAAAAGAGATATCTTTTAAAAAAATATGTATGTTTGAATACCAAGAACGCGCTAGGCATGGCTAGCTGACGGGGATACCTAATGCAAAATTTTCAACAGAATTAGAGGATCTTAAATACCAAGCTAAGTACAGATATGTCATTAAACAACTAAAATGTTTCAAACATGGAAGTAAAAGGTTGTTTAAATCACACCATTCAATTAAAAATGTTAGTTTGTGATAAGAGACAGAGGCGAATGCTGGCACCTTCTTCAGTTCCGTAAATGTGTCTATTGTCTCTCTTTTGATGTTTTCTTCTATGAACAGCTAAAAGACAAGTGATAGTTCGTTGATTCTATTCAAAATGCTACTGAAATCTACTCACATTACATAGGTTAATGCCATAAGTTTGGCACATATATTTGGCACATAAACCGACTGCAGTAGTCTCAAAATACAGGGATAAGAAAAATTTTATCTTTTAAATCAGAAATTTTATATTTAGTGAAGACATACTTTGCCCAGCAGCTGCAACAGTGACTCTTTGTTGAAAATTATTGGCCTGGATAAAGATACACCGGAAATGAATAATAATAATAATAATAATATACTATGATAAACAAAATTCAGAAACAGTAGCTCAGCAAGTTTAGAATTGACTAGGTGGCAAGATAAAATATCTTAATTGAAACTCGTGCTTAACAGTTGAGGTATTGTAAATCAAGGTAGTATTATAAAAAAGGTAGTTTGTATTTGAATCATTCAATTAATTCACAAATACCTTCTTTGCACATTTTAAATTATTATATTCTTGAAGCCTTGATGTAGGATTGATGGAGAATTAAAAAAAACTCATTATCCACAGTTAAAGACTTATTCGTGATCGAAAATAAAACCTGCCCAAGACAGTAAACATTTCTCAACTGAATCAGAGCGTTATGATAATGGTCTCAAGAAAAATCTATTATGATATCGCAGTGGCTGTGTATTGCTAGAGATAATGTCAGAAAATACGGGTCAATGACGAAAATAAAACCTTTTGATCTCTTCCTTCTTATACTCTGGACTGCTCACGTGAACACCGAATGGAGTCATCGTTTCTTCCAGCATTTCTAGATCACAAGGTTCTGAAAAAGGAAATGCTTCCAAATTGAACATTCAATACACTCTATTAAAAACGTGCATCATTGTTATATTTCACGATTTTATCTACAACATGTTTATTAGTATGGTCCATTTACATGTATTTGTATTTGCATTTATTTCTACTTAGCACCAGACCTCCCTAAAAAATGTTTGTGCCTGCGAGCACAAACTGTTTTAAAAAAGGTGCCTGCAAGGCTAAACAAGCTACAGTTCAGTGTGTGTGAACTCCCTCTCACTCAGAACATTACAGAGTTTAAAAAGGAAAATCTGGCCATTATTTTTTAATTCGTTCCGAAACATTTGAAGGGATTGAGTCCCTAATTTTAAGCTCTCTTTGACTTGCCGCATTTCATTATCCTCAAGGTTTGATTGATTTCACTAATACCACGGTATGTGCTTCTGGGCTTCATATCCCTGGTCTGAGGGTCTTACTCATTTTTTCCCGAGTATCTTAATCATTTTATTCCAAGGAAGAAAAACATTTAATGATGTTAACATGGTGAAACTTGTAGCTGAATTGTTTTTCTAAATTCATAAACAAGATGTGCATGCAAACGTAATTTGATTGGCATGGTTTGCCTGCGAGCGCCACTTGCGCGCTCGCGCACTCTGGCGAGGCCTGCTTAGCACCGCAAGGAATTTTTAGGACACAGAGAAACTAAGTTTTTCGAGCATTGTCCTGTTCTTTCCTCTCGATGTGATCACTTCTCTTGATTGCTACGCCTGAAATTAAAGAGAGCTGGCGACTCTCTTCGTTCTAAGTCAAAGTTAAGACATAACAGTGACTCGAACACCTAGACTGTTTGATCTGTGGTCTGCAAACTTAACCAATGGGCCATCCTCGCACATGTGTTTAATTGATTATGTCGCCTTATATAAGAAAAAAAGATAAATTTCGACTGAAAACTGAAACTTAGTATGTAAGTAGGCCGGTTTTGAGTAAAACAAAGAGGACTTGCATGACTGGTTTATCATTAGTGCTCTGATGCTGGATCACATGAAAAATCTAGACTATGCAACTTGGAATCTGCATTAGGTTGTGCCGCAAAGCACTTTCAAGACAAGGACCCCGAAAAAACTGCCCTGAAGTAAAAACGATTTCTAACACTCCATGGTCACGATCTAATTCCAAAAAATGCATCAGCAGACGATAGGAACAACAGAAGGTGCATTAAACACAGGGGGATATGGTACCTTGCTTGCTAGATGGACCGTCCTGTCCAAGGAACTCGCAGAGCTGATCACCACCTGTTGCTCCTCGTGCCCACTGCACTTCAACGAGCTGATACAGGTAATCTAAAAGGCAAAACGAATTTATAAGAAGTATTGAGGACGTTGTAGACGTATTGTGGTGCATGAAACCACCAAAGAGAGAAAATTCAATTATAAGAAAGATTATAAAAAAATCGCTGAAATTTTATTAAGAGTTTTCGAAAATAACTTAATAGAAATACGAAGAAAACAAACTACAGAGAAAATTTTGGGTTTGCTTGGTTAGGCAGCAGTGATAAGGTGTTTATAGTCAATTAAATCACCTACACTTTCAAAGATGACAGAGCGTGAGTAGAAGTTTTGGATGATATCATAATTAGAGACCCTGGCAAAAGCAGAATCAGATTGCAAAAGTAGAAAAATGCAAAAACTGATGCAAAACTAAGAACATGGAAATGGAAAAGAGATGTGAATAACTGCTTAATACCTCGATCGACAACAGCTTTAAAAAGCTCTACTGGATCTTCGACAGCCGCCTCATCAAGACATCTCAAGAGTTTGCTAAAAAATAAATCCAGAAGTTACAAAAAACTTAAAGACTATCAAAAATCGTTAATTACCGAAAGAATATTATGAGATACAGAAATGAAAAATGTCAATCTTAAGACTTTTGTGCACGCTTTTGGTCATTACTACGTATAGATCTTAAGTCTCTGGAGAAGTACTGTTGTTAAAAGTAACAGACAAAAAAGCTTAAGCAGATGGGTCAATAAAGTTGGCAACACAGCCTACGGGTAAAAGGACTATACACACGACTTCTGCTTTAGTCGTGTATCTTAACATCTTTTTTTAGATGCAAGACAATATTCATGAAGCGAATTATTCATTAAAAACAAATTTTATCATTACTATCGCGAATATTTTCAGAAAAGACAATAGTCGCAAAACATTGAGCCAGACTATAGCCACAGTTTTTGCTCCTCGTTTTATTTTCCCCCTGTATTGTTGTAAAATAGCCATTGTCGTAAGTGTGTTCGGCAGCATATACTGTAATGACATGTATGTTGTAATTGTGATTGTTAATGTAGCTAATTATCAATGAAATGTTTAAAAAGACTTCTCTTGGTCAAATGGAGCTGAAATATTTTCGCGAAATACGAAAGGCCTTCAGATACCTAGCACTGGGTACGGGCAAACCAAAAGTCTGTATGAACAACACCAGTTGAGAAGGAATGAGACCATTCAGAGCTGTAAGAATAATAGTGATATTAGCACAACAATATTATTGAGATGAAATAGTTTGAAGCAGTGCCAAAAAATTCAATAAAATACTACATGACTTATATGTAGAGCAAAGGACTCGTCCATGATATTGAAAAAGAGCAGGTAAATATGAAAGTTACTGTAATTAAAAGATCACTCGATTAATTAACCAAAAGATGAATAGAAATGATCAATTATGGCACGGAAATAATTTATAGAGAATACTAGGCTGGTTTCATGGTCAGTTGTATTCCTACGCATTGCTTTAAATAACCCATTTGTAGGACCATTTTCAAAAGACTTCCGTTTGACAGACACTTTGGTACCAGAGATTTGGGACAAGGTATGCTGTTCGTTTCAGAGAGATTTTATAGTCCTGGATGTAATTCTACAAGGTTTACGCTACAGCGAAGGAATATTGGAACTTGGGACTGCCGATCCATGGAATTCACTGTAGATTAATTAATGTAGTTCAAATAAAACATCAACATAAAAGTGCCAAAAAGAGAATAGTTCATAACTTCTACAACCCAAGTTGTACATCACACGAGAAAGATAAAAACTAAGTTGATACCACTTCATACCAATAGATTTAACAGATGACGATATGGTCCAGAAAAAGCAAACCTACCTGTGTCAACAAGTTTTGGGACACCGGATATGACCATTTTCATTCTGAGCCAGTCCTGCAACAACAGAGCCTCTTCTCCAGTATCGGCCAAGCGTACCTCGTAATTGCCTGAGTCCGGAAACCAGGTGTTTAAGAGAAAACCATAGTCAGAGTTTGGCTCTGTTTATTAGAAATGAGAAAAACAAAAACAAGTTACTTAAACATTGAAAAGTGAAGAATTTTATAAAAATGAAATAGTACAAAAAACTTTGGCATTAAACAAAGTTTTGTTGCTTTGGGGAGTTGTATTTCGTTCCTCCGCCCACCAAAGACTTGACTAGTGTCCTGATGCCCTGAAACACTGAGAAGCGACATAAAATGAAAGCCATAGTTTGTTTGGATTATTTTGTTTTCGATTTCTAATCTTTCTTGCCGTCATTGACTTTGTCACCGCCATGTTTACCAGGCTGTGAATAATTATCTTCGTTTTTCTTTCTGTTTTCTTTTTCGTTTCTATTTTCTATTTTGCATTAAATTGTAATAACTTCAACGATCAAGTTAAGATATATTGTAATTGGGTTTTAATTCTTTTCTTTTTTGCAAGGCTTATTGTAAAAGAGGTTTTCTGACACTGATTGTAACCCTGTAGAATTAAGTGTAAAATGAAAAACTAAAAACAAATGAAGACCAATACAATATTTTATAAAACTGTTTCACTTACACAAATCTGTTACAACGACATATGGCAAGAGTATGTTTTGAAAGAACAATTATGAATTTTTTTAATTTTCTCAATAAGGTTGTCCACTGTATCCATGAATGAGAAAAAAGGCTCAAAGGAAAATGGGATGAGAAATAAAGATGTTAATACGCTATACAACATTAAGCATTTTCTTGATTTCGACTAACGAGCACTAAAAACGAATAATATACTAAGTTGAGCTTATTGTACCTTTTAATGGGCTGCAAGCGAGAAGGACAATTGAAGCATGAATAACTCGGACATGGAGATTAGCGGACATGTTTGCATGGATTGTTTCAGATGACCAACTCACATGAACTTTTTCTTGATCACTTGACTGCAAAACAAATTCCAAAATTGTGCCTATGATTCGAGCTTTGAAACGCAAAATAAATAGGATAATTCAAAAATTTTCTTCACCGAATTTATATCCATACCACATAGCATAGACAAAAACTAGTAAAAGCTGCCATGTCAATAAGTGGGCACAAAAACGAAAGACTGAGCATGAAAAGAATCCTGATCTGAGCTTTTGGTACCTCAAAGAGCGGTAAGATCAAGCCAGGAGACTGAACAAAGGAAAGTGTACAATAATGAAAAACAAGAGATAATAAAAACCTGTAATTCATATTGGCTAGGAAAAATAAAGTGGGCCTTCAAAGACTTCATAAAGTTAGCTTAGAAAAGCAGCCAGTTTTACTTTGCTGCTGATCAATTTTCCTTCGAAAAACATTCAAACGGGAAACCAGGGCGAAGAAGTACGTAGTATTTCATGGTTAAGCAAAATGTAAAACAATTGTGCATGCTGCTCCTTAGCAAATTTCAAATTCTATCCCCGGTCTAGAAAACAAAGTTGCACTTCACACTGCTACACATTTTTGGTTTAACACGAATTGCTAAAAATCGGTTTTTTCTTTCTCTTCTTTGTCAATAAAAGCCCTACTTTCACATAGCCATACTCCCCATAAAAAGGTAAACAGACATTAGCCAGTGGGAAAGAAGCTACAACTTCCATTTATTTACCTAACTGGTACTGTATGGAACCAAAAACTTGGGTATTACGCACAATTTGTTTGTTAGTCGTTAGTTGACCAATCCGCTTTCGAATCTTTGGGACACGTGACTGACAACGACATGTTCCCGGCTTTATACAGCTACAAATAGAATTAGACTAAAATTCCAGCAGTATCATAAACAGGTCAATAAAGTCATGTGCAGACTTACCCATTGCAGACTGAATTCGTTGCTTTCAACCGACTTTTCTAAAGCAGATGCATACAAACACAACAACGCCTCGTAGGTTCTTAATCCTTGTGAAGAATCAGGATCGAGAAGACTGTTCAAGAGGGTACCTCTAGTTGTAACCAGCTGCGAAACGTCCTAATTTCAAGGAAAATCGAGTTCATTCAAAAGAATAATTCCTCCATCTCAATTCACTATGTTGACGACATTGCCAGGAAAACATGGCGATCACACAATCAATGACCACGAGGCCAAAGAAAACATATAAAATTGAAGTGTTAACCTTTCACAGAAAAATCCAAGTTAACTTCTAGGAACCTTAGGAATACATCAACTGACCTAAGGCTGCTAAAGAAAAACAAAGAAAATGGACGGAAATTGGGTCCCTTCATCAAAATTACCCTCGATATAACGAACTTTTCATAACTTTTTCGCCTGTTATTTTTATTTATTTATTTTCGATGTTCAATTATCACTTTCTCTTGGGGGAAATTATTATTGTCATCGACAAAACATGCGGATGATACATTTCAAGCACTGGCGGATAGACTCAGAACACGAGATGAAAGTTGATTTCGTCAGAAGTTACTGCGAATGAGTACATTGAAACAAACGAATACCTTCTTACATATGAGACATTGGCAATGAGCGATGACAAATATTTATTGAGAGACAGATGGAGAAGCAGAAGAAGACAAATAAGAATGTAAAGTAATCGAAGATGTCATTCAGCCGCCAACTAGATGTGAAGCGATAACAGCTTTGCTCTTTGTCCCAAATGATAACAGGAACATAAAGAGTTTCATTTTCGATGACTAACCATTAGTAATATTTAAATTCAGTTTGGTTTTTTGGAGTAAAATGTTCATAGAAGTTGGAGATGACCACCGAAGGTTTCTTAGGCGCGTACTGCGAAAAAACCTAAAAAAACGTTTTCTCCCGATTTAACTAACTCCCGATAAAACGAACTATTTTCTAGTTCCCGTCAAAGTTCGTTATATCGGGATTCCGATGTAGTAAGGTTAATTCACTTTTCATACAAAAGCTTTTCCTGTAAGTTTTCTAAGTAGATGGCCCCTAGAAAATCAGCATTGCTGAAGGGCTTCATATAAATGAAATGAAATGAAGTGCCACGCCCAAACCACGCCCTAATGTCTTGGTTTTATGGGGTAGGATTCGAAAGTTTGACAAAAATGTCTGGAGGGAGAGTGAATGTTTCTCTGCACTCTGGTTCGCGAATTTGTATTACACATGTTGGTTACAGAGAAAAGCATCATGAACGAAGTTATCTAAAAAATATCTCATAAACAAAGGTTAGGACTATGAATTTGTTTCTATTTGGCATCGGCATGGTCACGTTTTTTTTAATTGATTAAATGCTGAAGTTATAGAGTGAAAAACCTAATCTAAACTAACCTCGATCAACTCGTTAAGTTCATCATTCGTGAGTTCGCTGATGTGCTGTGCAACGAATAAAATGTAGGCTTGCAGACGTAGGGTGGCCATTTCATGATACATAGCCTGTTAAAAGAATGATTGTGCTTTGAGATTAGTATTAGGTTTGCTATAGAGTAACATGAAAGGGAAAAGCTGCATTAAAATTACTGAGAAAACACGCAATCAAGGCGGCATCGTGGCATTCTCTCTCGTAATGAAACATCACTTCAAATCTAAAGATTTATCAGTTCATCATCACCCATAGCGTAGACGTAATAGGAACAGCAAAATCTGTTACTCAGAGCACAAAGAGGGAACTTTTAAAGTTGACGACAAAGTGATGATGCTGATTCTAGTCCGTGAAATATACCTGTCTGATCGTTAGAATCAAAGCTGGAACAACAACTCTAAAGTGCTGCAAAGATGGGACTTGCTTGAGTAGCCAGTGATATTCCACAAAGTCATCGTCGTATTTGAAGCGGTTTTCTGTTTCATCTGTTTCCATTGGGGTTGTTGGTTTGGATGATGAAGGGAAATCAAGAATAACTTTCAGCGCCTGAAGAAAGTACAAGAAAGGCTTATTAGAGGGGTTGTGAGATCACATGAACAAAAGTATTTTCAGCTTTCGGAATATCGTGTCAATACGGAGATAAAACTTCTAACGTGATTTTACGAATGATACGATCATGACTTAACAAAAACCTCATATATAACCTCACTTGCGTTTAATAACCTCATTTGCGTTTAATTAAATGAACATAAGGAAATAAAATTCATGCGTGCCTTGACAGCATTATCCCTCTCTTTCATATTGCTTGACTGCAACCGGCTGAAAAAGTATTCCATAATTTCCCTTGTGCTTAAACTTGTTGCTTCTTCGCTTTTCAGCAACCATTGTAATCGTTCTACGACTCTTGTGTACACCAGCTGAAATCAAACATATTTTTTGCTACTATCAAGAGTACATTGTTGCTGAAATAAATACTCAGATATACAAGCTGTATGCCTAAGTACCCAAACACTACATCTTCTCAAGAGATTGCCTAAATCATGACACAAATTATATGAAACTATGTTTTGAAAATGGCTTGAAGGACAATATTTAAAATGTTATAATTGTATCGAAATTAATAATTATATTTATATCTACGCATGATTCCATTAAGTGTGAAACTCGGTGCAGCAACTTAGAACCGTCCTATTCTATACGACATCATGCATTTTATGACAGACCGGTAAACAGAAATTTTCATTATATTTATAAATATATATATATATTTCAGGTTCTTCGGCTGCTTGAAAGTTTGGTCCACAAAAGTGCCCAGTTTATTTGAAACTACCATGGATTGGTAACACTTCCTTGCGATTCGATAGTCAGATCAGGCAAGCCATAACAAAATTTTTCTTTGCTGTCAATCCTCGTATTGTTTACAGCACTAAGAGAGTCACTCCATCCATTCAAAAGGATTGCATCCCTACCAACCAAAAAAGTTCCGTTGTTTATGAATTTTCGTGCCAGTGTCCATCTGGCTACGTAGGACACACAACCCATGCTCCTTCCAACATAACAAACGAAATCGCCCCTCAAAGAGAATAGCCTCCTCGATCTTGTAGGTCTAGAAACACTGTTAAAACAAGTGATTCTGCCATCGGTCAACATCTTTTAGACAACCCAGATTGTGCTAAACTCTATAATGACGACATGTTTCCGATAATTGGCAGATCCCGGTCGTCTTTCCATCTAGCAGTTTTGGTCGATCTGCATACAAATGAAAAAGCGGCCATTGTGTAGACAGAAGGAGTTCGTTTTCTCTCTTGGACTCCAGTGATAATTTTTCTATAGGCACACGGTACTGATTAGACAACTATACCAGTCTTGGGCTTGCGTTTTTCTGATTGGCCTACTTCGATCCGCATCCGGGTATATATTTTTCATCTTGTTATTGTGGAACCTTTTATACTCCGAGGAGTGTCAGACGAAAAGGATGTTAGTATGTTGTAAAATATTTGCTTTTTTCAAAACCATTTTCAAATTTTGTACCGGCAAAGAATTGTTTATATATTTATGTTTACATAACATTTATATCTATGTTTATATTTATATCATATTTATGTTTTACTTATATTATATTTATATTTATATCTAGAGATATAGCATTATGTTTATCAATTACAGAAATGCTTTCAATCATACACAAAGAGAATACACACAAAAACGTTCCTATACATTTGACTAATCAAAGCAAAAACATCTCCTACATAGTTACTAATTCTGTTAACCACATGCTCGGCATAATTTGCATAAATCTTCAACTATGATAATCTATTTCAAGATCGTTCTTTTTGTGAATAGCTTATCTTAGTTAGGTGTTATTCAATGAAGATTACGGGGTTTTATCATTAATATACAGCCAGATGAAAACAAAGAGACGAAAGTCCTTGGTCCTTGGCTGCCTGGAGAAGGTACTTGAAGCATTTTTTGCTTGGGCGTGGTGTTTTTAAAAATCAACTGTTTCCGACACCGCATACTCTTGCTTTGCTGAATATTATAACTGTCTGACATGAATCGATTGCAGAACATCGCACCTCTTAACATGACATGAAACACGGCTGCTCAAAAGGGGAGCAGGGGATGCGATAGAAAATGAGAAAAAATTTAGTGACGTGTACGAAGATCTTTGGCTAGGATTGTACAATTTTTTTACAAGAACCAGTTAATTTAAGAACAGGCTGGATTGTTCTTAATTTGTTCTTAAATTATCAGGGTGTAAGCAGTGATATTGCTAGCTATTCAGGTCTCGTTTGAGAACAAAATGACTGAGACATCTTTTACTTGTCTACAAGTTTGAAAATTAACCGAAAAAGCATCCCTAGATGACAAAAAACTCCTTATTTTTGAGATGAAACATTGTTCAGAATAACATTTTACAGTAGCGGAGCCTCAGCTTGTTCTTAATTTGTTCTGAACTTTTGACCAGTTTTGAGGCTCGTGTTTTTATAAAATTGTTCTTATAAAAGAAAGAGTGTAGCTGACGAAGTGATGACTTAAAAATGTCTTTAAAATACGTTAAAACCATAATATTTGTTCCTTCTAACCTTTCTGTCCAGCGAATGGTGGGGCTTCTTCTGATGCTTTGCTTTCTCGTCCTTCATTAGCAAAAATTCACAAAGGCATTGAGAGGGTAATACATTCAACGAGCTTTCACTGGATTCGACCAAATCTGCAAGCCATGGCATGCTTTGTGTAGAGCCCTTTAACAACAAAATAAAAAGCATTAAATTCTACAATTACAATACATTTTTTAACAACGCTTAACTATTTTTAGGATAGTGTCATATACAGAAGCTCACGATGGAAAAAGGTCGAAAGAATACCATTTTGTTAAATGATAGGATAAAAAACGTAGCTAAATAAGAAACCATTAAAACAAAGATTACAATCGACAACATCACTTAGAGACCTCATAACAGAAGAGATTTGAATTGAGCTAGGTAAAGATAAAAGTAAAAGATTCCAAAGGTCAATGAAGATTAAAGGAAAGTCGTGGATAGAATCCATTCATAGGGAAATGACTGATAGTGAGAACATGAAGAAGATAAGGAAAACAAAATAGTTTACGGTTACAGAGCTAAGGTCTTTTAGGAAAGGCCTGATGCAATATCTGTGCGAATGACCTAAGAGGATAGCCATGGTAGTTCTATGAAATGTGTACCAATAAATACAAACGAATGGGCCTAAATTGAAATGAAATACAGGCAACTTTTGGGAGAAAGGCTCTGTCTAAGTGCGATATACACAAAAATTTCAGTGAACTCAATTTGAGAGTCCAATGATAAAAATGAGACATTTTCGGACCAATTGTCTTATACTTATGTTATACATCATTATCGGTTATTTGTATATGTTTGGCTGCAGAATAATAAGGAGCGACATCTAGTTCTGGAAAATCGTCTTACCTGACTGTGTATTATGTCTAAAAGGAAATCGGGGCTGCGACTTTTGCAGAACATGTAATCGAGACCAAGACTCTTATTGAGTATCTTTAGGTGCTCGATGATGGTCTGCGGAGGGCGACGTGGTGGACCGCTGCGAAGATAAAAGACACAATGAGATTGCGAAACTTTCTTAACTGCAAAATTATACAGCAAAAACCCGCATAAGAGAAACTGCAGGCAAAAACGCACCAATAAGTTAAGAGCCATTTTGTTAAGGTATGAGAGTCATTTCAGCCGGCTACAGGAAATTACAGGTTCTTTTGTGCGGGTTGCTACTGTATTGGAAGTTCTTCAAACATAGTTTCTAAGTTTTTCAAGCGGCTGATTCTTTTGAACTAATGTTTGTTCCAGAATAATGGGTCGCAATGTTTAAAATTTAAAATTTTTGCTTGAAGGGACTTTAATTAATTTCTTCTTCTTTTGATTCGTATCGCAAAATGAAAGGCTCACACGCTGAGAAAGGTCTCAATAAAAAGACGATATTAATGCAGACACTGGGGTGTCATGTGACGTAAAGATCGTTTTAAAAGTACGAGAACGCATCTTTTTACAATATTAGAAAAAGGTGGATTGATTGAAAAAACGAAGAAAGCTAAAATATGGATGGAATGATGAATTGGAATAATATGAAAGTCACGTTTTCACGGGAATTATGCAAGCGTTTTGGCAGCCTCTGCAGACAGTTAAACGCTGTTAGATTGATATGAAAAGGATTTCGTGGGCACATTCGATGAAAAATTGAAATACGGATTGAGAGGCGGCACCAAAAGCAACATCTATTGCTCATTAGAATGGAATACTATAACCAACACAATGCTGTGACTGTACAATCTTATTTTGAAACACTAGTAGATTTGAATAGATAACAAGATTATGCAAGATGCCTTGGATCTAAGCTGATCAGCTGATTGATAAGGAGGCTATTCTCTTCCGTAATCAATTTTCCACTGGTTGCAGCTGCCAGGTGGGATTCGAACAGTAAAATTTCATCCTTCTCGGCACGACAAAGTTGCAGCTCAGTAGCTTTGATTTCATCTATCGTAGATTCTGTAGTTGCCAGCGGAGGAAATGTGTAGTTCCTGGAAAGTAGGAAATGTGTAGTTCCTTTAATTTTCTTTTTCATTAATGCAACTAAAGCATTATTAATTGAGAGTTATATTTGCAAGCTTGATATCAGCTAGCTTTTAGCTGCTTGTAAACAAAGCTAAAAGTTTCAAGATCAGCCAAAATAGTTAGAAAACACCACTTAAAACCAACCGAGAAACACGTTTTTTAAAAGGGAAACCTTACACGTTGACAAAACCAAGAGTTAATTGAATGCATTTTCAACATTGTTTTGGAGAACAGGGGCAGTACAGCTATTTCAATAGGGGTGGATTGAGAAAAGATTGGGAATTGACTGATACTGTTTGGGTGCTCCAAGTAAAAATGGCAAGCAAAATTTCTAGCGTAACATTTTAGAAGATTACACTAGATTTTTACAAAATGTTTTACCTCTTCAAACAACATTGTCTAATGTCATGATCAGATTTCTAATGATTCCTTTAATGTAGTGTTGGTGGTAAACTTTACAACCAATATATTTTGTGGGGAAATATGTTTGGGTGTTCGAAAAAAGGCAATTTCAAAATCCGGGTTTTAGCTAGAGGGGGCGCTTCGAGGGAAAGAATGTACCAAGATGAAAATAAAGCTACTCATTCGTTGCAGTAGATAATCTACCAACCGAGTGATGATCATTTCGACCATGCATCTTGCTGTCGGGTAAGACTGCCATACAGCCAAACCTAAAACAGGAATAAATACCCATGAATAAACGATCAATGGCTTTTTTAGGCCTTGTTATGATGCGAAGGGTCGCTTATGACGTCAGAGACCACGCCCATCCAAGGAACCCTTACTTGCATCATTCGTTTCACTAAGATAAATTCACTTTGCCTTTTTGTATACTGAAATATTCACCATGCTATGGAGGCTAAAATACTAATAGGACTGGACTCTCTATATATTCACTACACAATAGAAGTATTCTTGAATTACAAATGGGACACAAGTATTTTTGAAAATATGAATATTGTCGTACAGACAACTCTACCGCACAGCTGTTAAGACACGGCTTTCTTGAAACGCTTTTAAATTAAAAGATCTGCAGAAGGATAGCCAAAGCTGACCTTGAGTGCTTTTAATAATAATCAATAAATACCAAGTCAATACAGATAATGATCAACAAAAACATCAAACGGATAACAGCCATCAATGATAAATGTTATCAAACAGAATTCATAAATATTCCCTCAATTAAGATTCTTGATTCACTTTTTAGATTACAAAATGTAATTCTTCAGTGAAGATTCACACACAAAGATTGGTCGACCAGGTTTATTTCATCTGGGTCATTACTCGTAGAAAATAATCCTATTGACAGCACATATTTTTGAAGGAACCGGTGTATTAACCAAGCCAAGTGACAGACTGGGGTCCGGGACAGAAACCTGAGTAGGGGATAATGTTGACGTCATGTTATGAAGATTATTAATAGCAATAACAGCTATATGCAAAAGGCAGGGAAAACGCACAATGACCAGGAGCAATCCAAAAATGAATATATTCAATTGGAAAAACCAAAATTAAAGAACAAAGTTAATTTGAAGAATTTTTCGCCTGGCATTTGGGGTTTTATCAGAGTAAATAACGGACACATCAGGTTTCTGTATAAAAATTAAAATCGCCAGGGCGTCACAAACAAAATGAGATATACTCTTTGAAAAAAATAGTTTCATTAGGAGATAGCAAGTACAGTGAAAGCAAAGCGTTAAAGCATACCCTGACATTCTGGGATCCCTTTAAACTCGGGAAAGGGGACAGGGGATGGTGTCCACAACCAAATAAAAACTGGCATCAAGCGCACCAGTCAGGAGAAGAAACATGTTCAGAAATGAATTATGCTTCCAAGTTCGGCTTAGACCAAATTAACGACCAAGGTTAACTTGGAAACGTGGAATACAAGATACGAAATTCTCAATTAAAACTGGCTTACCAATAGTCACAGGGTTACAAGCGGCAATAATAAGCAGAATCGTCCATCCTTTCCAGTAGAGATTGCTTATGGCAAGCTGGGGTGGCTGATATCTAAAAAAAGGAACAAAAGTACTGGAAATAGGTTTATCAAGGAAACAGCGTACATTAAAAACAAATACAAGAGACAAAATTACAATGCGATGTGAATGCAAATAATGATACCATCAATTAATGGTTTGGTAATATGACGAAAAATCCTTTGTAGTTAAAAGGACGTCATACGCAATCTTAAAGCTTTGTGAGGTACAGAAAGAACTGAAGATGCAACTTAAGCATTGCTTGGATAAATCTAATCCAAGGGAAGTTGTATTTAACATAAGTGCCTTTTGCGAGCTCTGTGGTGGCCTGGGAGCTCAGCCGCAACTGATGGCAACTGGACAAAAGAACTCAAGAAAGAAAACACCTATTTTGTAAAACATTTTGCCTAGTTTGACAAGTATTTGACACTGAAATGAAAAATCTGGCCTTGATTCCAACACAACAGGACACAAATGACCAGGTTAATCTTTATTTTCGCTCCTCAAAAAAGTTAAAGGGATAGAGAGTTTACCCCGCAGAGGTACAGAAGGGAACCAAAACAGTACAGAGTTGCTGCGCTTTTCTAGCAGGTAAAAAAGCTTCTGGTTAGAAGTCAAATCACTTGAACTTTAGGCTAGAACCGTGCAAGCAAGAAGTAAATCTAAAACAAATAGTTATTAATTTACAATTTCACCCTTAAAACTGGACTTTGCTCTTTATGAGCAATACATAATGTGGACAAGAAAATTTTGATAAATTTAAGCATAAAATTGTCAAAACCTTTAAGCCTTGGGGTTCTAACTCGATCAGGATGTTTTGATAAGCTAATGGCATTTACCACAAAAATTATTGATTGCTAATCGGTTGTCAATGATTGGGAAGTGCAGATTAAATGTTAAGAGCTTTCTACTAGACCACCAGCCATCCCTCCTCCCACCCTGGGCCATGCACATTGTAAAAACCCATTCAGTACAAGTCTTACCCTTTACGTTTAATTCTATCAGGATTAATGTTTGAGCCAAAGGCATTTAATTCGGAGCTGATTGAATGATAACCTGTTATCCCAAAGGAATTGATCAAGGGGCGCAGTTGAAATATTGGTGAGCAAGAGCTCTCATTCTCTCTCCCAAACCCTCCCCTCCCCCACCACTGGCCGCGCAGCTTATTATAGACCGTAAAAAAAGTCTTACCCTTGAGGCAACGAAATTTCCTTTGGATGAGAATAAACACAGAGTGACAGCACCATTTCCATCACAGTTTGTCTTTCAATATCAAGCCCTTGTAGCCCTGAATACAAAAAAGAATAAATTTCAAATTTAACCTGAACTTAGATAAGATTTTTTTGTAGCGTGTAGTGGCCTTATAATTACAGCAATTTCCCATCAGGTCTAGCATATCATCAACGAAGAAGTTTTGCGATAAGGCCTATGAATAAATTGAACAAACATGACAATGAACCAGACCAAAGTTAAAAACTGTTGAATATTGAATCGGTTAAAGTGAAAAATGATTATATCAGGTATGCTTGTGAACATAAATAGAAAACTGATATTGCAGATCAGGAAGCCTGAAGATTTCGTTGAATAAATAGATGGCATTGCATTGGAAGTCGAAACCGCAAAGAACTTTCAAGTGTCCGCTCTTAATCAGAAGATATCAAATTTAGCAAACAACAAAGTTTTGACATCTTGCATAGATAAATAAATGTAACTTCCTAAAAATTAAAGTCCGACAGCCTACCATTTCGATAGAAAATAGACAGAAAAAATTGCTGACAAAAATTTCTATACTGAAAACTCTTTCATACATTCTCTTCCAAATAAAAATTAGGAAACCTTCGAAAAACATCGCCATGATCGACTAAATATGAACCCACGTTTTTCTATCCACGATTTTGTACTTGCATAAGCCAATCACGAAAAGCTGAAAATTGCTTTGATTGTAGAAAAAACCGGCTCAAGCAAGTGGTAGTGCTTGGAGGAGGCTCAAGTTGCAACTTCATTTTGCCTACTTTTTTTAAGTATTTGCTTCTTCCTAGCTCCGACGGTAGTTTTCATAGCACTGAGAAACTGGGCGTATTAAGCAGTGTCTTGTCCTTTCCCTAGATGTAACCACACCTCGTGATTCCTATGCCTGGAATTGCAGAGAGCTGGCTAATCTCCTCCTCCTTAATTGAAATTTTGATCAGGGTTGGAATCTTTGGATTAGGACTTCTTGACCATATCACATTACCTAGTCTTATTCAAAGCATTAGGACCCTGGGCTAAAAGTAAAGCATCTTATTCTTAAGTAGGTCTTGTCGGGAACTTTTGCTGTCTGGTATCTGGTATACAAGCAGTGGTGACCTACTTACTATGCTAACAACATACAAAAAGGTAGTGAGCGTCTTTGTAGTAAAAACACGTGGGCAACCTGACCTGTTCTTAAAACTGCAGATCGCTGGACAAGCCTCTCGACTATATCAATTGTGTCAGCACAGTTCATAGGATAATCTTCAGACAAGCCAAGCAACAACAACCACAGCAAAGCATCTTCAGTTAAAGGGACATCTTTTACCAGTGGAAGTAAAAATCTAACGTAGAAATGGTACAAAGTTACATAATGATGAATATTGAAATTGCTGGGAAGATTATAAGCAATAATGAGTGAGATTGCTTCAAGTATAACAGTTCTTTTTGGATATATTTTGAGGGAATGACAAAAACCTATCAATCACCATAATCTATTAGCCTCTAGAAAAAAGATTCATCAAAAAGTGCAAATACATATTGAACTGAATGACAACACTGAACTGAATTATGAGCACTGTTTCTATATTGCAAATAACATGATACCAAATAGCCTTCGAACAGAGTTTTGCTAGAGAAATTCACGACTTCCTTTTGCAAATGGCTAAACTATTAAATTCTGGAGTAATCGACAACACTTCTGTACGGAGTGTAACAAAAAGGACAGAAGAAAATAGGACGTAGAATTCCATTATCATTGACTTAATTAGAAGCCCAGTTTGAAATTCTTAACGTGATACGGTTAATTGGCAGCTTCAATGTGATACAACAGGGAATAATACGTACAGAACTTCGTTTTCTGACGGCCATGAATCCTTGCTTTGATAGCATTCGTTACCCTCAAGAAACAAGACTTTGTTCAAACTAGAAAGAGAATATTAGTGAAAACTTTAGACTTGCAACACAGTTATAAATCTATATGATAATCCTGTCTGCATAAACTCAGGGGTCAGAAATAATCTTCTGTGAAGTTAAGGAAGTTCGGGAAATATAAACAGGGCGGGAGTTTATTTCTAGCCTGCGCGCAGTCTTTTTGCTGGACATACGGGAAATATAAATTACATTCTTCGTTCAGCAACAGCAACAGCAGCAACAAAAGACTGCGCGCAGGCTAGTTTATTTCCGACTCTAGAGTACGTATATAGTTGTTAAGAGATTAAGAGAGCGGGTATCAGATACAGAATTATTGCATAAACTCCATGTTAAAAACCATGTTCAGATGATCCTTTAAGAGGACGTTTATTCGCTCCAAAAGCAGATTTGAGTCCAAATCAAGATCATTAACAATAAATAGTTACCACAACTCTGTTTTAGCCGGGCTTTGTGCAGTTCAACCACAACAAAGTCAGACTACAGCTTGGGCAAAGTAAATATGCTCTAGTTCTAAAAGAATTTTGCAAATAGGCCATCTGTCAGGTTCTCTGCATATTGCAATGAAACATAAAGAAAACAAAAAATAGAAGCAAAGCAAACAGCGGAAGAAAAAAATATAAACAAATGATTTTGAGAGACGAAATTTAAAACAACCATGTAGTTTATGTTCTAATTAGCAACGATTATGTCGGCATGTTTTGCGGATTATTAATTGGCTGATGAGGGTAATATCAATCTCTGTAGCTCTTAGTCTAAATAATGTTAGAAAATATCAAAATATTTTCGAATTATTCTGCGATCTTTCGTGAGAGTGCTTTAAATACCTACCCACAACCATTAAATATTGATTACTATTGTGAACCAAAAGGCTTGATGACATTGTTAGTAAACAAAAACTTAGTTTAGGAAGTTCCCAAAACAGTGATAAGTAACAAACTACATATTCAGTGAAATACTCTAGAATGTTTGCTAAAACACTTAAAAATTCTCTAAACATTGCACGGAGTCACCTTCCCCCAAAACAATGTTAGATATATTTGTATTCATGCTTTTTGGACATGGCTTTTGATGTGCCAAGTTGTGCTGCTATCAAATACAAAAGCAAACTCGCTAATCAACACTGTTTCAGTTGGATGGTACGGAGAGGGAGAGGTAGAAAGATCACTGTATTTGCCTTTTTCAAGAGATTTTGGCAAGGGTTATAGATGTCTGCAAAGTGAAATAATTGTGGGATGCTCCCTAATGATCATACCAAGATATGAAATCTTTTTCAGAAGGAGTGAACATCTGAAGAACTTTTGTATGAAACCACCAAACAGCGTCTCTTTGTATCAGGGATATTTGCGTCTGAAATTCTTGCAAAACTGATAAATCTACGAAGAATGAAATGATCCAATTTAACTTTCAAACCATGGCAAAAAAATAGAGGATATCGACATAGTCGGAAACTTAACATTTATATATTAGTTAAATATCCACATTGCCTGCCAACGAACATTGAAAATACCAAATATGAAGATGTTAGTTCAATCGTGTAAATTACTGTGTGATATCCCTGACCTTTTGAGATGCGAAATAAAGCAATACAAAAAAATAGCAAAAATAGGAACTATGTGAAGAAACCTCTCTTTTCTCCTCTACCCATAGCAACCGCGATCTCCTTCACAGCAGGTGAAACACTAACCAACATTGCCATGCATATTAAGGAAACTAGTGACGAAAAGATTCGATCCTGTAGAAAGAACACACAAACTTAAAGAGTGCAATCCTCAAAGTTAAGACCTTTTTTTAAGAAACTAAAGATAGAACTTCTTAAAAACACACCTATTTAAAAAGCAATTTCAGACTGCTGGTAAAACTTTGCTGTGAAAAATATTCTTGCATTTTACTCTGGTCAAAATGAAAAGGAAGGCCTTCAAACAAGTTGCGAAATAAATAGTCTGCGAGAAAATTCTAGATAGGTTCTTATCACAAATATTTCAAAGCACTCGAAACGTATTTTGGAAAAAAAATTGCTCTCAACTAAGATTATTATGTTGTTTGACAAGCAAACATCAAGGCAAATATCGTATGATGAGGGCTAAGAATATTTAATTCATAATGAAGTCCCAAACATCAAACAAGCTTCACATCAACTGATCAACACGAGTCTTATCTACACATGTTTAACGCTTAACTCAAAAATTAAAAACAAAAATTTTAAAGGCATTGTGTATATATACAGTTGTTTATCTTCCGTTGAATTATTTAAATTTTAAGTGTGTTAAATATAAATAGCAGCTTTTAGTGGAAAAACGTCTTATCCATTTTTGTAATAATAAGATTTTCAGAAGTAAAACTATTCTCCTTAGATAAAAATAAAATCGTCAAGGATTACGGAGAAATCATTTTGAACCTGACGAAATACTTTCTCGTGTTTAAATCTCTGTACCAATTTGTTATCCCAGGATGAGGGGATAAATAAATCTGGATCTTGTTGCGAAAATGAGTTATACTAAGTGTAGCATTTTCAGACGTTAAAAAGCATATAACTGCATATAAATTGCTTTCGCAATAAAAAAGCAAGGTTGTTCGGTTTTACAGATAAGGTCTTTGCCAACATCTGATTTTTAAAAATTATTATTATTATCATTATTCAGAGTATAAAATAGAAAAACGAAGATAAAAAACGAAGATGTCTAGCCATAAATATTTCGAAAAAATATATACAACAATGAAACAGCAGTTTGTTACCTTGAGAGGTTGATCAAGATCAGCGAAGAAAGAATCGTTGCGTTCTTGCATGAGTCCTCGGCAAAATGCGACAAAATTGATCTCGAACCGTAACACTCTAACGACCTCTCTGAACAGTGCCTTTAGCGCTTTGATATAGTCTTCTCTAAAATTGAAAATGTGGTGTCAACAGGTCAGCAACATCAGGGCTCAAAAATGGTAAGAACGGATTCAAGTAATATAGAATAGGGAAAGAGCTGAAAGAAAATGAATGTAAAAGTACCCAAATAAACCTCTGGTACCAAAAACTAGTGACAACCGTGGTATACTTCCTTTTTGCTTAACGTTTAAGGTTTAAAATTTTAAGAACATCCATTATTCGAGGTTCCTACTCTGAGGAGTACTTAAGTATCCTTAGTTTCCATTTTTTCGAGCTCCATTCAAAAGGTGAAAGTAAAACTGCATAGAAAAAGAAGAAAAGAATAAAAATCTTACTAGAGTTTAAGCAAGCAAATTATTTATCACACTTTGTCTCTAAAGTATGAAAAACTTTGATGGAAACTTGAGGGGACTTTCAAAAGAATTTTAACGCCATAGTGGGTTGGCCATCAAATCTAAGGTTAATAGAAGTGACCCAAGCAATACTGCCACTGTTTGGGACGAGATGCGAGGGCAATGAATGGCAAGAAAGGGGCAAATGTAAGCGTTACCTGTTGGCAAGGAGATCTTGAAAAACCAACGCCAAGTACTGAAATAGAAAAGCATAAAAGGAGGTTAATGAGGGATATCATTTTAAAATTGAAGCTAAAAATTGAAGGAAAGTACATATTTTCTTAATTTCTTTATTGTTATCATAGCGATGAAGTCTGCATAGTAAACAGGCACAAAAAGTTATACAGGCAAATGTGATTCCATTCACTTGTATTAAATTAGGTTTTAGTTAGTTGAATTGTTATTACCTTAAAACTAATTGTATTTAACCAAACAATTCACCTTAGCAGCATTTTCAGGCTCAATCTGAAATATGACTTGCAAAATTGACATATTGTTTGGGTTTCGTTGTTGGCTGAGCTCATTGTAGATGACATGCTTCAGAGTTGTCCCCAAATTGTCTGGGTGCTGGTTGACAAGCTCTCTATAAATGATAAACATAATGGAAAATGAAAAACAAAGACATCAGTGGTGAAAACGGTTCTAAGGTGACTGTGATGAGGGCTAAGAAACTGAGGTGTTTGGAAGGAGATATTAGTAAAGTCGCAAAAGGATACAAAGGGAATCTGAATAGTGTAAGGGGGTACAGGTAACGAAAAAGGCCTCAATTCTGATTGGTAAAAAAACAAAATAACGAAAAAAGTGTGTCTTTCTTCCTCCTACGTTACTTTCGACCGACACATGGATACAAACTTTCTGCTTACTTCTAGTCCTTATCCAACGTTTTTACTCTGAAGGGTGTCGGACGAAAAGTGCTTCAGAATGCTATGTTTTCGTTATTTCGTGCCCTCTGCAAGCCTTAATTTTAGTTGAGAGGAGATGAATTGCTCGGGGAAAGAGAGAATAGGCGGGCAAGGAACATTGAAAACCAACTTTTTAAAGAAATAAGGTATAATTCTGTGATTACATCGTTGCTTTACCAAAACAAAATAAGAAACACTCATTCAAATAATACCAATGGTTTAATACCACCAATAATACCAAAGACTGATGACCAACCTGTACTTGGACACATTCAGTCAATATTCAACCATCATTCTTTCAGGTAATTTAGAATATTAGCGTTCTCTGATCACAAGATAACTTCACTTTTCTATACTATAATGGCTAGGTTTTACTGCTTACTTGATGCAAGAAATGTAGTGATTGGCCATCGGCTTCGTCTTCAGCCTCATTTTGATGAGGTTCCCAATAACCTCAATATCTTCCCTTGTATGCGTATTGCAGTTCATTGCAACCGACATCAGTAGTTCTTGAGATGGGCGGGTTAGCTGCAAGTACAGAAGAATAAATGTGAAATAAAAGTCTTTAGTCAGTTCCATAGCAAAGCTAAAACTTAAGCCAAGATATTTCATTTGCTACACCTATCAGCGCCGTTCTTAACTAAAGACTTGGAATGTAGACCTGCTTGGAAACAGCACTTGGAGGTATATCACTTAAAAAAAACATTCATGGTAAGGTCAGGTTTTAAACACGACCGAAAAATTCTTGGTTTTGAAAACCTGGGCTGTGAAAAAGCTTATTAATTCTGTACCTTAGCTTCTAAAGGCCGGGTTACATGATCACTTTTTACCATCACTTTTTTCGATATTGGACCAACATGCTGAAAAGTGATCGTGTAACATACTAAAATTGTCCATATTCGCTGCGGAATTTAATGCGCTTATCAGTTGTTAATCCTCTATCATTGGAAATTTTATTCTGAACGAAAGCAGAGTAAAATCAAGTTCATCACTTTTTTTCAAAGGCGCTGACAAATTCTTACGTCACATAATGTTTTGATGAGAAGAGAACGGCCTAGAGTATCGAGAAAAGAAGAAAAAGACGTGAATTGTGCTCAGAAACATAATTATTAGCAGAAAACGAATATGAATAATGATTTGGAGTAAATCGAAGAGCAGCCAATTACAGAAAAATAAATGCAGTTTAATGAAATACAGCATGTTGGTCCAATTTCGAAAAAAGTCATGGTAAAAAGTGATCGTGTAACCCGGCCTTAATCCAAGACCGAAGTCAGAAAGGAATACGGATGAGCACAAAAGACAGAAATCCATGGTACCACAGACAAAACAAAGGATCGGCTGTGAAAGGTATTCAATGTATAATTTGAATTTGATCTGCATCTCCTAATCAAGAATTTATCAATAGCCAGATTATTTCTTCAAAGGCTTGAGTGTTGTGTAAGTTTCGACAGATGAAAGTGGCAAATCTTCGCAACAAACCACTCAGAGACTTTGCAGGAGAAATTTTTAATTTGGGGCGTCTACTTGCAAACAGAATCAATTTCTAATACCTTTGGATTCTGCAGCCAAGCTTCGATTTTCTGCGAAGCAACCAGCCTCACTTCGGGGTAACCGCAAACCGAGGTTAGAAAGCGCAACATATTTCGGGAAACACCATCTATCATCTGCCGCTTGTTCAGTTGCTCCTTCACAACATCTTGGATATAATATTGCACCGCAGTCTCCATTGTTGGCGAAGAGTATCTATGGAAGACATTTCTCCTACTTTTATTCTACAATCAAAGTACATGAACAAATCTAGAACCACCTTTAAAAAACTAACGGCTCTAAGATAAACAAGATATAAACCGTTTTTAAAGGCAATCGACAGAAACTACAGACTTGAGACAGAAACTACAGACTTGAGACAGAAACTACAGACAGGCTTAAGACATCTGTCAATCAACAAGCTTGAGACATATTTGGCCAATCAGTGAGCGCAAAATCACTCAAACACTTATTGATTGGCCAATATTTTTTTGGCGAACAACTTAAGCCATTTAAGTATCTGTTTTCTGTCGATTAACTTTAGGTTCACTTCCGTAGTACAGCTCGTTAGTACAGAATCTACCGATTTCGTACTTGAAAGCAGATTAAATGGCTGACGTAAAAACATTACCACAGTAATTATTTTTCGTATACGAAAATTCTATAAAATCGCTTATCTCAATAAAATATTAAAACAGACTAAACTTATGAAGTAAATTTTGCCTATTATAAACATCTTTAAATTAATGGCGTTGCTTGTGAGGTGAACGCCTGTATCTGCCGTCACCAAGAATCACTCTGCACATAGCGAGCTTCAGCTACTGAAGTTCACGTCAAAAGCAAATACTTAACAGAGAAGTGGCCTTAATCCTGAATTACGCGGCATTCCAATGTTATCATTTTGCGTAATTCGCCCTGTTCATTTCGTTATGATTTTACTGTGCTAGCAGCTGGACAATAAAGGTAGTGAACATAGATTACAACCGCATTAAAACACGTTCTTATCTACACGTGTGCGATTTCATCAAATTCATCATCATCGATTTCATCTCGATGTAAGAACATCATCTGCTCAACTAGTATTGAAGTACCTTGCTGTTTAGCCTTGTTTTGAAAAGTTGGTAAGCGAAAGAAAAGGCATAAAGCATACATAACTAGGCCATAAACTACATCATGGTGCATATAAGAGCAAAACTTGTTTACTTGATCATCCTTGCCATCTTTGCGAGCAAAGGTTTTTTTGAAAAAGGCATTGAAAAAGCAACCATTTCACAAAATACAACTCAAAGTTTTTTTGTCTGTCACTCCTCAGATTATAAAACGTCAGAAAAAGGGACTGAAAGAAAAAGATGGAAAATTTGTTTGAGGTAGCTCTGAAGAGCATTTTCAATAAAACTGAACCAGGTTATATTCCCAGGTGCCACGTCGGTGACATTTTTATAAAAGTAGAACAAATGGATCGGATGCACAGAGTCCACTCGTTGTTTAACTTTGAACAGCGAGCGCAAGTCCCAACTGCGCATGAGATATATTGTAGCCTCGAACGGAATGGGCTTCTGTGTGATGGAACCACTGATCTATAAAAAAGACTAGATCGAGCTTCTAGTGTGACCAGAGTGTCGGCATCCGAGAAGAGCGCTCCATAACAGCCCATGCGAGGAGACGGCCTTCTCTGTCACCCCTTGCAATGTTTTCAGCTGCTTTGGCCTGTTCTTTTTCAGCAATCATACACACAGCATTGCAGCTCTCGCGTATCCATATCGTTGAAGTATTGGTCTTGAGGAATGGCTTCCCGCTATGGTTTGGGGCCTTCTTCCTTTTGAAATTGAACGGACTTCAAACTTTGTTGTTTTAAGACAATAGGAAGCTCGGTCCAGTCTTTTTTATAGTTCAGTGGAAGGAACTCACCAAAGAAGCAATCTCTATTTCAAAAGACGATTTCGAGGTCAAAAAGCCCCGATCCAGTCTCGACTCGAAATCGAAATCGTCTTTTGAAATAGAGATTGCTTCTTTAGTGAGTTCCATCTACTGAACTTTAAAAAAGACTGGATCGAGCTATAACTTCAATCTCTTATAATTTTGAACCTTTTACTTTACAAACTTTTATTTTAACAGGACCCTTAGTGATAGCAGTATTATCTTTACTGAATGACTATCCTGTATAAATATGGTATATTATTATTATTATTAAGCCTTTTGAAAAACGGAATTCCAAACCTTGGCATCACGGAAAATGGCTCATCGGCAGTAACAGTTATACCAAACTCCTCTAAAATCTTCTCTTCGTCTGATGGCCTTGGCATAATTACGCTTCCTGTGACAAATAAGCTCATATCAGATGATTCATAAAAATTCAATTGTTCCTTTTCAAAGTCTTGCTCCAATAAGTTTTATTGTCTTTTAGAAGATGGTCCCTTCATGACTGCAGACATTTTAGCATTAAAGTGCGAAAGGGTGTTTATTGACAAAATTACCAAACAAATATGTTTATGGATGTTTAAGTGGTCTGGCTTTTAATAAAATTACTCCTACAATTTGTAAGATTATCTAGAAATAAAGGAAGATATGTGGCATAATTGGGTCGCTGTCAGTGGCCAAAGATTTAAAATAAAAATTTCTAGCAATGCCCTAAAAACGCCTGAATTCGAGAACACAGCTACGAAATAGTAAAAATAAGACAGAATTAGCTCAAAATCAACTAGAATTAGCTCAATTGTCAATTATTTACCTATACCCATGGCATGAGCTTCTTTCTTAGGCTGATCGTTGCTTGCTGGTTTTGAAGGCAACACTGTGCCAAAGGATGCCAAAATGTTATCTACAAATCCTTTGCAATGTTCATTATCGACCCAAGATCTGTCACCTAAAGCGTCCTCGACGAATACCTAAAAAGAATGAATACCTGCATGATCACTAAGGACATTTCTGGGAATTGAAAAAGGAAAAATCTTAACAGTTGGCAGTATAGTGGAACCAGAGTTGTATAGAGGCCACCTGTATTAGCTTTCAGCCACAGAAAAAACTTTAGAAGATTGTTTGTTGTTTGTTGTCCAATGTTTTAAGGAGTCAATAATTTGGCATGCTCAGTTATTTGAATGTGTCTGTTAATTGCGAATTTACTGCATATCGATAAAATATATTTGAAAAAAACGCATTGAGCAACGCCCCACAAGTGAGATATTTCAGAAATAAATTTGTTGCATTGAAAAACGCAAAAATACAATCTTTTCTAAGCTTTTTTGAAGATTATGGTAGCTACTCTGGCTTTGGAGAAAAGGACAAAATTGGCAATTACCTTGATGAAAGACTGGGGCCAAGGATCTTCATTTTGATAGGCACTTGTCAATATGTTACATGCCATGGAAGTTAAAAGTGGGTTCGGCTTTGGCTTCACTGCAGATGAGCTGGTTTCACGTTTCAGAAACATAAGCAGGTGCTGAAACGAATTGCATAAATAGATTTAAATATGACATTTAAGAAACAAGACTTCACACTAAGCAAAAGTAGAAACTTGAATTGCCATAGCCTTAAAATAAATCTTTAACAATACATGTGACTGATAGAAAATAGATACCTCTGTTACTCCCCTTGACAGAAATATTTCAGGCCTTGTCTTGGCCAGTCCAATTATTGTGAGGTAAAGCATTGGGTCTGGCTTTAACCTGTTGATTTTCAGTGACTTCAATGCACCACAAAGATAGCCTTCAACTTGCTCAATCTGGCCCATTGCTGCAGCTTCCATAACTAAGTATTCCAAATCAACTGGATTTGCTGTGATGTAAAAGTATGTCAGAACTTAAAATTCCAGATGATTATGAACAAATTAAAAATCAGCATTGTGTGGACAACCATGAAAGTATTCAAAAACATTTTTAACAATAAGCCCTTTTATTTGAGCACTAAAATTTGAAAATTGTCAATTTCATATTTTAATCAAAATTCGGGGATAAGTTCAGCTTAAAAAATTAGTTCAATTTGGGGAAAACATAATTGGCAGTTATACAGAAGAGACTAAAAAGGTTTTTGGGAATTCAGATCAAAATTGACAAAAGAGAATTCTGGGAATATACACAAGATTGAGTGGCTGTGAACCTTTCTGACAAAAAAGGCACAGGCAGACCAACTATTTACTAATCTTAGGATATCTGATTTCTTGATTGTCTTTACTCTGTAAACAAAGTATTGTGATGTACAAAACAAATAAACAGGGCTTATCTGTGTTTATATATTTTAATGTGCTTCTTGGAAGCAAGACATGGTTGTACAAGAAGCAAGACATGGTCAGAAAAAGGCATGAGAGATTTCTGCAAGAGCATCAGCAAGGGCCAAGGCGGTCATTGTGCAAAATGAAAGGGACTGATTAACACAATTTCTTTACAATTTGAAAAACTTTGTTTAGATCTACCTTCAAGCAAAACAACTGGAGGGATGGGGGAATCATTTTCCAAAATTCTGTGTCCTTGTGGCGAGCTTCTGTTTTTACCAGATGAAGGTGAAAACAGCCCAGTTGGTAATTTCCCTTGCTTTTGCAAAGTTGGAGCATGGAGAGAAAGTGTTGCAGGTAGATCTTTTCGTTTCTCTTTCAAAGCTATCGTTGCTTGAGAGGATGAAACAACACTTGTTGATACTTGAGCTGGCTTTCTTGACAATGGTGGCATTGCTTTTGAATCTAGCTCTGAGGTTGATGCTCTAGACTTTGAGCCTGAAATATAGAAATTTTAGTCTTTTTCCAAAAGAGTAATTACAAAGAAAAATCAGTTCTTGGTGGGGAATGAATTGTCACTACGGAATTTAAAATATCTTGAAAAAGACAAAATGGCATTGGGCATCAATTAACTAACAGCCTGATTTGAGATAGAGTCATCAGCTTGAGTAATTCCAGGTGTAGTGATCAAGAGGCTGCATCAAGAGGAAGAAACAAGACTGCTTGATAAGCATGATTTCTTGATGTTCTAAAAATCTCCACATGCTAGGTAGAAGCAAAAACAAATGCTGTCAGTCCATTAATATACCCCCACCTTTGAATACCCCTCAACCCAAAAATCCCATGGAATGAGGAATTGCCTCAGCCTCAATGGAATGAGGAATTGCTTCAAAAAAGCTCCTCTCTAAATTTCTTTTTGCAAAATAAGCCCCAGGCCTTATTCATACTTACAGTCCTACAATTTTCCCAGGAGAACCTCTTCTCTCTCTAAATCTTCACTTTTAATGGATATTTAAGTTTTGAAAAGCATTCAATATGTTATCCAAAAATCTCTCTATGATCTCTCAAATCTAAAAAATCTCTCAAAGTTCCAAGCTCCTCAATGATCTATTCTTTAATTTATCACTTTAATTGTCCTGATCTTTACTAAAAAATGCCCTATTACATGTGGAAATTTTCAAAGCTCCTGAAAATTGCTTAATCACTTACCAAGAGCAATAAAATCCCCAGGTGGTGGAAGCCCTGGAAAAGATAAACATGTGATATCATTTAAAATATAAACATATAAAGTTGTTTAAATGAAATGATTTTTCTTTCATTTCCCCTGTAGCTTGCATCAAATGTAAAAATGTGAAAACGTTTTGCACAGACAGGTTAATACAAATTGGGATGTGACACAACATCTCCATGCATTCATAATTTCCCCTTTTGCTTACTTCACACATAATAACTTTGTCTCCACACATTCTGACCTGGAAAGTTTGCATCCCTTAGGGACTTTCCTTGCTAAGGTACAGCCATAATCCCAGACTGTTAAATATGGTCTGCAATGAGAATGTTGAGCACTGTCCACACTTATTCATGTACCATGCCTAATTTTGAAATTAAAAATTCTCAAAGAAATTAAATGAATTCACAATTAATGTTGCTACAAACAAGCAAAAGACATTTATACAAAACCGAATTTGAGATGTTATCAGCAACTTTTTACAAGTGAAGCCTTTATTCAAAAATATTTTCTAACCACTGACTTAAGCTACAACCAAGATTCCCTGTGAGAAAAAATAACTCATTCCTCAATCTGTAATTTTCTATGATACATTAATGGGGGAAATCAACACCATGAAGAGAACTCAACCTTATTTCCTGCCCTGGAATTTTATTGAAGAGCTTCTGGCACACTTAAAATATTGTTTATTGTTCAAAAGTGCATAACTTTCCATTCTGCTCTGTTTTTTCTTGATGTCAAGCAATTTTCTCATTCTTTATTGTTGTTACTATTGTCATGTAAACTTTGGAATGCCATACCATTTTCCCCTTATAACCTGTACTCAAAGCTAAAACAAACAAGCTTCCTCTTTTGTCCTCTTTTCAAAACCCTTTCCCTTATTATAGGGTTTTGCTATGGACTCCCAGGCCTTTCCCTAACATCATCAATTAAAAAATTATCATTAAAATGCTATCATTTATGAAGAACATTTAATGCTTGCAGCAGTTTTGTGGCATCCTTTGTAGGATTAAAGAAAGAGATTTAGTGTGAAACTATAAAAATATGAAACTATGTTTTGAATCAAAAGGACAAATTAAAATCTCTGTGCGGAACATAGGAACAGGATAAGTAAATAGCTTTTACAAAGGGTTCAAAATGTGTATATCATCCTCCTGGCTGGTGCACTGACTTTGAACTCAGGCTGTATTGATTTCTTCAAAGAAATTACATATTGCAAAATAGCATATGCCAAAAGGCTCAAGGAGTTTTTTCTATTTCACAAATTTTGATGTTTGGCTGTAAAGTATTTTAGGGCTAACAACACTCAAGACTAAAGTATCTTAGGGCTACCACCAGTCTAAAAGAAACTTCATGCTATCCCAAACTGATAAGTGCAGTTCCCCTTTTCAATGAGATCTCGGGAGCATCAGACTAGGCTCTTTAATTGCAGTGCAGCGTGCAAAAGGGGTCAAATTTCTTAAAGTGCAAACAGAAAGTGGGCTACACAGTTTATGAGAATATTTCAAAATTGAATGATACTCGATGAGTAGCTCAGCTAACCAGGTAAATTTCATCGAATAACTAAAAAATTAAAAAACTGAACAAAACAATCTCGAGAGTGTCTGGGAATATATTTTGTTGGCAATCAATACTTTGAAAGAAGGAGGATGCTCTACAATTTTGGGGACTTGCAATGTTGTCAGTTTTGTCTGAGCTAATATTTCTTGGGCTAAGCTTATGTCGATACAACAACAACAACGATGTGCATACATGCCTTGACGAGCCTTGACAGAGTCAAGCGTTTTTATATAATAGATTAAGAACGAACCTCGACTTTTCGCACGATTTTTAGACTGCTGCATTCTTGACTTTTCCATTCTAAAACAAGAAGTCCATATCGAAATGTTTCCCCGCTCCCAAACTGATCAGCTTTTCTGCTTCAGCTTAAAAATAATTCAAAATGGTGGATAATAATATTTTAACCTCGTTATCACAAAAACTTGAAAGAAAGCTGAATACGAGGATTTGGCGGGATTCATATTGGATCTTTTTTTTGGGGGGAGGGGCGGTTAGTCATCAAACTTGATGATGTCCCTTTAATTCAATAATTCATTGACACTCTCTCCCCATAACTCATCGTAGTAAATTAATGATAATAATGTGGGGGTCATCTGCGATTCTAGCTGAAGTTCCGTGTTTTCCATGTATTTCCAAGGCCGGCGAAACGTATTTGAAAGTGGAGGGGCCAAAATATCAAAGTCTTGAAAGGGCTTAGGAAAGGCCGCCACCATGGTTGGCAGCAAGAAAATTTAGAATTATGGTGTCTTGGGGATGGCCAAAAATTGTATCTAAAATGAATTTTGGCTGAAGGTGTCGCATAGTCGCGTCTATTGTGATGTTGACTTGAAATAGGAAAGTTTTGCAAAGTTTTAGAACATATAGCTTGTGATGAAACCTTTTTTCAGATTTTAAAAGTACCCGAAATAAGATGGGGAAGAAAAATAAATGGCACACGGATTAGTAAAAAACATTAACGTTGAAATATCAACAGAAGAACTATCAACTAAAAATAAAAAGTTAAGCAATTTTGTACAGTTAAGATATAACTTTGTAACATCTGATCTTAACTTTTTTGGAAATTAAGTGCTTTAACTAAAATTTGAAAAACCTTCAAACTGGGCTTGTCAAAATGAGTTTAAATAGAATTTATAATTGCGTCGATATTTTCTCTTTCTTAGTAGGAATGGATTATCCAAACGATCAAACTCTGAAGTTTTCTTGATGATACTTTTTAAGAACAAATTTGCCCTTGCTATATTTCTCATATCCTCAAAAAAGTTCTTTCCAGCTGTTTCTTTTCCTTCAACAGCTGCTTCCTCTCTTTATGTAATGTTTCTGAGAAAGTTTTCGTTAACAAATGTATGTCTTCTATGGTAAAGACATAGCAACCAAGATAAAGCTAAAGACACATTTAAGAGAATACTAGGCAAAGTTACTTACAGAATCATATACTACATCTATTTCCACTTTTGCCTAAAATTTTTTTTAGCTTTGCAGAAAAGTAGGGGATCATAGCCCCCTCCGGCCCCTCCGATTTCGCCGGCCCTGATTTCGTATTGAATGTAATATTTTCGAGAAAATCCGCGTCAAGTGAGGAGAATTCCGTAGTTCTGTTGAGAAGCAATTGCTGGATCTCCGATATCCGCGACATATTTTCTTAACAGTTGTCCTGTATACTCTTATAACCCCCACCTGAATTGTTTATTTCTAATGTAATGTTTTTCTGCTAACACAGGGACGGGCGCACGAAATTGAGCCTGGGGGCTGAAAATGAATCTGCATCCGCCGCAGAAGAAAGTTTTTGAAATTCAGCCTTCTAGAATGGCTAAAAATGCATCTCCCAGACTAAAATTTAACAAATTACTATGCCGTTGAAAAAATACAATTTTCAGAAAAGCAATGATTATTGACTTTTAGTCCATTGGTCCATAGTGCACATCGAAGTGACAAGAAGCTGTTGTTTTGATTAGGATAATTTTACTTCCTGAACAGAAATGTGCATCATCTTTGTCTCGAGTATTTTCTGTAGGCCATGTTTACGCATTCAAAATACAGACATTGCAATGGTATAGAAAGTTATCTACTGAATTTATGCAAATAATAGACAAATAATAGAAATATACCTATCTAAATAAATAAGAAAAACTCAGTTTGTTCTTATTTTAAGCTCTTTTTACAAAAAGCTGGTCAGAAATATTTTATCTTTGAAAAAGTGGGGGGGGGGAGGCTTCAGACCCCACGTGGCGTCGTGCCTGTACAGCTTGGAACATCCTTCGTCAGCAGTTCGGCAGATATTTGGAATATAGTATTTGTCGCCAGCTTGCAATTTTGTCTCTAGCGCAAAAACCCACAATGCAGAAGAGATTCTAGTATGATATCCCACTGGAGATAAAAGAGGGTTCCTTTGCCTCGTTCAAATAGATACTACTGTGTTGCATGAAAATAGACCCCTTAAGTAATTAAGCCACACAGGTAAGAACTAGGCTTGATTAAATGTGGATTAATTAGCAACTTTGCAAAAATAGGAAACAGAAAGGCAATTTTTTACGATACAAGATTCGTATTTTATTATTCAGTCTTCTTATCTGAAACAATTTTTTCGTTTCTTAGTTCTTTGTGGTTTCGGTGTGGTTTAATTCATACCCTCTTTATGTAAATAATGATAGAAAAGGCTTATTTGAAATGCAGCTTAATTTTGTGCAGCTTACATCCAGATTCGGTCTATTGTAACAAGGTAGACATTGCAGAGAATTTAAACAGAAACCACAAAGGGTTGTCAGTCGGTAAAATTTAAGAAACATCGTTTCCAGGAACGGATTTAAGAAGCAAGGATAGAAGGTTGCTAGATTTAATTGGATTTGGTGCCACACCCTTCATGTGACTGGAGACTGATTGAAACGCCCTTTAAACTTTTTGCAAAAAGAGACAAGAAGATAAATAATGCAACATTTCTGCATAATTTAGTTACTACTCACTACCAAAAATTCTTTTTATCGAATGGAAGCATGTTTTCCCGACGACAACAAAAACATTGGGGGGATGTCACACCCTATACCCCCGGTATATCCGTCTCTGGCTGTGGCATCTGCTCAACGTGATTATGAATCGATTATGCTAAATGACAATATAGTTTTAAAAATGTAGTGAAGTGCTGAAAGTTTGAGATCAGATATTTTACAAGGCACAATGACGAGCGCAAAAGCTTTTAATTACTTTAGATTCTGAAAACAACTTGGTGGATTAATGCTTGGAAGCCTTAAAGAGCTTTGTGAAATAGATTATGACAATTATTTAAACTAGATTAAGTAAGCTTGACTAAACTTCAGGGCAAAATTCATGCAGGTAAACCATTAAAATACGTTTATGTTCATTTAAGAAAATTGCTGCATATCGTGCTGTTGTCACAATTTAACCTTCTGTTTGCTCCCTTGTTACAGATGAATATAGAATTTGCATAACAAATGATGTTTAATTTTTTCTGTGTCAGTCTGTGGATAAAGACAATTAATGTGTTCTAATCTGTTAAGCCCTGCAAAATGGTTTTCACAAGGTGCTCTGTTGATTTGACAAAAATCGTACTTTGCCATAATCTCTTGCAGATCAGGTGTTCATAACCCTATCGCAAAATTTAATTTTAAGTGTCAATTAATGAGATATTTATATCAAATAAACGTACACCTTCTCCCCTATAACAGAGACAATCGAAGGATAGACAGCGTTTTGTCAAGAAATTTCTTTTTGCTTTCAATGCTTCGTAGAAGCATTCTCTAGAAAATAAAAGTTTCCCTGCAAATGCTTTCACAGGTCTTCGATATATGAAAAATTGAATTTTTTAAATTTAAAATTTATCTATAGAAAGTCGAACAAGATTTTCAAAAAAAAGATTTGCATTATTCATCCATTATAATTTTCATCATAAAATTTATCCAAAAAGTATAATTTTTCAATGTGATGTCAAGTGCAGCAAGCTATGACAAACAAATACCTTGGAAAGTTTTGGATAAATCTTCTGGGGAGACCTTCAAGGGAAAGAATTACTAAGCTTCTTGGTCAAGATATAACATAATGAGATCTTATGTTCTTTCTTTACCAGAGCCTTTAGAACACAAAATAGGCATTATACATCCTTTTTTACATTTATTCATCATTTCTAGAGAGCCCAAAATTAAATTTGATAGATTGTAGAGGTTAACAAGGCTTGGGGGCTAAACATGCAAAACGGTAAAAGCAAGATTATACTTGCATTGGTTTATAAACAATTCTGAAAATGCCATTAGGGGGCTTAAACCTGGCTTATAACGTCCATTTTGTATGCTTGTAGACCTAAGGAGTGATTCACAAATATTGTGCAGTTGATTTTCTTTATTTTAAAAATTTCTACCACCCCTTTCTCACTAATGTTTGTAAATCAAATTTGTGAAGCCATCTTAAAAATGAGCTATTTTCTGGCATACTTCCCGGGGCATGGCAACAAAATATAGTTTAACAGATGCCTCATGATCTAACATGAAGTCGCTTTTCCAACTTAGAACCCTCCTGTTCTTTACATAAAAGTGCATTTTTGGATCTATGTAGAGGAACAAAATAACTACTTACTGAGAGCTCGAACTCTGTCTTTAAATATTTTTTCCAAAACTAGCCCCCCTGGTTTATGTTAGAAAGACTTTTTAGGTTATGTAGCTATAGGAATTAAGGCTCAGGCAGTAGATTTTTTTATATTGATCTGATCGCAAATGTTTGTATAGAATTAAATTGGATGAGTTCTAAAAAGTTTCAAGAACACTGTGGATATTTTCTATAACTTGTTTATTTGGAACGTAGATTTTAGACTCACAGATTTGCTGATCGAAAGAACTTTAGAATCATAACCAGTTTGTTTATCCTTTGCATATCTTTTTGCATATCTTTGCATATATTGTACAGGAGCATTTCTCGATTTAACTATTCTGGCAGTAATTGTTATTTTGAATGATCATTTGGCATCTTTTCTCTTCAGTTGCTTTAAGGATACTTTGTCACAACGTTATTCAATATTATGTCACAAATTGTACAGAACATTTTAAAAATATGTTTTTTCTGTTGATTGTTGTAGGGCTATGGCTCCACTTGATGCTGAGAGTGTCACAAAATTCTGGCTCTATTTTGTGACTGTAAACCCTAAATGCATGAATTTGTTCTTATATTTATCAACAGTTGCACAATGATTGCATTAATATCAATAGATCAACAGCTGTTTTCAATAGAATAATAATTTTTGATTTCCAAGGGGGGGGCAGCAACAGAGTCAGCCGGAGGGGTTCCAAGATGCTTGCTCCCAAATTGCAAAACTCAAAATTTTGGTCGATTAAAAGGGTCCTCCCGTTTTTCCCGAAAGGGCCTCGGAATCCTGAGGGCAGTCGGGAAGAAATCGGATACTTTTATTTA